CATGTGACACTGAAGACTGGAATAAAGATGCTGAAAATTCAGCTTTGCATCACAGGAGTAAGTCATATTTTTAAAGTTTATTGAAACAGAATACATTACTTAATTTAATTGTAATAATATTTTACAGCATTAGTGTGTTTTACTGTTTTTCTGGTCAAATAAAAGCAATCAATGCTAGTGTAGTTACTATTGATAATAATAGTATTAGAGAGTACAGTTTGTCACAGCACAAGACAAACTTCCCAAAAGTTAACCATCTTCAACAAACTGTGGGACAAATCAAAATGATTGTTCGTGGTGTTGAATAATCCAGAATATTTCTTAATTCTATAATAGCCCATTGTAACAAACTAGCCTACCTGAACTGATGTGCATACAAAAAAAAAATCTTTCAGTCATTCACAAACACTCCAATCCAATAATAGTATTTACAAATGTGTAAAAAGCCTCTTTGTTGCATAATTGCATTGGCAGACATGCAAAACATCAATAGAGACAGATTCAATTGAGCTATTCGTTTCCATTTGGCAGAATTCGGAGCCTGCCCTTCAACTGCGAACATCTTTAAGCTTTTAATGAACTTTGTTGAAGGGGAGTTGAAGGGAGGGGAATGGGACGATCAAACTACGACATATTTCACTGGAAAAAGCTGTAAAGCTGCCAGTGCTGAAGCGATCAGGGCATTCCACAGCGAGCCAGCAGTTGTTCCAAGTCAACATTCTTTCGGCTAATGAAACAGACAGACAGGACAAAAACACAAGCCAGGTCTCCAAATGCGACTGATCCACAAGCTAGTTCAGATACAGGCGGCAACACTTTATACAATCTTTAAGCACTTTTAAAGGGACAGTTCCACCCAAAAATGGAAATTCGCTCATCGTTTACCCACCTTCATCAGTTTCTTTCTTCCGCTGAACACGGATGATATTTTGAAGAATATCAGTAACCAAACAGTTGATGGAGCCCATTGATTTCCATAGTGTTTTTGTTCCTACTATGGAAGTCAATGGGTGCGGTCAACTGGTTGATTACCAACATTATTTCTTTTGAGTTAAACAGAAGAAAGAAACTCACACAGGTTTGGAACAACATGAGCACAAGTAAATTATGACAAAATTCATTTTTGGGTGAACTATCCCTTTAAATCTGGACATAGGCTTAGTAAATAATAATAAAAATAAAGCAAAGTTTCATGATATTTTCAATCATTTCAACGTACGTAAAAGTGATCTGTTAAGCACTATATATTGTACTAATGCCGAGATATAAAAAAAATGTCTAATAAGACATTAGCATATGCAAGCAAGTTTTACTCCATACAAAGATAATTTTATTACAACCAATGATATTTAATAGTACAGCAAAGCTTGAAATATATTATTTCCAGGACTGTACATAACTTCTATTTTACCATTCTGCCACCAGGTCTACAAATCCAAATATGAACAAGGTCTGCTTCTTGGTGACCATGTTAATGAAGGCCCAAATATGTCAATGAGTTCACAGCAACTTCAAAGGCCTTTAAGAGATGGAGACGTTGAAAAAAGTGTGGTTAACGACCACCAAGACCATATTATAACCCGTTAAACGTATCCAAAAATTCCATATAAAACGCACCTCGAATGTTTTGCTTGACAAATTTGGGGTGCACTATGGTCGTGGAACCGCGCATGCGCACTGCACATTCAAACAGATTCTACTGTACTTCTCTCTGGAATCGGGGTGGAAATTTCCTCTAAGTGTTAGTTAAACGGGTTAGTTTCGTCGATACTCGCTCTCGAATGTTCTGGCACGAAGGTGCTTTGTGGAAAAAAGAAAATACTTTAGGAACCGGATCTGAGCACAATTAGTGTAAAGAAACCCCAAAAACCACGAGTGCTTTTTGTGTAGTCATGGCAATTTAGACTGACGCTGGAGAACATTTAAGGAGGACGGATCATGAACAACTCCCTCCTGTGATACTCAGACTGTGCTCTCCAACCACTCACATAACTATAACTACACCCAAGATCGTGCCGTCAGGCCAAAAGCCATATTTGAGAGTAATCCAGTCTTAAAATGGATGCCGTCGACAATTGAACAGGACCCAACATTCACCCCTGCTGAACTCCGCGCGCACACACACACTGTGCATTTGACTCATTTCACACACAAGTGCGTCCAACGTAACTAATGAGGGATATATTATATCAGCCTGGATCATGGCAGTCGATCCCTGATCCAAACAAGAGGAGAAAGCGTGTGAGGAGCTGGAATTGTAAGCTAAACCCGAGAAAACATGCACAAGTGCTTAGAAAACTAATGTACGGTAGGCTCACCCAAAGTCATCGTCCATAGATTTAAAGAAAAACTTGTAGTTTGGTTTCTTGAGAGCATTTTTCAGGTCCAAAAGAGTGACCCTTTCGGCAGGGATGGGCAGTTTGACCAGGTATGGAGTTTCCTGGTCGTCGAGATGGTAGATAACTTTAGTCTCCCCCATTGCAGACCGCTGGGGAGAAGTAATCGGCGGTCATCCAGCGCAGGGGGTTCCCCTGATGCCCCTCCAGAATGGGCTTTTGCTCGTTTACACCCGCCAGTTGAGTTTCTTTTTTTTGTTGCTAATCCCGTTCTTTCTCCTCCGGAGTTCCCAGGAATCTTCGATATCAGCGCAAATATTCCATGAGCTGACTGGTTTAAAGGGCGATTACTGATCCATACTCTTATTTCACTCTATCCCGCCTGTTGAGAAGAGAGAATAATCCGTGAAATGTGTGATAAAGAAGCTTATTTTGGTCAGGAATGCCGAGGCTACTCGGAGAGCTTCCCTGTGCTCTCCTTACAGAGGGTTTTGTATTGCTTTCATTGACGCCGACTGCCCGGGGAAACGCGCTCCCCCTAGCGGAGAGGGGTGGTAGGTGTGAAAACAGTTACGTGGGGTCATTCTACTGAACAAATGCCATTTGGGGAGTGGGGTAAGTTGAGTCGCTTTTCTAAGTTGGCCTATTGGCAAGTAGAAATCAGAGGACGCCTACTTATGGATATCTAATATGAACTGGAATCACATACAGTCATAAAAACTTAGCCCAGTGGCACAACATGCCATGTGTTCGGTGAGGGGTAAACTCTGTCATGTCATGATTGAGGTAAGTGTGATTGAAGCGCATATGAAATAAATAAAATGGGAACATGATGTGTGATTTTTACAAATTATAATTATTGAATGCATTTTCTCACTCTTAAGTCTTATTTTTGCTGCATATGATTCAGTTTTCCTTTAAAATATCCACACATACTCCACAGGTTATAATTTCTTTGTAGTGATTTTTTTTTACACTTTATGTTTATAAAATGTTTATAAAATCCTTTACTGGATTTTTATTCCACATATCAGTCAAAGTTTTAGTGAAATTATATAAAAAGTATGGGGAGATTTGTGGAGATAAAAGCTAGCATTTTGTCTTAATTCTCTCTTTTTTCACTAATAAAAATACTTTTTTACATCTGTAAAATCTACCATATCTGTCGAAAAAAGTTTTATCTCTTGATAAAACTAAACCTGTATTTCACATTAAAGTATGTTAGATAAAATTAGAGAAAATGTCAGAGTATCATTTAAATGTCACTTTTTTGCAATAATTCATTAAGTGTACATACCAATTATGCCGTGGTGTAAATTTAAATGTAGCAAGATTACGCAAATTTAGACAGGTGTAGGCCTAAACTTCATATCCAACATGTTGTTGAATTGCCAATGCACACAACATTAAATTGTATTGCTCAATATGAGCCGTGAATTCATTAATTAATAATTTTCACCAAATAGTGAAACCTTAATGGTTATATTTTGGAATAATGATCCCTCAGCTTGTTCACTAAGATTGTGTAAACAGTTATTAAAGGATTTAATTGTCTCTAAGGGGACATTTTTTATGACAGTTTTCAACTACATTTAAATATTGTGAATTATACGTTTTCCTGACTGATTTACGGATATGTTAGTAAATCGGAGTCTAGTCTACATTGGTGTATACAAATCAAACGTTTCTATTCTAAAAGCAAATCATTCTGATGTTTAATAACACAAATAATCCCAAATAATTCCCCCCTTTTTGAAAAGTAATTTTTATGAATCTGCAGACATCATGCTTTAATTTTTACTAATTTCCCTGCCCAAGAGGACAACATTGGTAAAAAACTTAGGGGCCATTAACACAACATTTCTTTTCAACTAAAAACTTGAGAAAACTAACATGTTGAAATTGCTAATTAAAAAGAGAAAGGTTTGGGCTATTTGCTTTTAATGTGTACCACAAAATATTAAAAGACCTCAAATCACCCACATACAAACAACATATTAAGCAGGTTTTATTTATCGAACGTACACTTTATTGCCAAAAATGTTGAGACGTAATGCCACACCATTTGTAATCTATAGGGTTAAACTCTCATGCTGTTCGATTTCTGTGTACGTGATGACCAACTTGACCCTAATTGGATTCAATACAATTTTCCAAAAAACCACACAATTTAATATCTTAACTTTTAATATCAACACGTATCAAACATTATGAAAAAAATATGGGATGCAATTCATTTTTCCCCAACTTTTTTTTTCATTTTATACTTAAAACATCATAACTGAACCTTTGAATATTTCTGTATAATAAAATTGTTTACTTTCACTAAGTTCTCTCTTCTGTTGACTCGTTTCATAAATTCAAGAAATTACTTCTGACAAGATGAGCACAGAGAAAGTGTGCTTTTTGCATATATGCAAATAATTGCATATATGAATTTCAAACACAAAGCTGCTTTGTCCCTTATCAGCCAATCAGTGAAAGTATAACCCATAACTTAATCTGATTGAACTTCAGGCATCACTAAAGACAGGCAAGAGGGCACGTACTGTTGCTTTTGAATAGCTCCCTGTGTGGGTCAAACTGAGCGAATGGACATTTCACAACACATCGACATGTTTAAACTTTGCATGCCATGCATGTTCATAAATGAGAAAGACAAAATGTCAAGAAATACAACAGGTTTAATAGCTTTTCAGATAGATTGAAATAGGAAGTGATAGCTCATTTTTACCATCTATAGCTCACAATATTTTTCTGTATTGAAATAAGTGGAGACAAGCTACTTTTTTAAACATCATGGGGTATTAAAAACAAAACAAAAAATACAACAAAGAAATGCTATTCTGGGTCTGCCTTAGAAAATTCAAATACAAGTCAAATTGACCCACAGACATAACAGTAATTTACTGTGTACATGTCAAAACAGAATTGAAACTTTGCATGCGACTTTTGCACGCCTCAGCATGCGCTGACCCCGCTCTGATTTTACGTGAGCGAGACCCATTCTTTCACAGATGTTTGTAGAAGCAGTCTTTGTGCCTAGGTCCTTGATTTTATACAACTGTGGCCATGGAAGTGATTGGAAAACCTGAATCCAATGATTTAGAGGATAGTGTATGTAGTGCAGATACACATTTGTAGAATACAGCATCTGGAAGAGAACCAAAATAAATATTAGAATCAGACAATTAAACCACAGAAACGCATCAAAACAAAGTATGAACACAAATGCTGAAAATCATGCAGCACGCACGCATAGCTGTAGTTCTACAGAAAAGCGGTCAAGTCTAAAAGAAAATGTAATTTGCACAGTGCCTTTACCATACAAATCATTACAAAGCATTAAAATATAAAATGGCAAAAGACGGAACAAATCAAAGCGTGTAATTTTTGAATCATAGCTAAACTCACCTCACACACTAGTCATTGAATGCTGGGTAATTTACCTCCACTAGAAAGGAGAATATAGATGGACCCTTTATAATGGACAAGATTGAAATGATTAGAATTGCGCTTTGCATTTATGAAAAGAGACTCATGAATTATACATGATCAGTGTATTATCAATGTAAATGTCCATAAAATGAAACTCTGAAAGGCATAGATGTAAACGCCTTTCAACAGCCATCTTGTGTGTTAATGTCTGCCCTATTTGACACCGCATTCATCTGACCGGCAATGAACAGGTAACACTTTAAGGCATGATTTAGTTTACTCGGACATATTTAAAGTTTATAGCTCCATACCAGGTTTCATGCAACCCTGCTCATGTTGCTGTAGCAGCCTTTTACCACATTGGCTGTTCACCTGAAATAATAGAATATGACTTTCAAAGCATGAACATCGACGAATGGGACATGAATATAGCTCATTGTGAACATTGTTCTTGTCATAGCACGAGCAAGAGGAACATGTGTCCTCTCATTAATTTGGCTATTTCAAGATTTATTGTGCGCCTTAGTAGACACCACATTCATGAATGTGAAAATGAATGGGCAACACAAAGGCGAGACTCTTCAAACAGCATGGAGAGACATATACAAGCTTGAAGGGATAGTTCACCCAAACATTAAAATTCTGTCATCAATTACTCACAATTACTCCTGTAAGAGTTTTTTTCTGCTGAAGTTCCACAGTATTTTTCCTTCTCGAAACTATTGAAAGTCAATAGGGCACATTAACCTTCTTCAAAATATAGTTTAGCAGAAGAAATTCATACAGGTTAGGAACAACTTGAGGGTGACTAAATGACAGAAGTTACATTTTTGGGTGAACTATACCTTTAAATTTGACTTTTTAATACAGTAAATATTTAAAATCTGCTGCAATTGAAATACTCACATGGAGCAATCTAAAATATCACGTTACATCAAATGTAAATACACACCTGGAATTCAAAAGCAGTTGCTCCTGGCTCTCATGGTGGCCAACATAAGACCGTTTCCCACGTGTCACAACGTAATGCTGAAAAAGACACAAAGAACAAAAACATAAGTATAACGGCATAAACGACCACAATGAAATAAAGAGGACAAAAATAATAAATCCAATGACGAGCTACATATTTTAATTGAATGGTTGCAACTGGTCAATATCCACCGAGAAACCCTTTTTAAATATGACAACAGACAGATTTGTGCCCACATCTAAACTGAGAAGTAAGTTAACTAACATAAACGGAATATTTGAAGAACGACGACTGCGAGACAAACAACCAACAGGCTATTCCATCATGTAAGAAGACCTCGCTTTTCATAATCGTACTACTAAATAAACATTTACTATGAAACACGTCCGTATACAAATAACACCTACCACTTACCCACATCCATCCAAATTGCAACGAAATAGCCACTTGTAGAGCCCATAGTGACAACCGTTTTCACTTGATCTTCTCCACGTGGACACGCAACCAGAAAAGACCTTCGGTTCGTAAGTAGGGAAGGACCGAAGGACCCAGTGTATTAGGCGACTATGAAAGTGCCTGATTTAAATTACTTAACTTGTTTCCTCCATTCCTCAGACGAACCTACACAAAAGTTCAAAGTTGGACACACCTACTCGTGGATCTTTATTAATATTTTCGAGATCTTAAAAATAATACAATTGTCTATATGACATTTTTAACTCCCTCAAACAAAGAAGAACAACATGAGGATCATCATGGTCCCTGTTAAACACACACACACACACACACACACATTATGCACAGTGTGTGTTTGTGAGAGAGAGAGAGAGAGAGAGAGAGAGAGAGAGAGAGAGAGAGAGAGAGAGAGAGAGAGAATTTTTGCTAAGACTAGAAAAGACTTTAACCCTTTAGTTTAGATCCTGAACTTTCAACCATGAATAAAGTCCACTGAGGCGAGAAATGATGATACAATAAAACATTTGCTTAAACTATTTAATATATATATATATATATATATATATATATATATATATATATATATATATATATATATATATTTGGGATAGTTCAGCCGAAATGAAACCCCTCATGTCATGTCGCACTGCATAAAATAATACATTTTGAGGTTGTGAAATACAGGTGTAACGACAAGAGGAGTAAATTATGACATAATAAAATAAAAAATAAAAAAATTCCTTTAAGTAAAAATGGAAAAGCATTATATAAATTTACCAAGAAAATCTAGTACCTTGGTGTGTTTACCAAGAGTTAAAGGGTGGGAGGTCCAAACCCGGCTTTAGGTCCTATCAACAGTTTTACCAGCAAAGTATTTATTCATGCACTTGTAATAATAACACTGCATAGCAAATCTTCAAACTTGCGGTGACGAAGGTGGGACTTTTATTTTAAAATCATCATGATTTTTGCTGCCATCTTGGAGCTGAATAAAGTTGATCCCAGTCTCTTTTGTGGTGTCTGTCAAATCGGAAGGTCTGAGATCACTAAACAGACATTTAAACCGACACTTCCGACTCCCGTCAGACTACGACCTGAGGAAACACATTAACCTAAACCTTCAAGCACCCGTTTAACACCTCCTGAGCTCATAACGACATTAAAGCACAAGGGTAAGCAGCTAATGCGTCTTCATGTCTGTAACGTTATGTGTCCTAAAGATAGTCAACAAGAACCAGCTAGTGTTTCGAGCTGCTTGGCATACGTGTCGTGTCGTCTCACCAGCTCAAGGCATGGTATTTATCTATTATATTATATATTATTATATCTTAAGTTAGCTCTCTATTTAAATAGTTGAACTGCTCTCACTTTTAGAGACACCCCCACTGTTAATCCAGCCTGTATCATAGACCCACCTCCCATATGTCAGAGCTCCTGAACTTGAAATCCAGAAACTTGCTACGTTTCATTTGGTAGGAATTTGTGACATTATTATGGTTGCCTATGTCTCTGAACTGATTACTAATGTTACACCTTCAGTAAATAGTATATCCATCCGTGTGCAGCTGGGATTGTACAGCTCAGATGAGGAATCATTCAGACTCAGCAATGTGTTATAAGAGACTGAATTGAGGGATTGTGTCTGTATTATAGCCTACTGGACTGTCTACATGCAAGTTTGGGCTTTGAAAATTGATCTCTCTCTCTCTCTCTCTCTCTCTCTCTCTCTCTCTCTCTCTCTCTCTCTCTCTCTCTCTCTCTCTCTCTCTCTCTCTCTCTCTATATATATATATATATGTATGTATATATGTATGTGTATTATATATATGTATATGTGTGTGTGTGTCTGTGTGTGTATATATATATATATATATATATATATGAAGAGTTCAGATGCAAAAACCTCTAAATGCCATTTGAAATTTTCTTCTTTAATGAGGATTTTTATCAAACTTGTATATTTAAGTTCAGTGATTTCACTTAAATGGCAATGATAATTACCTATTAATTGTTATTTAAGTGAAATTACTGAACTTAAATATACAAGTTTGATAAAAATCATCATTAAAGAAGAAAATTTCAAATGGCATTTAGAGGTTTTTGCATCTGAACTCTTCATATATATATATATATATATATATATATATATATATATCCTGTATGTATGTATGTATATGTTGATCTGTCAGTTATGAGTGCTATACAATGGATGTGGATGTCCAATGGATAATGTTGTGCTGTGCCCTGGTCACATTCCTCTCCTCTTTTGCTTCATTCACTCATGCATTTACCCAGATAAGACTCAAGGCTCTGTGTTTAGATAAAGGAATGATTGGAATGAGGAAGGATTCAACCAGGGTTTCCATATGCTCTTTCTGGACATAACAAACAAGTTGCTGATGTCCCTTTTTACTTGTTTTAATATAATATATTAAATAATATTCAAAAATAATTCATATTATGATTTTCCCACTCATGATGTAATTATGTGAAGATTTGACTGCACAAGATAAAACCATTATCATATTATCAACCAAAATTCTTTTCTGACATTATTTTTTTTTTCTGGTACAGTTTTGGATTTTAATGAAGAAAAATCTTATTTCAGCTTAAAGTCAAAAGAAAAATCTAGATATATTTTGCGTTTACTTTTTAAAGTTGGGCGAGAAATGAAAATTCACTAGTTTCTACATGCATTTTATTGACCTTATTGTTAACAATTATTACATATTACATTACTTGTAATTCTTACTAAAAATGTCATAAATCTTCAGATTAAACAAAAGAGTTATCTATGGTGATCAGGATTGCCAAGTCTGTGTAACAAAACCAGCCCAATGGCCAATTAAAAGTATCGCAAATGTATATAGTACAATACTAAGAGTGGTGGTAGATCCACTCAGGAAATGATTTACTTTTAAAATAGCGTAGGCTTTAATTTCTTCGTACAGTAAATAATTTCACATTTCATCTAAAAATATTGGACTAGGACATGTTCTTGGCATATTTAATTTAATTCACCCCCTTTAGCCTGTCCTGCGAAGATCAGAAAGACATCTGGACATTTATCTTCAACATGGCCGAATAGTTTGCACCACAGCCAACTTTCCTGACGCATATTTAATCGTTCCTGCAGCTCTGTGTTATGAACTACTCTTTCCAAACATCTGGGTTGTGGTTAAACTGTGCGTTTTTCTTGAGTCACGAGGAACTTCCCAGATTGAATACAACTAAACGTCTTAGAATTGTTATTATCATTACTGTAATAATTTTCTCCATAACATTTCATAGAGCCTGAATGGAGGCCCACGGTTCAGCACGATTGTCCAGGAAGAGAAAGAGAGACGGTTCAAATGGAGAGGCAGAGGAGGGCGAGAAACCCCTGAAGTTAAAACGATGCACAGTGGTGAGTGAGATAACGGTGTAAGCCTGTGTGTAGTATACAGATGAGAGATGTTATTTGATACCAAAGGCTGTGGTACGTCTTGCCCCTCAGGGTCTGAAATACCCGGCTCCGTATGCAGATCAGCTCGAGTCAATGGAAGAAAAGCCATATCAGCGCGTCACCATGGAGGAAGCTCGCCGAGGCACTCCACGTAAGATAGTGAACCCCTCCCACACACACACAGTCAGATATACACGTGTCAGGTGTTTCTTCCATTCACTGACTGTATTTAGACTGATTCATTGGCCATTATATACACGATTATGGATAGATATTTTAAATTAAACTTTTTGCAAGAGATGCCTAAAAATGCCTATATTTTAAAATACACTACAGTTCAAAAGTTTGGTGTCGGAAAGATTTTATAATGTTTTTGAAAATGTTTCTTGAGCCCACCAAGCTGCATTTATATGGTAAAAAAAAGAGAAGTAATATTATGAACTATAAAAAAAGCTGTTATGACTTATTCTTATGATGCAAAGCATCATTATCCTAGTCTTCAGTGTCACATGATCCTTCAGAAATCATTCTGATATGATGAGATCCTGCTCAAAAAATATTTCTTATTATTATCAATGGTGAAAACCATTTTTTAAAATATTTTTGTGTAAACCGTGAACCGTTTTTTTTTTTTTTTTTTTTTTGATACTTTTGTGTAACATTATAGGTTTATTTATTTTAAAAAAAGTTCTCCAGATTTTTGAACGTACTGTAGTGTGTATTTTTTAAAACATTTAGTAAAACTCTAAATGGTTCATGTAAACCATTAGACTACTGACATGTAAGGTCAAGTGTGTCTAAATTAAGTAGTTCCCTTGATACCATGAAAGCTGATGTTCTTCTTTTTGTTTTTAGCCGACAGGCCTGTGCGTGTGTATGCTGATGGCATCTTCGACATGTTCCACTCAGGACATGCACGGGCTCTCATGCAGGCTAAATGCCTTTTCCCAAACACTCACCTTATTGTAGGTGGTGAGTATCCCTGGGATTCAGTATTTGGAGTGTTTATCATTCTGTTCATTACAACAGAGTCCATCTTAATGTCAGTGCTGTATTTAGCGCCTCTCTTTCCTCTCTGCAGTGTGTAGTGATGACCTCACACACGAGTTAAAGGGCTTCACCGTCATGAATGAGGATGAACGCTATGACGCGATTAGTCACTGTCGCTATGTGGACGAGGTGGTCCGGAATGCTCCGTGGACTCTCACGCCCGAGTTCCTCACCAAGCATCGGGTAAGACGAGAATAGTATAATATGACAATCAAAACCATGCTATATACGTCCATATGTTCTGTAGTAACCACTTATTTGTTCCCTTTTTTAATTAAAGTCTGTGTGTTTTGATACCTCAGATTGACTTTGTGGCCCATGACGATATCCCATATTCCTCAGCTGACAGTGATGATGTTTACAAGCACATCAAAGAAGCAGGTAATTATAACGGCTTCAGAAGCTGCTATGGAAGCTTGTTTCTGCAACTGAATAAAAAAATAAAGGTAATTGCAACTTTCTATCTCTGCAACTTTCGACTTTTTTCTCACAATTTCTAGTTTACATCTTGTAATTCTGAGCAATTCATTTTTTCCTCAAACAACTGCGTGATTTATAAACTCGCAGTTGCAAGGAAAAAAGTCAGAATGGCTCAATTGCGAGTTTACAAATGACAATTCTGACTTTTTTTCTTATAATTTTGCAATATAAACTTGCAACTGCAATGGGGAAAAAGTTAGAATTGCGAGGGGAAATTCGCAATAAAAAGTTGCAGTTATGTTTTACTTGTGTTTTTATTTACTTGTGTTTTAATTAGGGCTGAGCAACGATTAATCGCATCCAAAATAAAATTTATTTTGACAACAAAAACAAACTTTTATTTTGGATACGATTAATCGCGATTAATCGTTGCCCAGCCCTAGTTTAAATTGTTTTTTTTGGGGATTTTTTTTTCATTGTTTTTTTTTCATGGTGGGATCAAGCTACCATAACTTTACGTGTTTTGATTTAGAAATCAATCTCTACGTTTAAAATTTCAGAGTATCTAAGGCTGGGCAACGATTAATTGCATCCAAAATAAAAGTTTGTGTTTACATAATATTTGTGTGTGTAGTGTGTATTTATTATTTTGTATATAAATACACACACATGCATGTATACATTTAAGAAATATGTGCATGTATATATTTATTCATAATTATTTTATTATATATAAATATTTGATATATTAATAACACATTTTTCTTAAATATATACATGCATGTGTGTGTATTTATATATATACTAAATAATTATACACAAACTTTTATTTTGGATGCGATTAATCGTTGCCCAGCCCTAAACCAATATAAAACTTACCAATTAAATATGAGGCCATTTATCTTCTATCCAAAGAAACTTACAATAGTATTTTTATCTTTCAAATAGTTTATTTTTTATTTTGGGCTTCCACAGGAATGTTTGCACCAACCCAACGAACAGAGGGTATTTCCACCTCTGACATCATCACACGCATCGTTCGAGATTATGACGTGTACGTCAGACGGAATCTACAGCGCGGCTACACCGCGAAAGAGCTTAACGTCAGCTTTATCAATGTGAGCGCTCTTTCATCATGTGTGTTTGTTTAGTTGAGCTTAATCTTAAGATCTAGACTAGAAATGACATTTGCTTAGTCAATCTACACAACTTCCTGCTCAGTTTTTTGTTTCTCCATACAATGGGAGTCAATGGGGTCCAACAGACTTCTTAAATATATTTTATTATATCTTTGTGTTTGAAAGAATGACGATTGAATAAAGATCAGAAAGAATAAGTGAAGATAGAATATATGATGACAGAAATAAAATTTGGGGGGTGACCATTTTTTTTTTGCGACCTTTCTCTCAACCCTGAACTTTTTATTTACAGAAACTAGGAGTGAGGATATATTCAAATAAGAAAAAGAAATTGTATATAATTCTATTCCATAATTCGAATTGCACGTCATTTCCGACACTCAGGAAAAGAAGTACAACCTTCAGGAGCGTGTGGACAAGGTGAAGAAGAAAGTGAAGGACGTGGAGGAGAAGAGTAAAGAGTTTGTGCAGAAGGTGGAGGAGAAAAGCATCGACCTGATCCAGAAATGGGAAGAGAAGTCCCGCGAGTTCATCGGCAACTTCCTACAGATGTTTGGACCGGAGGGAGCGTTGGTGAGTATCTCTTAAAAAATAGTCTCCCAAAACTTCTAAGTCAGCATCCACTCCTCTTTTCTGAGTTGGAACGCTCTACATACGCTCTGCAAGCAACTCAAATTACCACTACTGACATAAAGCACATGACGGGACATGTCAGCATGTTGTTTGCTAATGATGTAATATTCTTTAAAGCATAAAAAAAGCATATGTTATGTAAAATAGTGTATTTTTAATTACAAATAAAGCTGCTGGTGGCAATTATCATTGTCCTTGCACCAATAGCTTATGCAGACATTATGGGCCCTATCATACACCCGGTGTAATCCAGCGCCAGGCGTGACACAAATGTTTTTTGCTAGTTTCAGCCCGACGCATTTATCATTTTCACGTTCTGCATCACGTTGTTTAAATATCAAATGCATATGCGCTCATCTGTTCGCCCATGCTGGCCTGCAAACGATGTGTGTTCTGGCACATTGGTGGTGGATTGCTATTCTGAGGCAACTGAAATAGACTGTAATATTTTTTTTTGTTTTTTAAAGGGTGCATTAGTAATATGCGCCTATTAGGGGTGGAACGGTACACAGAAGTCACGGTTCGGTTCAGACATCACGGTTCGGTACAATGGAGGGAAAAGCAAAACAAAAATACAGAAGGAATTGTATTTTTTTTAAAATAAGTTTTATTAATAAAAGCATGGAACCAGTTTATTTGTAGTGCACTGACAATAGTTTTATATAATTAGTTTATTAATTAAATGAATAAAAAGACAAAAAGACCTTGTACCTGAATTAATTTAAAATCATTTTGCTATACTTCAGATCAATACATTTGTTTTCCTTAATTTTAATTAACACTATTAACAATGTAACATTATTCTCATCTGAATTATAGCTCATTTATTTCTGTATAAAATAATACTACCATTAAAAACACATTCGATTTTCTTTTTTTAATCAATGCAGAATGTGTAAGATTAGTGCTCCAAGGAATATGACGACTGTCCAAAAGATGGGACCCTCGGACTGTTTTGAAATGGAGTTGGATATATGTTTTGCTTTTAAAACAGCGTGTGTGTGATTTTGGTTGGGTGACAGTTGTAGATTAGTTTGTCAAGAGTTTACAGTATGACAAAAGCACAATGTTGTGCTTTTGTCACACTGCAGATTGTCCTGGATTATGAAAACCCTGGTTCTTAAATAAAAGCAACAGTTGTTTAAAGGGAACAAATATGATTTCATTTTGCTTGCATCTTGATCTTTAGCGGTTTTAGCTTATTTTATTTTGTTTTAAATAGCCATCTTTCGGCCCGCTGGTTGAGAATGACTGTTTAAACTCATGATTACATGAGCAGAGTATCCATGGCTTCACTCAAGGTCTCTTATTGGCTATGTGTTGGTCTTCCTTTCTAATTAACAGAAGCACATGCTGAAGGAAGGGAAAGGTCGAATGCTTCAGGCCATCAGTCCGAGGCAGAGTCCCAGCAGCAGTCCCACACGCGAGCGTTCCCCTTCTCCAACCTTCCGTCTGCCCTTCTTCACCAAGACCTCCCCGTCCTCCTCACCCTCCTCACATCACAGCAGCGCCCTGTCCGGCTACTCCTACGCCGCCCGCAAACAGGCCATCAGCGAAGACGAGGAGGACGACGAAGATTAGATTGCCACAGCACACCATGCATCTGTCTTCCAAGACTGGCTATCGAACCTCAGAAACGAAGCAATCCTTAAACAATCCATCAGTTTTGCACACGGTATTATTAACAGATATGAAGGTGTAAAATGGAGCGAAGTGTAGAAATTAGTGACTCAAACGTGTGGGATGGGATGCGAGTATTCAGACTTCAGCGTCTCGTTTTGAATCACACAGGATTGTTTTAGAATGAGTGCTCATGGTATTAATGCATTTCAGTTTTAATGATTTTAATGTTCGTATCATAATATATAAATGTCAGACATCTCATTGGTCACACGTCTCTTCTTGGGAAAACGTTGAATACAAGGAACTGTGAGAAATGCAATCCTCTATACAAAAGAGCTTAAAAATAATAATAAAATGTTTTTATTTTTTGTCGCAAGGTGCATAATCAGTGTTGTCACGGTTAATAGTTCTAAACATGTGTTGAATAACTAAAATACGCCAATATTACCGAGGCACCTTGAGCATGGCTGTTGGGAAAGTGAGATAGTAACTGTACCGTCTTTGACTTAATCGAATTGGTCTCCCTTTACTCATCTACTTGAGGTTGGTGTGTCATGCTTTAGTACAGGTCATGATTACAAATTTAAACACTGTATTTTAAAAAATAAATGCTTTACATAAAATAGAGTTGTTAAACTTTTGAAAAGAAAGTGAAGCAAATCACTGTTTTTTTCTATCATTTACCGCACAATGCCGTTTATCTTTCACTGTGATTGTTCTCATGGAGCTTAGGCTAAACTAAGGCTAAAGGGCTTGTTTTTCATGTTCAGTTCAGATGAGTTTTGGACTTGATAATTGCTTAAGTGCTGCAAGTGAAACCAACTGAGCTGTCTATTATGATTAATAGTTCACAATTAAACCACTTGAAAGGAATATTCTGGGTCTGATCTCAACAGTTACTGTCCAGTTTGATAGAAAATAATTTTTATTTGGTATACTAAAAGAAAAACAACGAAAGAGTTACACACATGGAAGGCTATAAAGCAATCATTGGTTTAAGTGTGTAATTGTCCGTTTTTTGAGTCCGTCGCGTCACGTGACATGAAAAAAATATAAATGGCGTGGCACGAATTAAGAATTCGTTTTTTCGTTTTAGTAAATCGTGGGGATATTGAAATAATTCCCACGTTTTGATTTAACTAAACGAATTATTACAACATGCTACGATTTAGTGAATCATGGGAAAGAATTAGTAAAACGTGATGATATTAAGTCGTTACGATACAGTTGTTTTTTAACCGGTTGAGGCACAAAATGTTCTTGCGATTAACTTGTATGTAACCCTTATCATTAACTTTGAATAGTTTTGTCAGCATTTTTTTTTTAAATGTACATTTATGGATATGCCAATTGTACGTTTAAATTGAGATTGTACCTCTAGTGATTATATAATTTTTTTTGTTGTTGTCTCGTTTCATAATTTGACAAGAGGCAGAGGCTCGTCAAACTGCTGTCCAGACTTTCACTGATTTCAGAATTCAATGATTGACGCTTCACTTTCATGGTAATGTGTTTTCAAGCCTCTGATTTTTCCTTTGCACAAATTAAATGAATCTAGGAGAATTATTTATTAACTTTGCCTTCCCTAATCCTGTCAGCTTTTGATTGTACAGGATGACAACAGAGACAGGAAGACAAATAAATGGTGTTTAATGTAAAAGTTGTTTTTTCTGCCATCTATTTAACACCCACCATGAAACATATTTACTTCTCGTTCATCATGATACAACTATGAAATAGACGTGATTTATTGAATTGAAGAAAAATGAAACCACAAAATACACACAACACAAAGTTTTTTTTACTCCATTATATATTTATACCGAACTAAACAGTCACAGAGAGAGATAGATAAGATACTGAGAGTATGACCAATGGGAGAATAACCAACAACAAGGGACAGGGGTCCCGTAAGACCGACTACAGCGAATCAGGAAGCTGGGTTTTGAAAGACAGACATTAACTGCACAGGCTTTAAAGTACACCACTCACTGCTCTCCACTGGATCTGGTCATTACAGCACTCGTACAAACACATACAGGCAACTACGTTTCACATTTTGCATATTTTTGTGATTAGCCTTTTTAATTCATTCACAAATCTTGAGGAGAGGGAAGGGGGGAAACATAGTATATTTATAGGACAGTAAAAGCTGGTCCTTCTGCTGAGCAGCTCATTAGCAGCGCGTCTCGTAGATTCCGCTGCGTCCGATATATCGCACCCATTTAATCACATCGTGGTCACTGTAGTTCAGTTTCGACTCGAACACCTTCAGGTAACGCACCTTCAAACCCGAGGGTGCAAACGGAACCTGAGACAAGAAAACAGCAGATGAAATACAACAGAAATGTGTGCCATGAAGAGGGTACAATTGGATACATCAGACAAACTATAAAAGAATATAAATATATAAAGAAGCTACTTTTAACATCTAACGTTTGTACCTACCTCTCTGACATTAAAATATGAATTCATTCAACAGTTACTTATGAGCTTATTGAGGAAAAAAGACCAAATGAATATTTTAGCCATCAGTTTACAATAGGTTCCATTTGTTAACATTAGTTACCATGAACTTTAAATTAAAAACACTTTAAAGCATGTATTCATTTAAGTTCATGTTAATCTCAACATTTCTTAACACATTAAAATCAAATCTGTAATTATTATTTAATTGACCTAAGCTAGCATGAACTTGTTTTTACTAACAAAAATTCATAAACTCTAAACGTATTTATCGTAGTTAATGCATCAACTAAACGGAACCTTATTGTAGTGTTGCCATATTTTATTTTATTAATTAGAAATAAGTAGGTAAATCGATTTTTTATAGCTAAATTATAACAAAAACAAGGTTTTAAACCATATCCAAAATTTTAGTCAAGTTATTTAAGTTAATAAAAGCACAAATGTTCAAATGTCAATTAATTCAACCCTGTTACTTAGGTATATGAGAAATAAGTTAATAAATAATTGTTTATTTTAATCAATCAAAGTTCATATTTATAGCTAAATTAAAATCACACAAATAATGCTTTTAAACAGTATCCAAACATGTCCAAATTTTTGTTATATTAGTTAAAAAAGCACCACAAACCTTACAAAAATATTCAAAAATCCTTTCTGAATTTCTTTCAACCCTGTAACTCAGCTTATAGACCAAAAAACAGTCTAATTCTATTTATTTATGAGACTTACAAGTTGTTGTTTTTTTTTTGCTAAATTAATTCAGAATTTTAGTTTGCGTCCAAACGTCCAAATTTGAGAAACTTTAAAGAGTTATTTAATAAAAATTCAATTCAAACGCTCACCTCAAAGTTCATGGAAATGGGTGGACGGGCCCACTTCTTCTTGTCATTAGTGGGCAGCAGCTCAATTTCAGCACTGATCTGAGACTCCTTCATTCCAGCCATGCGTTTGATCCTGAGCAGAAACACAGACAGGATAACATGAGTATACACACACACACACACACACACACACAGAAGCACTGAACACAGAGAAACGTGAAGACGCCGACTTACTTCCACACAATGGCATTCTCGCTGGCCTTGTATTTGGCTTTTCCTTTCATACAGATCACCTGCACTCCACTAGTGTTCAGAGGTGTTGGAATGCGCACCTGTTCACACATTCACACACACATCATCTGAAATGTTCTGTCTTAGGCGTGTGAAAACGCAATGTCAAGTCTCTCTTTTCTTTGAACTCACCTCTATTTTCTGTGCCAGGAGTGAGGGCTTGAAATTAGACTTGATGACAACTTTGACCTCCAGCTTTGTGCGTCCAACCTCCCGGACCAGTGGAATGACCCGGAAGGGCAGAATAATGTCCTTAGTGGTGCGATACCTTCACACACAGATGGAGGATGTGTTAAAAACAGAATCAGACTCGGCGGTGTGAAGGCAGACTGAAGCTGAACTAACCTCATGAGCTCATATTCCCCATCAGGAGGGATGAAGCTGATGCTGCGCTCAGAGTCGAACTTGCTGAGACGCACACATTGATGGAAAGTGCAGTCGTCAATGGCTATGGACTGCTTCCCACTGCTGGAGAAACCAAGTAAGAGTTTGATATAAAACACCATTAAGATATTTGGTAAAAAGACCAAATACTAGAGCAAGGGGCGTACAATCCTGCTCCTGGAGGGCCACTGTCCTGCAGAGTTTAGCTCCAACACCCCTGCCGGGATGTGTCCAGTATGCTGTGTTCAAAATCACACTCATTCACTACACACTTGTCTACTTGAAGGAGTGAATTAAAACGAGTGAGTGAATTCGGACACTGCGTGCATCGGAAGGGCTGCCATTTGAAACTAATCATTTGAAACTTAGCAAAATGGCAGCTCCAACTCGGTCAAGGAAACTAGCATGTATAAACTTTATTTAATAATCATTTTATACCTGTATGATATTACGCTGTAGCAGGGTTTGGAAAATAGATATCAAATAGATTCAGCTGCAGATGCCGCCATCTGGCAAGACGCGGGAATTCATTCAGCATGACCTATTCTTTAGCCATTGAGCGTACATCGGTTGTACCCTCATTGTTGCGGTGCATTGTGGGATTGAATGAGTGCACTCGATAACATCCACTATGGTTTCAGCACCAATACAAATGGCCGCCCCCTCAAACAGTGCCCTATTTAAGGATTTAGGGGGTGATTTCAGACACAGCCCTGGATTAGCTGGTTAAGGTGTTTTTAATTGGGGTTGGAGGTCAACACTGCAGGACAGTGGCCCGCCAGGAGTGAGTAGACACTGCTCTACTAGAAGAAACTGTACAATAAATTAAATTATCACTGACAAAATATTTAAAAAAAAAAAAAAAAAAAAAACACTTACTGCTAAAATGTCCTACTTCTAATAACTAGGGATGCACTAAGAGTTGTATTCATAATTAATACTTAATTTAATTAATACTTAAATTCATCAAGGATGCATTAAATTGCTCGGAAGTGACAGTAAAGACATTTATAATGTTAATAAAAAATGTATATTCCTAAAACAAATGAATGTTCATCCTGAAAAACAAATTATCATGGTTTCATGGTAAAAGAAATTATAAAAATTTGGCAGTTTTTAACACTGATAAATGTTTCTAATAAATTACACTTTAAAACATTTTACAATAGAAAACAGCTAATTTAATAGTTCATACTATTACTGTTTTTCCTGATTTTTTTTATTAATCAAATAAATGCATTCTTGGTGAGCATAGGAGAAAGAGGCTTCTTAAAAATTAAAAATAATCTGTATTTTATTAAAAAAAAATTTAGAATGAAATCTTCAATTTAGATGTAAAAATAGTTATGATGGTAAGATTAGTTATCTTGAAGTAATCTTAGTTATCAAAACATGTCCATTAATGTTTTTCTGAAAAAGAGTAACGAGATTGAATTAAATAATAATAATAAAATCCCTGAATTTAACAATATTGGCCAAATTAGACTGAAACGATCATTTAAAAAAATAGTAATATTACGCATCCCTAGTAAAAACTAAATAAAATAAATAAAAATAGTAATAAGACACTCAGTTGTTCTGTAGATTAACAACACAACTAACATAATACTGAACACAGAAATGTAAAGATACAATTACCTTCCCCCTAACTCACTTTGGGAGCACAGAGAAAGAGAGACGCAACAAAAACAGACAGCTTCAAAAATCAAAATAAACCACACACTTTACGATCAAACATGTTATCAAAATTCTGGATTGAGAAACAAAATCCAGACAATGAGACAAACAAAATTTTCAAAGCAAACAAAGAGAGAGGAGACAGAAAAGCAGAACAACTGCTTGAAAACGAAGCACTTTGAAACCTTTTCCCAGCATCATCAGTAGTTCCTCCTTTCCCCTGTTTGTCAATGACGATTTTGTCATTCATCCCAAACTTGCATTCAGGCATTCCACTCAGGTAGCTCTTCATCACCACACGACCGGAGACGTGAGCGCTCAGGACTTGACCTGTCAGGATGACACAGTGGCGTGTGAATTGTTTGACACCAAGGCCGTGTACAAAGCGTTTTTAGCTATCTGAAAACGCCTAGCTGCGGGCGCTAGAGAGCTTTTTTTTCAGTTGAGATGCTTTGCTTGCTATGATACGGAAAATGTGTTACTAGTATCTCACAGATAGTTTGTTTCTGTTTAAGAATGTTGATACAATGAAAAGTAATTGATCTGGATCTTGTTTTAAATGAATGCTTCTTGTTGTCATCTGTTGCCGTTGTATAAGCAATGTGGTCGTTTGTTCGGTGTTATATTTGTCCTGCCCTTCCACCACTGTGATTTGATGGCTGGGTAAAAAGCGACAGTGATGAGCGCTGTGTTTTACCCAAAGCTGAACATTCTTCAACTCTGTGACCGGTAAAAAAGCTGAGCTCTCGAGCGGGAAACAGACTAAGCTCAGTGCCTCGTTACGCTGCTGCCATTTTAAAATCGTGGCGCTCCCATTGAAAACAATTGGAAAAATACGCAAGCCTCTAGAAAAAAATGTTTTGGTGGACACACGGCCTAATAACCGAAGCACACAGTCATGAGACCTCCGTTAATGTGGTCTTACCCTGTGGAGACATGAGCAGGTTCACACTCTCCAGCACATCCAGGAAGAGCTCGTTGCGACGGTACTTGATGCCTTCACGACGCCAACCGATCTGACCAGTCACCTGGCTGGTGATCTGAGACTGCTCCTCCTTAGTCTGAGGACAATAATGCACCGACAAAGACAGTTAGGAAAGGTCACACACCATTTCAAATTGTGGTTTAATAATGTTTAGGGGCCACTAGTGTGTAATGTAATCCGAGAAAAACTTCAAATAAAAAAATAATTACACATACCTGATGCTGCAGTCAGACACGTCCAGAAAAGCAAGAAAAGAAAGGTTTATATTAGAATTTGCAACGATAAAATGGACAAGGCTTAAATAAATAAAAAAATTGCACATTGGCTCAGGACCAGTTGCATTTCAGGACAGTGGAGTGCTCAAATGAGCCTTGCAACATGAAAAAAGCTTCTTTCTGTGTTCATTAGCCGATATAGGTAAATAACTGCGTAAATAATTGAGTAAATGATAAAACTACTTGCGCTACAAACCAGTGTGTTTATAATTACAACAAAACATTACAATAATATGATAAGAAATACCTATTTGAAATATCAAACAGCATATGGTGTTTTGTACAGCTAAAAATAATAAAGTGAATGACACTGGAAGTGTACAAGCTACTACAAATTGCTGTAGTACAGCAAGATGGTGCCAAACTTGCTATAAAAAAAAGATAACACATTTTTTTCTTTTTTTTAAAATGCCATCAGTTATCGTTTGTTAAATAATTTTTTACTAAATAATGTTATTATTTGACTTGACTGACTGGTTCATTTCCACTTTCAAGTTACAAGTGGCCAAACTGACTTTTACATCTAAAAAAAAGGTGATTATGCATCATGTACATGCATATTTATATATTGGTTGTGCTGGGGACAGTGAAAATGTTGGACGCAGAAATCCGAACTACTGGCCCGAATTTGAGGACATCCAGAAAGAGAGGTTCCCAATATCACATTGGTTTTTCTTTTGGCAAACTCTGCTGCTGCTCAAATAAAACTACAATATTACGATATCTTAAGCCCCTTTTTGAACTCAACAAACATAAACAAAAAAAACTGGTATTTTATATTGTCCTTAAACAATCATGCCAACAAATCCTACAGTAGCATTACTCAATTATTCTGAATATATATTAATGTAATTCATATGAACATCAAAAATATGAAACTAGTAAAATAGGTTCTTCTTGCCTGGCCTTTGATACCCTGCTGGGTAATAAAAGTCTTCAGTGCTCCAGTCTCTGAGTTCTGTGGGTATCCAAAGTCCAGGATCTCTGCACACACACACACACACAATGACATAGATGAATCATTATTCTGGAATGAACCACTCAATGCTCCAAAAAAAAATTTGTTTTAAACAGACTTTGTCTCCATTTGTTTCATTTAGGTAACCTTTTATTATTTCAGCTGGAGGACAAGCTTTTCTGGACAGCTCATGGTTTAAGATGCACCTTACCACTAACAGTGGATGACTGCCAGGAAAGCATGCCATTTAGAGGAGGGCGAGTTTGGTTTGAGGTAATGCGGTTAACAGGCAACATGGAGGATCAGATGTAACAAAAAAACAGTGTCAGGAAATTACTACGTTTCTGAACCAGCCTTACCATCCAGCAACTCGTAGATAAGCACAAAGTTGTTCTTGATATTCTCCTCACTGATCTTCCCAAAGTAGGCCGTCATGACGTCACACATCTTGTAGAGGAACTCGAACACCATTGCAGCGTTGACATTCTGCTTGGTGACCGCAGCCAGCCAGATGTTGGAGCGTTTGACGTGGAAGAAGCTGGTGCGGGCGATGTTGGTGACGGGGGAGCGCACCTGCTGACGGGCGTGGATCACGTTCACACGGAACGCGTCCACAGCGTTGCGCCTGTGGAGGAGGATAAGGACGTGAGGTCAAGGTAGAGATAATGGAGTTGGGCAGGAAGAGCGAGCACATGGTCACCATCTGCCCGTAAACCCTTTAAGACAAGCACTCCTTTTATCTGCGAACAAGGCCTTAAAGACTTGACTGGGTGTTCCCTGTTGACCCAAATCTTCATGAACCTCAAGATAAGTTACAAGGTCCCAAGAGACTAAAACAAACCAAAGTGAACGTCTTTTGAAGAGAACTACACAGTCCAATAAAATAAAATTTCCTTTTTGTGTTTGCAATTTCATTTCTTTTTAAAATCATCCGCAGTAACCTATGCTTGCTTTTATTTTAAATTAACAGTGATTTGTGAATCTTGATGCTTTGATAAATAATTTAGCATTTAGCATTTATGCTGGGATGTGTAGGTTGTGCCTAGATGACACGTAACTTCAAATAATTTCATGGACATACAGAAAAAAAATAAAAAAATAACTATAGTTATGTGGGCGGGAGGGGGACAAAACATTAATGTGCCAGCGGGAGAGGGAGAAGGTAACATTTTTGCGGGAGTGGGCGGGAACAGGACTGAAAAGTCTGTCCCGTGGAGGCCTCTAGTTTCATGTATAGATAAACATTTCCATCAGAAAGGTGCATAATTTGTCAAAATATCCAACAAACACAAAACTAAAAAAATGACCAACGTTGTGTGATCTCATGCCTGGGTGCAGTCAAAAGAAAAGGGCATTATGGTAAACCTGCTGCTGGTGCAATTGCATATCCTCACAATATTTGATTGACTGAAGTATGTCAGGTGACATGCTTGAAGTAGAGCTGGGCAATACATAATATATATATATTTAAATATATGAATATTTATAATGGTATAGATGATTGTTAAACAAATGGTTATTACAGTTTGACAAAATTTTCTAAAAAGAAGGCCATAAACCCAAGTTTTCCAAACACCATTTAAGTAGGAAGGTTTCATGCCCACTACTAGTGCCATAACTTGTGAGAATATTGTTTTTTTTAAGCTTCCTTAATTTATACAAATAACTATTTTTAATTGTTTAAATATATGAGTTGAAAACACTAATTCAAGGTAAAATGTACAAGGAAGTCTGTTATTTTTTAATGTTGATAATATCTATAGACAGACAGATAGATAGATGCAATAACAAAAAGGATCAAGGCTTAGAAGGCATGTTTTGGCTATATTGCCCAACCCTAGATTGGGTTCACTGGTGACATGCGTCAGAGTGATTGGTTGGTTGTTGGGCTCTAAAAAAAAAACATGCCTGGTCATTGGTTGTAGTGGGATTGCTTACCTAGTGCTACAGTAGCCACAATGAACATGGAGAAAAACAGTACAAAGGACAAAGAGAATGAGGGGAATAATGACAAGGAAAAAGGAGAAAGACAAAGATGGGCTGCATGTGTAAATGGACAACAGTAATGCAAACACACACCAAATTAAATCTTTATGAGAACATTTGATCTAGGGTTTTATAAAGAGCCAAAAAAAAGTTTAAAACTACCCCATTTATGGGGGAAAAAAATGAAATTTAGTTTGTCAAGATGATGGAATGGGGCAATATTTCCTGTTTTCGAACATCCTGTCGTCTTTCCTCAACCCTAACAGGATAACCCCAATGGTATGGAGTTAAAACCCTGCTGAGCACGCATGATGAAAATAAGACCAGTATTTTTTTTTTACACCAACCAACAAAAAAAATCTATTCTAATAGTAAAAATAAATAGAAAACATACTGTAGCAACACAGACAAACACATTATCTCTGAAGTTTTTAGTGGTTGTCGTGTTTTCTGGATGGCTGTTTACTGGCTCGGCCACAGATGGTTTTGAAAAAACTAGAAAACGATCGACCTGGATTTTCTCTAACATACTCGATCTAGTCCTTGAAATCTGAATAAAATCAAAATCAAAAGATGCTATATATTGTTTGAACTTCGATGAAAATGATTGGGCTGAAAGACTATCCTAGAATTCAGACTCTGTATGAGCAATGCACATTAAATGAGGCTGAAATGAGTTTAAGTGATGTACTCTACCATTCTTATGAACTCTTACCGTCTGGAAAAAGGAACTCTCCATTATGGAACAGGTTTAAAATCTATTTTGTACCATTATGTATTAGACTGTTGAACATGAGTCTATTTATTTGTATGTGTATGGTGTGTATGGATATTTTGTTTTAATGTATCAGGTTTTGGTGAAATGCTGGCTATGGAGTCCATTACAAATTTCTCTATCAGGGACAATAAAGTATATTTCATTTCTTGTTTCAGAAGCTGTTTTCAGAGCATTTTCCACCCATGATGAACTCACTCACCCTATATCATCGCGGTAGACGCGGGAGATCAGCACCTCCCCTTTATGGTTATAGATGAACAGTCCTCCAATCATGGTGGCTGTCCCTCAGACCTCACATTCCATGGTGGGCAGTCAATTCTATAATTCACAGGACAATGAAAATGAACATGAAGCTCACTGACTGGCTGATAGAAGAGCTCTGTGGGACATTGATAAGATATGAGAGGCATTCAGCCCTACAAGTAAGACTAGATAAAGCAGCCATGATGAGGGTTTCCTCTCAACAAACCAAACAATATAGTTCAGGAGATAAAAAAAAAGACTTACTGACTATAAAAAATGAAATCACCCATGTTAAAATGTGTTTAAACAAGTGTCAGTTGTTAAATACCTTTTCAAAGTGTTTAAATTTTTTTAATGGTTTCATGTCAGGCGGTACAACCGAATAGTTTTATGTACATAATATACACTGTAAACCGCCTGACATGAAATGTACCCACTCATACTTGAAATGATAATTTTTTACGACTATTTGAGAGATCTACAAATCTTTCCACTCTGTCACAAAGATCAGTTGGGCTCCTCTGGATGATGCATTATGATTCCTGTTATTACATCATTAATTAATAATAAAATAGCCATGTTTGCAGTTGTGCCACCCTGACAATATATAAATTACTGGACAAATGTTTTTCAATTCTCTCAAAGCTTTAAAACTACTTATATTTATAAATGGCAGGTTTCAACCCTTAAATGATGCCGTAGTATTTAGTATTTAGTTTTTAATTTTTTATTTTTAAGAAAACATTTTAAGTTAATTTGTTCGGGCAGATGCACCACCTGACATTTTGGAGGTTTAAGATAACACAACATAACATAATATATATTTGGTACTAAAAATGAATTCAAAATTAATAGGTTTTATAGAATAAAGTGATATACGTCATAAATGAATCAAATCAAGGAAATAATGCACTTGCATTAAAATATGCACGTCATGTCATTGACCCTAATAACAATATAGGCTACTGAAAACTGAATGAGTATATCTGTTGGCGCATGGCAACAGACAAAATCATCCATTTTTCAATGACAAAACGCGAGATTGAGTAAATATAAGCGTTTGTTCGACAAACACGGCAAATGATGTTGGTATTCACTCAATGTACAGGCGCTGAACAGGAAGTGTCCGTCATGTGTGGTTAATCGCGGCGTAATTACTACAAGATGTCTGCCAACTGAGAGGCATGTTCCATAAAAATGTTCGTGTTTTGAAATCGTCATCTGTGCGTCCTTCATCTTGTACCTACTATTAATTATTCAAAATGCACGAAGAGTCATCAATAGTAAGGGAGCTGTTGGACTGCTCTATTCCTTCCCTCGAGACCTGTATCGAAATTTTGCGGAACACCTCGATGATAAAAACCATTCTTCCAGGCTAAAATACAAACACTTTCTGTCCTTGGGTATTTTCAGTTTAAAAATGTGACCATACCTACTTAATGTCCGCACGAATAGGCGCGTAATGGACCGTTCCCTCTCCGACCGTGGTATTTTTATTTTTTTGGACCTAAAGGATTAGCGGGACACTAGCAGCAATCCCTCCCTTGGCCAGGAAGTCAGCTGACAGCGTTGACTGTGCGCATGCGTACTGCTGCGACAACGCAACTAATATTTTGCATGTCCGTTTGTTTAATTAAAAAGACAAAAGGCGTCTATATTATTATTGTTTATTATTGTGTTATTGTATTTTAGTTTATTATTGTTTAAATAATTATATTATATTCTAGCTAAAAATAAAAAAAAATGAAAAACAGATCATGAATATTAAAACAGTAATATGACGTTGCTTAGTAACCTCACTGAAGCGCCCAATAGCAACATACCTAGTTAATATTTATGAGCTGAGTCTTCTTCGCCGTAGTACATGCGAGACGAGTACAAGACGGAGAGGAGGATAAATGTTGTCAATGTCAGAGAATAGGTCATGGATGGACCAACACAGTTCTAGACATTATGTTTATAGAGTAGAGCAGAGATATTTGATGAAAATACCGCATGCATCAGCCATGACATCAGCTCACGTGAAATAAGAGTAGCCTATCATTCAGTCAGAATCATCAGAACGGCTACAAATTCTGTGTAACATGCCTGTATTAACCCTTTCATGCATATGACAGACATATCAGGATCCCCCTGTGGTTTTAATTCTCGGCATGAAAAACAAGATAAAAAAAAAACAAAACAATTTGTACTCATTTTTCAAAGAGATTTTCAGATGTCCACTTGAGTTGACATGTGTTTTTGGTTTAATTGAAGAGATACTCTATTAATAACAGCAATATAGTGTGTATTTAACAAACCAAGTAATAAAATTCTATAAAATTATATGAAAGCTATAAAATACACAAAAAAAAATATTGCAAACACAATTGAGTTTGTTCCCATTCGACCAGCAGACCGATAAGAAATTCATACAAGCTTTGTGTTGTGTATTTTTGATATCAGAACATGAGTAGCCTACGTGCTCCATCAAAGATCTCTACAACCGGTGAAGGTATCTCAGGACACCCAAATCTGACTATATAGAGATAACACTGAGTGACGCTCCATCCAGTTTAGAGTATGTCGATTTACCCAAACTCATTTCTTCCGTAGCTCTTCTCCTCTCTGAGAAAACCTCAGACTAAAATCTTGATTGATGTTTTCAGACTGGGGGAAAAACTAGAGATCAGGTGTTTTTCAATCTCATCTGAAATGACCAGAGCTGCTGGGTATAATGGATTACAAGTAACATGCATAATGTAATCAGATTACTTTTTGAAGTTATGAGTAAGTAACATACACGTAATCACAGTACATGTGCAAGTATGCCATCAAAACCCATGCATATGTAAGAAAATGCTTTTTGAATAACCTCTATGCTTGAAAGGGTTAATTCTGAAAGCGAGCTTTTAATATTTATATCCATTTTATAAATTGCCTAGAACTATTTCCTAATATTCACATAGAGATCTCGTGGATGCCTCTGTTTTTACTTAATTTAGCAATTAATGACTATTTGCAATGCATCTGATAATGTTTTGATAAATTTAGACTAATATAAAATAATTGATGATCTGCAGTTAGACTTTACGAGGAAACAAAAATATGCAGAAAATATTAGTATTCTGGTCAAAGCACTGCTCATGCAGCGAGTAGGTTGATCCTGCAGGGACACAATTAACAAAGACTTTCTTGTCTTAATTCAAAGGATTCAGCTCATAAATGTTTCCATCAGCCTACTCACATTTGTTTCATTCCTATTATATGAAAAAATGTGTTTTTGTTTATATAATCTCATCAGTTTAATAAAGAATGATTTGATCAAAAATAATTATAGCCTAGTGTAAATATCTTGGACAATGTTTTAATTTAAAAAAAAAAGGCATTTTTATAGGCATGTGTGTATATTAAACTGTTTAATTTTACACAGCGTAACATTTTGTAATGGAGTCCATAGCAGACAAACCTGAGTGCAGTTTATTTATTTCCAAACGTGAGCAAAATACAAAACAAAGACTTGATTTGGCATGATTAATAATATAAACGTAGAAACAACACACCACACAGCGGTGCAGGGACAATTTTAGACAAAGACGCATGGCAAAAATAAGGGCTTAAATACACAAGGACTAGTGACTAAACAAGACACACCTGTGAACATAATAAAGACAATTAATTAACCAATGACAACATGACATAAGAGACTAGGGAAGCACACGGCACAGGGAATCATAGGACAATACAGGAAACAAGACTGTAACCTGAAAAATGAACCAAAAAAACTATAGGCCTAGCCTACATTACAAATCCCCCCCTCTTTGGGGCGGTTCCCGACGCCCAACATGAAACCAAAACACATTTGTGTGGCTATTAATATGATTAAGATCTTTTTGAATAAAAATGAAAAGAGGCAGAGTGGTGTTTTATAACACATTTCATTTTATTGACTAATAACATTTATTGACATTTATTTATTGGCTAAAATATACATAAAGAGATAACAAGAGTGTCAGATCCAGCTGAACGCCACTGATCCATTTGCTGAATCCCAGCAAAGTAAAGTTTGCGTATACTTGGTATTGAGAAACACCCAAGGACTTGTGGTGACTAAACAAGATACACCTGTGAACATAAGCAAATTAACCAATGACAACATGACACAAGAAACAAATAGGGAAGCGACAGGAAACATGACTTTAACATGAAACATGAACCCAAAACAAAACAATATATCACACATTTATGTTTAGCATATGTTTAATGACAAAAAAGAACAGAAAATCTGATTTATTTTTTATTTTTATTTATTTATTTACATTTGATGACGTCGCCAGCAGTGACGTCAGGGATGCGATGGAGTAAAAAGATGCTCTGGCCGAGTGGAGAGAGAGAGCGAGCACACACTTCAGTCAGACTCACATCAGCAGCATCACAAGATGGGCAACGTTCAAGTGAGTAAAACAGTGAAGTTTCCTTTTCGCACTTTTCTCTGTTTCTTTTACTACAGATAACGATATTTATTGTTATTACGTAGCCTATGCAACATATTGTGTAGACTAAATAAATGTGTTTATGCGCAAAAGTTTCTCGCGTGACACTTCGATGTTTTGTTTTGATGCTTTAACAGATTTCCCACAAGTTTTATTATTAACATAGGCCAACTAAACTCAAAATGCTTTTAAAATGTAGCCTATAGTTATTGTTGCACATATATTCATTTAATATCGGCGGTAGGCTACTATTAGCCTATAGCCTTGTGTAGGCTATATTACTGATTTCAGCAGTGCACTCCTATAAGAAGAAGAAGAAGAAGAATGTTAATCAAAGAATAACTGTTTTGTTTTCGATGAGTTGTTATGGCAGTGGGCGAGGCAGAGGAAGGCTTACTCTGTTCCTGTCCTTTCCCAGAGATCCCATGACTCAGCTGTGTGTTAGACAGAACCCCTCCCCGCATAGACTACTGCATTGTGATCTAATCCATAAACCTTTGAAAAACATCCTGATGGGTCCCTGACCACATCTTTGTACAATATAAAATGAATGAATTTTTTAACCCATTTCAAAATCTGTAAATTTTATTTAAAACTGCAAATATAGTCTAATTGCACAACACATGAGTTTTCTTACACAACCTTTATTTCAGCCCACAATAACTCCCTTTGAAGACTTTGATGTGATGGCAGACATCAAGACAATCCGTAAGGCCTGCAAAGGAATGGGTAGGTTAAATAAAAATAATACTGTTGGAAAATAAATGGGTGTTTGCTTTTGCTTTTTTTTTAACTTACAATATGATGTAGCACTTTTAAAGTCTGCATGAAACAGAATTTGCTACCATCTTTACTTCAGCGTTGGGATGTATTGAAATATACATATTATATTGAACAAGAATATTGAACAAGAAAAAACTAAGGGTGGGGCTTGATTTTAATGTCCTCCTCGCCGTTGTACTTTATGTAATATTGCAGTGATTATTATAAATGATTTCCACATGTACATTATTATTTAAAATAAATATTTTGTGCCTTCATAATCTTTAATCAAATTAACTTCCCCTCCCTCTTAGAGATTTTTTTTCTCTGTTCTGATGATGTGTTTGCGAGACAACCCGCGTGAGGGCGGGGCAATCTGTCTCTCACATGAGATCTCAGCAATAGCAAATCACAACCATCCAATCAATTCTCCGTGGACAAAATGAAGCCCCGCTCTACATTTATTATTATTATTATTATTATTATTATTTTGTATTAGTATTTTTATTCGAATTTTCACATTTTACAAAAAAGCTAGTGAAAATGATGCATTTAGAAAATGTATAACAACCATGTAAATAATTATTAATTATCATCCATAATATATTACTAATAATAATATAAAATGGGATAGAAAAGAAGAAAAAAGTAATAAATAAATAAACTAAGAGCATTTAAATGTTAAATGTAACAAATGCAGTTTCAGTTATGGTGCACAAACAAGCAGTCAGTAGAGCCCACCTTCCTTTTTTCTTGTCCAAGTAGAGGTTTCACTCGGATATACGTCACAATAGGGACGTAATGACAATCAAAACTATCGTTTCATGCTGACTTTAAAGATTTTAATTAAGGGAATATTTGCATGACGATGTGCTAAAAACGGAAACGTTATTTCTTTGCGTTTTTGAATACTTACACGCACAGACATTGCCAAACGATCCCCGTTCACACAGATCCACGAAAATGATATTATTCATGGCATGCCAGTAGATGGCGATGGAATTTTGTAAAGAAAACATATGCACCTATAGACTGAACACGTAACGCGCGTACAGATGAATGCACCGTTTTCACAAATTTTTTAGTTTATATGGAGACTATAACGGTGTCGTATTCAAAAACTTGAAACCTGTTTTCAAACGTTTGCTTTTTCGGTCTGCAAAAATGCAGTTGTCGTGTAAATGGCTGACCAAAAAGCATGCCGTTTCCACATTTTGTTGAAAACGGTGTCATGTAACGGTTGTGGGGCTCTTAGGGGGTGTTTACATAACACTATGACATCACCAACTACTGGCCTGGCATGCATAATACAGCAGTTTTAGTCCTTTCCGCGGATCCATGTAAACTGGGATCGTTTTGACAACATTGTTGCCTGTATGCAATTTTGTTTGTTTTTTACACAAAGGAAAAACTTTTCCATTTTTAGTACATCGTTGCCGAGTAAACGTACCCTAAATCTGATAGAGGAATAACTGACATTATGAGGTATTAGCTCATCTCCCATTGTTCACAGGGACGGATGAAGAGACCATCATTTCCATTCTAGCAAACCGCTCTGCATCACAGCGAATGGAGATTAAACAAGCCTACTTCGAAAAATATGACGATGTGAGTCAGATCTTTGAAATATTTATTGACAAACGCAAGTACATCCTTTATTTATATAAATGTTGTTGTTGTTTTTTTTTGTGAAAGTACAATATTTATGCTGATCTAATATGGCCTAAATATAGTTTGTCTAAATTTAAAGGTAGGGTAGGCAATTTTTGGAGAGGCTAGCGATAGCGAGCTAGCTTTGAAAGCATAAGATCCCACCCTCCCTTCAGAGGGTCTCCTAAACGCTCCTTCAAAACACATGAACACGCTCAGCAGGGAGAAAACAAAAGCATGACGAGAGATGGCGTTAAACTACCTCATGTCTCAAAGCACATAACACTACAGTAATAATGAATATAAACATCTTAAAGGCAATTTGACTGCTGCAGATTCATTTATGCAATGATTGGATGGTCCTACACCTTCCACAGACGATATACATATAAATACATTTAGACTGATCACTATCAGGATGTGAATAGACTTTCAACCAGCATAGCAAAAAATATGTCTGCAACAAATCGCCTACCCTGCCTTTAAAGTCTTATAAAAACAAACACTAATCTCAAATTACATAAGCCATAGACCTGTGGTTTCTAATTTTCCTCTCCCAGCATCACATTGCATTGATTTAGACTACATTAGTAACTGGAGTAGTTTCGACCATTATGCTTTCACCATTTTAAATATCGTGCAGAGTTCATGGAAAGCTGGAGTATTGTATTGAACCATAGTTTTTCTTCATATTCCTTCTCTAAATCCAAACCAAAATGTTTATAACCAGTATTGTAACAAATGTATCTCGCATACAATCCCTTGAAATGTAATGAGAACTAAGTCTTTTAGTTAAAAGTATTTTGTAATCATATCATAATTCATTGATAGACTGAACCACCATGCATCTATTTGAGTCTGTTTCTGGTTTGTTCTTTCGGTCTGTGGCCACATTGGAAAGGAGTTGACGGAAGTCTTGAAGAATGAACTCACAGGAAACTTTGAGAAAGCAATCATAGCCATGCTGGACCCGCCCAACATCCTCATGGCTAAAGAATTGAGGAGAGCCATGAAGGGTGCTGGGACAGATGAGGACGTGCTGGTGGAGATCCTCTGCACCTGCACCAATCAGGTTATAATTCACATCTGTGACTGTGGTGATCATTTTTATTAGATTGAGAGAATAGTCACGCAAATTTCAAGCATCAAACATAGCATTACTTACACAATATATATTTTTTCTTTAACAGGATATTTTGAATTGCAAAGAGGCATATGCGCAAGGTAACCTTTAATCAGATACAAATGATTTTGTGATGTAATGAAAATATAAAGAGATATGATTTTATTGTTGACTTGCTGTGATGCTAATATTATTACTAGTTGTAAAATAATGTATTATTATAGTCATGTAACCGATCTTTTGGTCTCCAGTGAATGAGAGAGATCTGGAGGCTGACATTGAAGATGACACTAGTGGAGAAGTGAGGAATCTTCTGGTTTCTCTCCTAGAGGTAAAATACGAGTTCAAGTCCAGTAAGTTTGATGCAGTATTTTAAAGCTTTACAATACTTTTAGGAACATGAATGTCGCCAAAGTCCCTTTAAGGATTAATAGTGTTTGGTGCAGAATTCCATTCTTAAAGTTTGCATTTGCATGCTACTGGATCTGCAGTTTATAATGCAGGATCAATTGCATAGTGCAGTATCAATGTATTAATTAAATCTACCAAGGTTTTTTGGTATTATTTGCTATGAACAACTGACTTTCACCTGCAGGCCGGCAGGGATGAGTCTTATGAAGTGGATGAAGCTTTGGCAGAACAGGATGCAACATCATTGTTTGAGGTGAGGATAACTGTGATGTTTAAATCTCGTTTATAACTTTATTTTTGGGTTGCCAAGTCCTTGGTTTTCACGCATAATTGGCATTCTTTTATTAACGGTTTAATAAAAGGCTTCCACAGAAGGATTATATTAAGTTATGTTATATTATCCATTTAACTCCCTTAAGCCTGTGCCGCCTTCTGCTGTATACTATCAGTATTAGTGCCGCTAACTAAAATTATTTTGATGAAATAAAATGAAATATAAATATTAGAACTTTAACTACAACTAACCGAGATAAATAAGTTTGTTTAAGTACTAAAATTACTCAAATTAAAACTGAAATGAAAATAAATTAAAGCTAAATAGAAATATTTAAAGAAAAACGACTCGTAAAATTGTGGTTGGTTACTTATGAAACTAATACAAATCATCACACTATTACAACTACAACACTATTAAAACTTAAAACAAATTACTAAAACTTAAACGAAATAAAATACTACTATACACTATTTAAAAAACACTATACTACACCTTGCAATGATGACACTGACATTTTCAGGATATTTTTTTTTGTTTTGTTTGTGAACTTGACATTTTAAACTTTTTAATAGCCACTCACTTTTCTTAAAATTTTATCAAATAATTTAACTTAAAAGAACCTTAAAGGTACATTTCAGTACCTAAAGTGTGGATGATAGTACCTAAATAGTATATGTTGGTGGTTTCTAAAAGGGCACCATACCAGTTACAGCCCTTGTGCCTTGTGTATGGCATATTTTGTGTTGTGGTATTTGGCTTGGACGATATTTGATTAGTTGTTTGATTTTCTTTCTCAAGCAGACCTGACAACCCCAGTTATTTTGTTGTGTGAATGAATATATGAATGACTATGTGGTTGGTTTTCAACAGGCAGGTGAAGGACGTTTTGGAACAGATGAGTCCACTTTCAGCTACATCCTCGCTCACAGGAACTACCTACAGCTTCAGGCCACCTTTAAGATATATGAAACTGTACGGTCAAACACCAGCTATGTCCTACGCTGCTTTACAACAACTGTTTCAACATTCTTTCTGAGTTTCTGGTTTCTCTTTTGTTTTGTCTTTCCATAGCTCTCTGGAACAGATATCCTGGATGCTATAGACAGTGAGGCTACAGGGACATTAAAGGACTGTTACATTACTCTGGGTAACCATCCAAACTCTAAAAAGCCTTTAGGAAATGTGTTCCTTCTTTTGATTTAAAGAGTCATGTTGCAGTTTAAAGTAGTGACCCTAAGCTACTTTGAAAGGATTAAGCTATTTGATATAGCCTTTTCTGCTCGCAACATGCATCACAATGTGATTTGGTTTTGTTTGAACAGTGCGATGTGCCAAAAATCCACAGCTATATTTCGCCCGTCGTCTGAACGCTGCGATGAAAGGAGCTGGGACCGACGAGGACACGCTCATACGTGTTATTGTGGGACGCTCTGAGGTTGACACAATTCTTGATAACACAAAGACTCTTTTCATATAAATTCTGGAAATAATAATAATATTTTGCTATTCACATTCACCTCTAGGTGGATTTGGAGACCATCAAGGACATGTACTTGGAGAAATATGATGTTACCCTAAAGGATGCCCTGAGCTCAGAGTGTGGCGGTGACTTCAAGCGCCTCCTAATAGAAATAATTCACTGAGTCACCATCAGGTGGAGCCAGTAACTAATAATAAAAAAAGAAAGAATGATCATATAACACTGCCGGAAAATACATGCACAATCACTTAGGATCACCTCTTTGTGTCAAGGATATGCCTGATTTTGTCATTGGTGCAATTTAGGAATTGGATAAATTGAAATAACATGATTATTGCCATAACACTTTCCTAAAACTAAAGCGCTGCTCAGTCTTATAGTCTCTATTGCAGTAAATTCGACTTCTGCATTAACTCATTACACACGTGCCTTGAGAAAAAAGTCATGAGTAACAGCTCAGTATTTCATCATCCATTTCTTTTTCAAAACAAATTATGGAGCACAAAGGGTGGTCCATTTAAACCTCTGTCTTTTCACAAGGGATCTTTGTATCTATAAACCAAATGTGTATGTCTTTAGTATATTGTACCAGTTACATGCTAATATTAAAAGCAGCTCTCTTAAGTGCTAAGATTGTCAGTAGCTACTTGAGTGTTTGACAATGCTTTTTAACACTGGACATTTCTCTTTTATTGAACAGCAGTTGTTATACAGTGGTGACTGTTAATATGTTAAAGCAGCAGTGTGAACCTATTATTATTGCAATGCTTCAGAATATATTTGTTTTTAAAGATAATGTAACAAGGTTTGTGTGTAGAAGAAAGTGATTAATAATATCAGAGATATTACAGACAACTAGTACTGTATATAGTAAAAGAACATTAAGTGCATGGCAAGCCGTTTAAGCATGAAATACCCCTGCTTCTAGTAGTAATTCCAGATGCCTTTTATGCAATTTTGACTCGTTGTAATTGGAATTAAGATATCTACAACGTGATTATGACTAGTCATATTTTTTATTAAAGACATATACAATGTTATTTTGACAGTCATAATATACATTCAAGACATCTATAGTGTCATTTTGACAGTCATAATATACATTCAAGATATCTACAATGCTATTTGGACTATATTCTTCCATTGGTATGGAAATGGCATATAAAACTACTCTTTGACTATCCATAAATATATTTTGGATAGTTAAAATTTTATTTCTAATTTGACCAGTCAGAAATGATAATTAGAGACATCTGCAATTATAATTGCACTAGTAGCAAGAAATCTGATTCGAGATATCTCTAAAATACTTCGAGTAGTCAAAAAGATATCTGTAATGACATCATATATCTTCAATTGACGCATCACACTTACGCAAAGGTAATTAAAGATTTCTCCAATTCAGTTTCGACAGTATTATACTTTAAGATGTCTGAATTCTGCTCCTAGTCAAATCTGCTGTTGTGTGTGATGTGAGACTTCCTCCCTCTCACCAGAGTCACCCCCTGCCTGCCAAATGCTTAGTGCTAACAACAGTAGCCTGCTTTTGTTGTCACGGAAAGAAAAGCTAGGCTACTTGATGAATTACTTCAGGGATTATTAAGTAATATCTGGATGCATTCATAATATGAATGGTAAAAGGTCTCCAGCATGCATACGTAGCGCTGTGATTTTAATGGAATCAGGTTGCAAAATGGACCAACTAAAGTGCAATGTTCAATAAAGACAGAGAACCGTAAACTTGCTCGTCTGAATTTACTTATTATATATTTTTAAAAGACATGAATGAAGAACAATGGAATTTTACACCGACCCTAATCAAACACACCTGAATAGCCTACTAATCAAGCAGGTGTGAGTTTCATCAGGGTCGGAGATGCCCTGTCCACACCCCCTTGGATCTTTAAAAGCGCTCTAAACCATTTTTACGACGATTTGTGTTGTGGGATTGAGCAGGTGATTTGAGGCTGCAACACTCTTGTTCATTGTAGTTTTGTTTGCCGCACCGTCCCAGAGATTCACACTGTTTCAGCACATGTTCCAGCAGAGTTCATTGTGAGATTTCAGGTTAAGAGTATGACAGCTCGAATGTACTGCATCTTGAGTGCTGTTGTATTGTGTCTGCCTGCATGCTTGAGCACAACAGACGCCCAAGTCGAAGGTGAGATAATCGTTTAAATTTATTACTACTATTAAACTCGAAGAAAAGCACAAGTGCCGTAAAGGGGTCCTTGATTATCTAGTAGGCTAGGCTAATTAACTTTTTTATCCATGAGTTTGATTGATTTCTGTTAGCACTGACTGGTTTCTGATAAATGATTATTTAGTGGATAACCTCGTATTCGTACCTAGGAGGAAAACTTGTTTGTTAATGTTGTCAGGGTTTGAAACGGGCATCATCATAAATGTTTGCATCTGATTAGAGCTTGCCGTTATGAAGCGTCGCGATATTTCCCGGACACTCGCGAAGCACTGCCGATCATAAAACGGTCAGTCTATTTGAAGGAGGGGCTTCATCAAAACAAGTTCAACCAGATTCATTTCTTAAATAATGTTTGAACAATCAATTGAACAATCAAGCATGAAAACATTCTATTACACTCAAAAATTAAAATCAAGTCTTTGTGAAAGGTCATAATAGAGTGCCGAAGTTACGACGTCACTCTGTAGGCCAAAACGCATTACGGTTCCCTCGCTCTAAAGCCTATGGGATTTTTGAATGGGTTTTTGCTAAATCGCCTGAAATAAGGTCTGTGGTAAACAAAGCCTCTAAATATTTTCACGTTTTGATCTATGCCATAGAACACACATTTATAACCTGCTTGTGGTTATTTAAACTTTATTGTGTCTGTGTTTTTTAAAATCTTTATATATTCAAAATATAAATTTTGGATTACCTTGTAAAGATTATCTTGCTAGACAAAACGTGTAAGGGTCATAACCCTTTGTTAAACAGATCTTTTTTTTTTTTTTTTTTTGCGATTTTCCAAAAGTCTATGGGGAAAATGCACTGTTTTTCGACCGAGGGAATGCGCCGCTAGCTTCCGGGTTGTCCTACAAAGTGACGTCATCACTTCGGCACTCTAGTCTATAGGACCCCTTTAAATACTACTTTTTAAAATTATGTAGCCTACAGTACATTTAGTAACAGCCGTAAACTGCCCCATGCCTCCTATATCAGCATTTTAACATCCCTTTTTGTCTTTGAAACTAACTGATACAGTAGTAATTAAATGATTTTCTACTTTATTATTTTTTTTATATCTTTACGTTTGAGACTTGTATTGTAAAACCTCTGACTTGCAAATGCTGAAACTATTACACAACTCCGTGGTCTCCACTCTTGATGATGATAATCTTGAATCCCCTTCATGTGCTCAGTGCCTGGTCGGTGTCCGGCGACTCTGACGGTCGTGCCGTCCAGTCGAGGATGTACATCTGATCGAGACTGTACTGGTGGACACAAATGCTGTCAATTTCCCTCTGGGCATTCGTGTGTGCCTCCTATTTTCGGTGTGTTTAAACTTTTAATAGATGCTATAGCTCTTCAAAAATAAAAATAAAAAAAGACGCTGAAAAACTGGTATAAAGTTGTTACTCAAATTACTTGTAAATTTCACTATATAATCACAATACCCCCCCCCCCCTCCAAAAAAAAAAAAAAAAACCAAAAAAACAAATGGTTAGCTGTCAATGTCTCTGTATAACAGCAAAACCAGGAGAGTGTCCAAGCAAAATAACTGGAGATGGAACGTGTGTGGATTTCTGTGCCTATGACGGTGACTGTCCGAACAATGAGAAATGCTGCAGTAATGGATGTGGACGTCAGTGTATGGCTCCAAATACAGGTATTAATATTGTTTTACTTTATTAAAGTGTGTGGGGCAGCTTTCTTATTGTCTTCAGTTTTGTTCAATTCAAAAGTAGCCTTCATGAATTCTACCCAGATCACTGATGGACTGAATGCCACTAAATGGACTGACTAAACTTGACCATCTTTATCCATGCAGTGAAGTCTGAGGCTGAACCACCGAACCCTAAGCCTGCACCGAGGCCTGTGGCCCGACGCCCTAAGCCTGCACCGAGGCCTGTGGCCCGACCCCCTAAGCCTGCACCGAGGCCTGTGGCCCGACCCCCTAAGCCTGCACCGAGGCCTGTGGCCGAACCCCCTACGCCTGCACCGAGGCCTGTGGCCGAACCCCCTACGCCTGCACCGAGGCCTGTGGCCGAACCGCTGAAGCCTGCGGCCAAACCACTGAAGCCTCGTGTCAAAGCCTGCTACGAAGCCTGCCGCCAAACCATCAGTGACTGCATCGAAATCTGCCACGACACCTCCGGAGGCTGCCGTTATGCCTTCAGAGCCTGTGCCAAAACCTGCCGCCAAAGTAAAAAGCCCTGTTTTAAAGCCTGTCACCGTCCTCCAAAGCCTCCGTGTGCTGGAAATTCATGATTGTCATGAAACTTAGAAACTTACATTCAGAGTTCCTTCCTAACACGAACTGGAGTACTACTGCAGATCAAATCAGTGCTTTATTCGTATGGGATGTTTATCACCAAATAAATCTTTTTTTCCTTTTTTTTGTGAATTGTCTTTCTACTTTATCCTCCCACATGAAAAACTGATGCTTTTTTTCCTTTCTATGTATGGGAGAAATGGTATATGAAAAGAGTAGCATGTCTTAAAACCCTAATATTCGTAAAACAGTAGGTGAGACATCCTCAGTTGGCCTACTCTACTGTGGCCACCTCAATTCTGAAGTGCTCATAGACAGATACTTTTCTATCCCAGCCTTCCCAGGGGGCCATTGGAATTTATATATATATATAAAATAGGCCTATGTCTCTCACAGTGGACACGATAATTTCAGACCCCTCCATGATTTGTAAGTGGGAGAATAGCAGGGTGTTCAAATAATATTCTTTTGTTATGCACAGAGAAAATCATGCAAGATTGGAATGGCATGAGAGTGAGTAAATTGTGATAGAATATTTAGTTTTGGATGAAGCATCACTTTAAAAGCCTCTGCTCTCTGATAGTTAACTGAAAAAAATATAATATTTTCTCTCAACTACTCTGTCTTACTGACTGATAATAGACCTTATGTAGCCCCGCCCCTTTTCAGCGTTGAGCTCGTTGTCTTCTGACTTCCGGTCTGTATTTTCACAACGACTTTGTATAGGTAAGAATAACTGCTCGTAAAAAAATCCCTGGTCGAGATTTGTTAAGACTTCTACTTTACAATGCTTATGATAAACCTAACAATGCTCATGATAACTTTTGTTAACTCTACAATAAGTAAATCCACTTCACCAGCTAATTACTCCTCGTCAGTGATGCCAAAAACGGAAGTTCAAAGACAATATTCTAAAGATGACGGCGCCCGCCACGTTTCTCTGGTGCATAGGTCTATAGGAATAGTGTAAAAATAGTCTTTAAGCTCCCCCAATGACCTTTAAATGTTTCCAGCTGTTTCACTTTAAAGGGTTAGTTCACCCAAAAATGAAAATTCTGTCAGTATTTACTCACCCTCATGTTTCCAACCCCGTAAGACCTTCGTTCATCTTCGGAACACAAATTAAGATATTTAAGATATTAAGATCGCTCCTGCATACAGTCCATAGGCTTCTTGAGGGACTGGCTCTTGCCGTCCCCGAAAAGTCATTAAAGACATCGTTAAAATAGTCCAAGTGACTACAGGGGCTCAATCTTAAGTTTATCAAACGACGAGAACACTTTTGTGCGCAAAAAAAACAACAAAATAACAAAAATAAGTTATTTCAACTATTCGTTTATTTCTCCCTCTGCGCGAGTCAGGTAACTAGTTTAATAGCGTAAGCTTCTGTTATTGTACGTCACACGCATCACACACACATGACCAGCGTCGGCCAATAGTGAGCCTACGTGTTACGTAGCTCTACGCAATCACACTACGTTAACTGACTTACAGGCTCATGGAGAAGGAAGTGAATAGTTGAAATAAAGTCGTTATTTTTGTTGTTTTTTTGCGCACAAAAGTATTCTCGTCGTTTGATAAACTTAAGATTGAGCCCCTGTAGTCACTTGGACTATTTTAACGATGTCTTTAATGACTTTTCGGGGACGGCAAGAGCCAGTCCCTCAAGAAGCCTATGGACTGTATGCAGGAGCGATCTTAATATCTTAAATATCTTAATTTGTGTTCCGAAGATGAACGAAGGTCTTACGGGGTTGGAACAACATGAGGGTGAGTAAATACCGACAGAATTTTCATTTTTGGGTGAACTAACCCTTTAAGTCAAGTTCAGGCTTCAACACAACAGTAGTATTATTGCATTCTCTAATACTGAACACCTGAACTGTCACTTTACCAGACATTTAACCCTTCTACTGAGAGAAAGCCATAAAGTTCATCCTGTCTTGACAGAGAGAAAAATAGACTCTTGATTCACATTTCTCAGGTTAGCATCTAAATCTCTATACATTATGTTGCTAACATTTGAGCATTGTTCTATGTGAGGTAGATATTTGTAGCGAAACAAAGATAATTTAACCACTGATTAATTCCCATATGTGTGAAATTTTAGAGGGGGCTGTATGGTGAGGGCCGTCTGTGAGAACTGACCTGACCCCGTTAAAGTAGTCATAATTCAGTGCTTCACGTTAGCCCTTTGAAGGGCTCAGTCTATCACACTCTTCTCCTTATGGAATAACTTTAGATCAACGTCATCCCCAGCTCCCAGTAAAGCTTTAATATTAACCAAATGTCTTGGAAAACCGCAAGTCTGCATACATGCTTCCTAAGATTATAAACCTATTTTCACCCCTAGTTTGGCTTCAGTTTCTTTTACGGCCTTTTTATAGAAACCTTAAAAAACTAAGGTGTATTTGTACAAGTATTTGTTGTATTATTATTTGCCATAAATTAAATGTCATAATTTCTGCTTTGAGAATAACAACACAAAAAAAATATAATAGAGGAGGCCAAAGGGCTGCTTCTATCCTGTTTTAACAAAACCTGCATATTAAAGAGCACAATTAAAGACATCTGGTTCTGTGCGCCACAGACACCTGCATTTGATTCCCACTACCAACAGAAAATGTTTACCACCTTTTTCTGGTAGAAAATAAAATAACAACAACATATAGTTGAACGTTTTATTCAAAGATACAGGCAAGATACAAAACATGCTGTAAGACGTACCCTCTTTTAAGGTGAGGAAAACAGCAAATAATTAAGGAAATAATACGTAGATAATACATTGGTTGAATGCTATGAAGTGCAAATATAATAAAAAGAAAATTACCTGATCAGAACTGGTAGATGAAAACATTTGAAAATTAAACCATACAACAACCTATCACACAAAGATCCGTGAATAATAATAATGAAAATAATAAAGAAAGAGTAAATTAATCATATTTTCTCAACTAAAAAAAAAAATCGTACATGATGACACAATGACACTTAAAACCCAGAAATCTAGCCCTGAAGCAAAATTTTGTTGTTGTTGTACTATTTGGTTGTACAGGGGTACAATTATTTAGAAATGGGATTTGCAAAACGGCTGGCAGATTTTGAAAATACACAAATCAAAAGGTCCTACCTTCTTTCCTCCAAAGCTGGCTCTGACTCCACCCACTCCACCCATTCGAAGAGGGGGATGGGGAGAGGGGGTGTGGTACCACCACTCGATTGACGCACTTACTGTCCAATGATTCTAGGTGGTCTTGGAAATGATTGGCTGGAGTTTTTTTCGAGTCCTGCCCATTCCACAGATGATTAAATTGCTTAATTTTCATTTCAGTGCTTCTAACTCAGTGGCTGTAAGTGGGTTAGAAATAGGATTTCAAGTGATTTTGAAAAAAAATGGTCAAAAAAGAAAATCACATACCCCACCTTTAAGCTTAACCAACGACTAATTGATGCCTAAATAAAACCGTCATCCAAAAGTACCTCAGCTAAATGCATAAAGACAGTAAGAACATCAGCATGGCAGCTTAACTTAATAGCTCATGCAGCTGTCCAGAGGATAGAAATGCTACTTCCTGCATCATGGGCGATTTGGTTGATGCGCCCTCTCACACAGTCCACCGTAGCAAAGATTACAGTGCCGTTATGCACCTGGAACGATCCCCTCAGTCCCACGCTTGCCCAAACACTTCCCTCCGGCATTTGTCCACTAATCTGTTGAGCAACAGGGGCTGGCTGATCCCCCTGAGACCCACTCTGTTGGAGCAAGGTGAGTTTAATTAAACTGCATGAGTGGATAAGCCGCAGATCTAAGGCCACACTCGCTGTCCCTGCTTCCCGAAAGATGAAGTCTCTGTGATCTTTGGTTCCAGCGAGTGCAACTTGTGGAACTGCTGGAGTAGTCTGATGGAAGAACAAGGCCTTATTCCGCACTGCACCAGTGGGGAGACTCTTCCTGGACACGGCGGCTGACAGGGCAGTGGACACAGCCGAAGGGATCCACACCAGACTGAGCATGCTAATCCCAGAGTCGTCACCAAAGTAGCGCACGTTGCACTGCGCGGGTGCAAGGATCTCGAAGGTGAGCATATCCCCAGAATCCACAGTGGTGGCAGCCGACAGAGATATAGACGTATCTCTGTAATGAACGCCAGGCTTGAATGCACGGGTCAGCTCAGCACTGCTTCCGTTGTGGTTCACGTATGCAAGTAAGTAGAAGCCCTCTGAGATGCAGGCTTGACCCATTGAGTACAATGCTTGCTGAAGGACGAACTTCACAGTGCCACTTTCCCTGAAGCGCACCCCACGATTGTCATGGGTCAGCCCGACCATGTAAGCGTCGGAGGTGGATGAGGTACGGAAGGCAGGACGGTAGTTGGTGTGGTAATGCGCAGAGGCAACGGCCTGAGCAGTCATAGCAACTGCACCTGTGTCATGGGACAACCAGAACAGACTGAATGGTGCTATTAGGCTGCTCTGAAGGTGCACGTCTTCATTTTCTTGGCTACACTGGTTGGTGACACTCTTGAGAGAAAGGTAGAGCACATGACCTGGCTCCACAGCAGCTGCTCCACTCACAATGGCACTCTGGAGAGACTTCCCCTCCCGCTGCTCCAAACGCATGCCACTCAGATCCCGACCTTCACCTTCACTGGCATTCAGTCGCAAACACGCTTGGACAAAGCTGCGGCAGCCATGTCTTAAAGCAAGGTTATGGTCGACCCAAACAAGACCATGTTGGTGGAGCACTATCCACCCATCAGTGCTGGAAAGAAGGCTTCCGTCACTAATGCCACGGATATGAAGTTGCTTATCGGGAAACTCACTACCCTTGGCTAGGTCAACATTACCAGACCAGGAAAGAGAGAGTCTGCTTTCAGAGGGGTTGGCGCACACCGCATCACTCGTGGCCAAACATGGGGACGTCATTGGCTGAGAGTCGCATTCTGTACAGGCTTGACACTCTTCCATATCAGAATTGTAAAAATAAGAGTGGCCACAGATTCCAGCAACTGCTTCCCTCTCCGACACGCCGGAGCAGCGGAATCCTCCTGAAACAATGCACTATGATTAATCTTTTAGGAAGTTAATCTTAAACAAATCTGGAAGTCTGGTAGGCGGCTTACCTGGTGTGTTGAGGCACTGGTTGCGTTCTTTACATACGTTTGGCATCTCGAGGCATTCGTCTCTGTCCTATTAGACAATTTTAGTTGTCATATTGTATTTTTTTAAGTTGTTTAACATATAATTTGACTAAAAGCTTTGACATCAAGTGTTGTTGATGCATTTATTTGTTTGATTAAACTACAGAAATTTTATTTGATTGCACCATCAGGGCTTGACATTAAAGGGTTAGTTCACCCAAAAATGAAAATTAAGTCATTAATTACTCACCCCCATGCTGTACCAACCCCGTAAGACCTTCGTTCGTCTTCGGAACACAAATGAAGATATTTTTGATTAAATTTGAGAGCTGTATAACTACCACATTGGCTCCTAAGGGACTGTCTCTTGACGGCCCAGAAAGTCAATGAAGAAAATGTTTAAATATCCCAAGTGACTACCGTGGCTCAACTATATGTTTATCAAGCGACGTGAATACTTTTTGTGCGAAAAAAACAAACAAAAATAACGAGTTTATTCGACTATTTCTTTTCTTCCTTGTAGGCCAGAACGAGAATTCCTTAGATTTCCACGACGCATGTGCGAGATTTGCGATCTGCTTACACCAGCTTAGATCGCAATTCTCGCGCATGCGTCGTGGAAATCTATAAGGAAGTCTCGTTCTGGCCTACAAGGAAGAAAAGAAATAGTCGAATAAACTCGTTATTTTTGTTTGTTTTTTCGCACAAAAAGTATTCGCGTCGCTTGATAAACATATAGTTGAGCCACGGTAGTCACTTGGGATATTTAAACATTTTCTTCATTGACTTTTTGGGCCGTCAAGAGGCAGTCCCTTAGGAGCCAATGTGGTAGTTATACAGCTCTCAAATTTGATCAAAAATATCTTCATTTGTGTTCCGAAGACGAACGAAGGTCTTACGGGGTTGGTACAGCATGGGGGTGAGTAATTAATTACTTAATTTTCATTTTTGGGTGAACTAACCCTTTAACACTCACCAGAAGTGTCATGTAATGTATTCAGTCCTACTAGCCACTTTGGGATGTTGAATTTATATATATTTACATTTTTCAATTGTAGTGTTTTAAAAAGGCATCTGAAATAATAAATTATGTGCAATATACAGTAGATTTGATGATACATATTAATACTGAAAGATCTGAAACATTTCCAATACTTATTTCATGCAGAATAGGTCCTCGATATCAGCTTTCTCGCTCTCTCATGATCACACCGACAGTGAGTTGACACACAAACCCGCCTCCCCTCACTCACTCGTTTCATTTGCTCCGCATGAATATTGTTGGTGTTACAGTGCTTTAATTTCGGCATGGGATTGCACATATTGCACATCATTTTACTCATTACCGCAGATTTTGGGCTCACACTCAAAGTGCATGCACATAAAGCCATTTCTCAGTACTAAATGAGTTATTTTTTCACTGCTTAAACTATCAAAAACACAAAAAACAATGTCAAAATACTGGTCTTGCCGAGTATTCACGTAAACACGGTCAGATACATTTTAAGTAAAAGTATAAGGTTAAGAAAGAAAACACATATAATGGATCCATGCGTCAGGTCTTTAAGTGACAGCAGCCTAATATACCTGCGGCAGGTATATTATTAAATTATCAAATTATGAGATAATATTAAAAATACCTCTATGGCAGTTTTCCCCCATGGTATCGATGTCAAAATTGCGACCAGTGAAAATGCAGAATGGTTAGTAACTTTGAAAAACCACTAGCCATAGTGGCTGGTAAGCAAAAAAGTTAATGTCAAGCCCTGTGCAAATATGTACCTGTGTAAAATTACCCTTTTTAAATATACATAAACTTCAATGACAACAACATACCTGGCAAATCCTGTCAGCATGAATCGAACACTGAGCCACCAGAAAGAATCCTGGAGGGCAGACAGTGCATTTCTCACAACGTGGTCGGTCTGCACTGAAGTCGCAGTACTCATCTGCTCGGCAGGATCCACAGCCAAGTAGAGGTCTGTGAGCATCCGTAACACTAGCATCCATGTTCATCTTATGCATTGTGAAGGCATCCTGAGAATAGGTTCTGACCTGGGATTGGAGACCATGCAAATGGCTCTCAGTGACTCCCTGCTGGCCTTGTACAGACAACTGTCTGACACTGTCGAGAAGAAAACTGTATTGGGTCTTGACTTCCTCCATCTTTTCAAACATAATCCGTTGCTGGTCCAGTATTTCCCTTTGGTGGGCTAATAGAGCACTTTGCTGTTCTCTCAGTGTGCTCTGAATTTGCTTAACCTCAGCTTGCTGTCCCTGCAGCTGGGCCATCAGTTTATCTTGACCTTTTGCCAAATGCAAATGCAACACCAGTGCATCTTCAGAATGGACCTCATTTATGCCTGGTCAAAATGTGGGAAAAACATGACATTGAGTCACATTTCAAGCATGCCTGAAGAAGTAGGCAACAATCCAACATGTAATCAATTTTGCATGGCGTGCAATTTAACAAGTGTAATATCACTATTACAAAAACACTGGATTGGTCTCATAATACCTGAAATAAATCATTCTATCATTGTTTACCTGGTTTAATGTCGCATGTTAACTGAATTCCAGTTGATGGCCCCCCTCGAGTTCCCAACTCCGGAAATTCCCCCAATACTTGCTCGGCTCTGTCCTGCATATGGACAAAAGACACTCTGCTTCTTTCAACATTTGACCCTGTGATGCAGGCATCTCCAACACAGGAATGCGGTTTGGGATCTTGTCGCATTCTTGCAGGCAGTTTACATCCGATTCCTTTGCACTCTTTAGTATCATTATTCGTTGGTCTTGGCGAGCCATGGCAACCTCTTCCCATGCATCCCTGTGGGGTGAACACCTCAGCCGTGATGGTCCTCGGGTTTTCTTTCGGACTGCCACTTCTGCTGTTCTGCGGGTGTATTATTGTGTAGGGAACCGCTGGGCGTCTTGGAGCATAAACTGAATATCTGCTCTGGTGATCTGCTGATCTGGATGGAGACCACTGGCAGTGCACTCCTGTGCAGATTCCACTCATCATCAGACAAATGAGTAATAAAAACCTTTGAGTTTCCATCGCAGCTCGTGCACTGTGTAAAGGAAAATGCTAAAAGACACTTAAACTTGGGTCCCTTGTAATCCAGAGAACGAATCAGTACGGAGTCAAACACATGGTGAGTTTCGACAATTGTTTCCAAACCGTGAAAGCAAAAAAATATTTGAATATTTGGAATAAAACAAACATTTTAAAGATTTAAAGCAGTAATATTTTCTGTCTGGAAGGGAACATGTGCTCTGCAACCTGTGGTGGAAGTTCTGAGGAAATGTCTATATGTGGCATTCCACACACTTAATTGGCAACAGGTTTCTCCAAGCCTCAGTTAACCCATAGATTTCCCATGATACTTTTACATCTACGATTTTTAACGAATTTAAAAACCTGCTCCATGTTAGACACACTGTAAAAAAATAGTGTTGGGTTAACTTAAAAAATGAAGTAACCTGGTTGCCTTCAATTTTTAAGTTCATTGAAATGGAAAAATTTAGTTAATACAATGAAGGAGGTTGATTTAATCATCAGAAACTCTTATATTAAACTGTTATATTATGTTATCTAACCTACATAAAGTTGATTTGACAAAAGAAAAAATGTGATTACAAATCATGAAACCTAACCCATATTTTTTTACAGTGCAGGTACATGCAGAGAGCATAGCTTAATCATGGTGAATGATGGACACAGATTCAATGGGGGATTTAAGTCATCACCATCCTCATCAGTTATTATTGTTGCTTAGGTGTTACATGAATTTCTTTAAATTAATAATTGGAAATCACATTAATTCTCACAAATAAACTGAAGTTCATAACGTCTCCAATCTGGTAATATTCATCCCAATCTATTAAACAGATAAAACTGAAAATGTAGTATATTTTTTCACTGATATGTGTGTCTCCCAATTCTGTTCCCTTGTAAAAAAAAAAAAATGTAAATTATAAATGTGTTCTAGAAATACATCAATGAGAATAAATCACCGTTTGAGCCCTTTCACACGTTAGTACAGGGTTAATTATATGCTAAAGTATCTGTAATTACAACCGACATCTTTAATTACAACTGACATGTGTTTGTTTTCATCTGCCAGCCATAACCTGCTGTGGGATCATTTAAAGCTTCTGGTGTTGGTTAGAAGCAGCTCCCATACACAAAGCCGCACACATCTCAAATGGAACTTATGTTACTGTGAATTATATGTTTGTATATTATGTTTACATCTTCATTATGCCCTGTCATGGCAGATGCACTGCATATAAACCTGCACAGGCACACTACTGCAAATGATTCTTAATATAATAATATTTTTCTGTATTTGGACCTTGAACTGTTTGGTTCCCACTGAAGTCCATTATTTGGAAAAAAAAATCCTGGAATGTTTTCATCATAAACCTTAATTTCTTTTCGACTGAAGAAAGAAGGACGTGGATATCCTGGATGACATGGGGGTGAGTAAATTATCAGCAAAAGTTTTTTTCAAAAGTGAACTACTCGTTTCATTCTAATGATTGTTTTTGTGTGTGTGTTTCATGATTCTTTACATAATTTCTCAGTAAAATGCATGCATTTTTATCCACAAAGCATCTGGTCAACAGAGGCTCCTAAACACCTCAACCCAGGATCTCAGAGATTCCCCACTAAAACAAACAGATGTGGCTCCCGGGCTCTTGGCAACGCAGGAGAAACCAGACCTGCCTGTTTACATCCTGTTTTCACTTTCATATGGTAACAATGTTGTCCTTTTTCTTAAAAGTACTCATTAAAACCTAATGGATATCTGTTTTCTCTTGCATTTTTTGCATGTGTTCTTGGTATGACTGTATGGTAAAAAATAAAACTGTATTATATTTTACAGGAAATGATTTAATTGAACTGAACTTCCACATTTCTTACTTGATTATAGGGTAATTCAGTTGACTTTATAAACTATGATCAAATACATTCCATTAATCCACAGCATTGGGTTTCTTTTGATATTATATAATATTCTGTGGACTTACACATACTGTGCCATGCAATAAAAAGTATTCTGTTCCCTATTTACTCACTGCACTAAATTTTACATCTTACTTTGATATTTTGTATACTTGTTTTTGACATCTTAAAATTCGAAAATTAAACAAAACATTACTTTATATTAGAAATTGTGCGTTCTTGCAATGCATTTGACAGGCTCGTTGTTGCACTCTGAAAGAAATGTCTAATGAAAACAATGTCCTTGATTCATAAAAGTAAACACATTATAAAGCTTCCTCTCCATGTACATCAAAGTAGGACCGCTCCCACAGCTTTCATGAGAAAATCAGCCAAGATTTAAGCGTGTGATTAAGGTTTGCTTATGAAACTTGAGCATGTAATTAGTGTATTTGGAGCACAAGCTGAACTCAGTGAGGTCTAGTACACTCACAAAAGTTCATTTCATTCTTCAAATCTGATTGGACGAGAGGTGTTGCAATTGAGCTCATATTTCACCATTAGCACTAGGACTTTTTATCCATCACTTTTTATGTGGGTTCTAGACAGACTCAATCTGTTATGGAGGGATTTTTCAGTGATTTAGGTTACATTATTACCAATGATGCCACTCCGCAATAAAAAGGTGGTTTGTTTCATTTGTTTGCCTAAATTTAAGAATTTGATTGCTATAAAAAAATACAACTTTTAAAAGGTTAGAAAAAAATGCCTCTGCCAAATTCCAATTAATTTAAGGGGACAAATATCACCTCTTAATGGAGAAGTTAATTTCTCTCACGGTATAAGATGTCATTCTTAAAGGTAATTCACTTAAAAAAAAAACTTTTGCTGATAATTTACTCACCCCCGTGTCATCCAAGATGTCCATGTCTTTCTTTCTTCAGTCGAAAAGAAATTAAGGTTTTTGATGAAAACATTTTACAGCATTTTTCTCCATATAATGCACTTCAGTTGGAACCAAACGGTTCAAGGTTCAAAAGAGTGGTCCAAAAGAGCAAACTGCAAACTGAAAAGGGCTTTATTAAACGATTCCAGACGATGAATAAGGGTCTTATCAAGTAAAACAATCGCTCTTTAAAAAAAAATAAAAAAATAAATAACAGTATTTAAGTTGGTCGCCTTGCTCTGTTTTTCGAATCTTTTTCTGAGTCATTTGGTTCGTTGAATGAACCAAATGACTCAGAAAAAGACTCGTTCATTTTGATGAACGATTTCGAACAGGAGAGTCACGAACGCGCATCACAGTACAGAGCATTTGAGCTTATAAAACTTAAACTTTGTTATTTATTTATTAAATGAGCGACCGTTTCGCTTGATAAGACCCTTATTCATCGTCTGGAATCGTTTAAAGCCATTTGAACAGTTTGCAGTTTGTAACTTACTTTAGTTTTGGACCTTGAACCGTTTGGTTCACACTGAAGTGCATTATATGGAGAAAAATCCTGGAATGTTTTCATCAAAAACCTTAATTTCTTTTCGACTGAGGAAAGAATGACGACATCTTGGATGACATGGGGGTGAGTAAATTATCAGCAAAAGTGTTTTTTAAAAGTGAACTACTCGACCACAGACCAGTGTTGTAACTGTCAGTTTGACGAGTCAGAAAATAGCTGTGATGTCATCAATATCATACACTCCCATCATCTTTTTAAGCTCACACACACAGCATGTGACTGTGAGCAACATTGTAGATTTGTAGATTGTCTAGCAATTGTATTGTAACCTAAACTAGCTCATTTCTCAAGTTTAATTTGATGCTTTGTGTTCAGGCTAACTTCCCACATGCTAAAACAGTTAGCTATGGCTTTAAAAACAGTTAAATAAAATAGTTTATTAAAAAAAGGTGACAACCAACCCCTCATGATGATTCCAACGAGTCAGTTATTAATCACATCTACTGTTGACTGTTGAGGCAAAGTCATATCAGATTTGTTTTTTTTGTTTTGTGCATCAAGTGATCAATTTAGTACGGAAGCCCTGAACCCAACATAAAAAAAATCTGGAAAAAAAATAAAAATCTAGCATTTCGAGATTGAAGTCGAAATATTTCGAGATGTTGCCCTTGTGATGTGATATAGCATTTTCTTTTTCAGACATACATCACCCTCTGCTGTCCACTAAGATGAATACATTCTCTTCCAGACCACTGACTGAGTTATGTCATGAACTGGTGCTTAAAATTTGTCATTGTTATGACTTAATGTTAAAAATGAAAAAACGTCAAATCAATACTTTAGTCATCCAGCACCTGAACACATCTAACACAATGTTTTGCACAGGAGGGTGCTTTATTATAAAAAAGAGATTGTACATAAAAAGAAAAACAGATTATATACAAAACGATAATAGAGATTATATTGTTTGCAGATATTCCGCAAAGGAACATTTAAATTACAGATCACTTGCACATCTTATGACAAGGCCTTGCAATGCTTAACATTAAGTGGTCATTGTTCAGACAGCTCTATGCGAGTTACATTCTCACAGATATTTCATTGGATTCAATAAATTAAAACATTGCTCGCCTTCAACAGTAGTTTGAGACGCTTCTAAAAACCAGAATCACCTTGAAGTTTGTGCCATGCTAACAGTTATGAGCTCACATTCGTCAGTACTATACACTAAACTTGATTTTTTTTTTTCAATGAAATGATGGGTCTTCACCTAAATTCAGCATAATTTCTGAACTGGTCTAAATAGAAAGACACAAATTCAGTTTTGCATGGTCCCTCTACATAATATATACAACGACGAAACTGATTTCTGCTACTTCATGTAACAAATTTGTATCCGTGGGCAATGAGACTCGTTCAGCTAGTGAGCCAGTGTCGCCCGGTCAGTGCAAACATAATCAAGTTCACGATACTTCAGCAGTTTAAAACAGAAAACACTATCAAAGACCAGCTTGGCACAATTTAAACTCACAGTATATGGGTGAATCTCATGAAAACATGTCCAGGTCACAAAAGAAAAAAAATATATAAATATTGCATGAAGGAAACAAAGCCTATAGGACCACTAAGATTTTCTGCATTTAATAGTTTACGCATACTTTTGAGTTTTATTTTTAAACAATTCCCGTTACACTCAATAGTGATAATCATTACTGTAATGTATTTTATATTTAAATTATTGGCAGTATAAGAAATATTACCAGAATGTATAAAAAATGAATTAAATGTATATTGATAATAATAATAATGTGCTTACTTGTCATAACAAAAATCTTAAAAATAGCCATAATTGTATAGGAGAAATTCAGGGTAAAATATGTAACGTGGACATGTTCATATGTAGTTTTGTTTGATATGCAGAAGAATCTCTGCACATTACTGCATCTGTCTTTTCCCTTACAGTCATGAGGTAAAATTATAGATAATATTAGCAAATCTTGAAGGCGAAATGTAGGTTAAAACGTAATTGTCAGTTTTATATTTTTTTGCCAATTTTTTTTTCCAGGCATAATAATATTTCGGAAATGACATTCAAAATCTCTTTCTCCTGTAAAAGGAAGAGCTTGACAGTTTAGTAAAAAAAAAATAGAGAGAGAGCGAGATGAGTTTTAGGGGAAAAAAAACCTAACTAGCCCTAGCTGACACTTGGCAAATACGGATCTCAGTACAATGACAAAACACGCACAAAAACAAACACTAGCAACAGCCTACAGGCAACGTCTCACTTTAATATATGTACACAACTTATGAGGCAACCTAACCAGAAAGAAGTGAGACTTGTTTGTTTCTTTTCATATTCTTTGTAGAGGCAATACGAGCCCTGTCTCCTCAAACAGTGAGCATTGTAGATACCTTGATACATTAGTGATTGGACAAAAACAAACATTCAGTCATATTCTAATGCACTTTGCAATGTTTGTAACTGATTGGCTGCATTGCATGATGTCTCTGGGATTTAGCATTAGTCAGCGTAGTGCATGATGGATTCAACGTAGTTGCCAGGAAACAGTCCGGTCACACCATTACACACTCCCTCGAACCAGCCATCATCGTTTTTCTTGATGATGTAGATGATGGCGCCCTCCATGAAGGACAGCTCATCATCTTTGTCCTTTGAGTAGTCATAGATGGCCACCACTGAAAGAGGAGTAGACGGGGTTAGTATGACATGGATTAGGAAGTCTCTGTCCGTCTGTCTGTCCATTAATCTTTCTGTCTATTTGTCTATCTATCTATCTTTCTATCTGTCTATCTGTGTCTGTCTGTCTGTCTATCTATCTATTAATCTGTCTGTCTGTCTGTCTATCTATCCATCCATTAATCTTTCTATCTGTTTGTCTATCTATCTTTCTGTAGATTGTCTGTCTATCAATTCATCTGTCTGTCTGTCTGTCTGTCTGTCTCCATCCATCCATCTATCTATCCATCCATCCATCCATCCATCCATCCATCCATCCATCCATCCATCCATCCATCCATCCATCCATCCATCCATCTATCTATCTATCTATCTATCTATCTATCTATCTATCTATCTATCTATCTATCTATCTATCTATCTATCCATCCATCTATCTGTCTATCTATCTATTTATCTATCTATCTTCCAATCCATCTGTCTGTCCATCTATCCATTCATCTATCTATCTATCTATCTATCTATCTATCTATCTATCTATCTATCTATCTATCTATCTATCTATCTATCTATCTATCTATCTATCTATCTGTCTGTCTGTCTGTCTGTCTGTCTGTCTGTCTGTCTGTCTGTCTGTCTGTCTGTCTGTCTGTCTGTCTGTCTGTCTGTCTGTCTATCCTGTCTGTCTGTCTTTCGATCTGTTTGTCAATCTATCTATCTATCAGGTCTGGGTAAAAAAGAAAGATTTCTCGATTTTAATCGATTCTCGTTTTGAAGAACCGATATCGATTCATAAATCCCAAGAATGGATCTTTCAGTCTATGGTGTTTTCAGTTGATGAATGAACAAAGCTTTGGAGCGCCTCCCATCCAATAAATTGCAATAAGCTTTGTGCTTTGTTACTTCTGATATGAAACAAAGTCTCAGCTTTCAAATTCTGTAATTTTTATTACAAAATTCAAACAATAAATACCGTTTTGTCGCTCTTTAATGTGCTGTAGCGCCTCAGTTGAAGCGAAGCGGCAGCACGGAGCGCACGTGAAACGATCATCTCTTCCTCTTTACTACTAGTTACAGCAGCAAATAAACATGAATGAACATCAGAAGGAATGTTGAAAGATACAGTACAACTTACTGAAATTAATCATGTCTTATGTAGTCCTTCAATTAGTGTTTCGACCGTGGAAAGACGTCAATAAAACTTTTTTCAAAAAATCTTGTGAACAATGTCACGTAACGTCACATCTACCTCAGAAAAGCCAATCAATGACGATAGTTAGCTAAAAAAAAAACTCTAAAGAGGAGCATTTTGATAAATATATGCACTAGATTCATTATTTTTACCTCTTCTTCAATGTTTTTATTTAAAAAAACAACAACTAAAAAAACAGTAGAAACATAATTATGTAATTCAAAATGTATTATTATAACATTATTATGAAAACTTGTTATTTAAATGCAAGTAGCTTACTTTAACCTTTCATATTATAGTGATGTGCCAACGGGGGTTTCCTGTATAGTTTACAGCATTACAACTTGTGTATATTTACATCTATCTGAATGTTGAAATAGATAGATAAATCTATCTATCTATCTATCTATCTATCTATCTATCTATCTATCTATCTATCTATCTATCTATCTATCTATCTATCTATCTATCTATCTATCTATCTATCTATCTGCCAGTCAATCCATCCACATTTATCTATCTATCTGCATCCTGATTACAGTCTCAATTAGGCATTCTCAAATCAAAACTCTTACATTAAAAAGAAAAAAAAAATGAATTAAAATAAGTCATATTGTTGTGCCTTTGAAGTAAATCTGACAGTGAAAACTCAAAATGAAAACTTGATGGCAGAGTCACTCACTGATGACAGAGTCACTCACAAACTCACTCACCCTTTTCTAAATAGGATTTTGGGGCCCAGTGGGGGTCTCCATCCGCATAGGGGTCATTGTAGTGCACCAGAGATGCATCTTCTTCTTCATAATCCACAGGTGGAGGTGGAGGGGGCGGGGCTGCTTCCTCAAACATGAGCGTGTCCTCTGGTAGAGGAGGAGGGGGAGGAGACGGGCTATCTGTTACTGGAAGACAAAGAAGGTAGGAAAACCTCACTGACATCATCTATGACCAAATCTAGTTTTAAAGACAGAAACTAAATTTAGAAATGCTTAAGTTTTAAAGGGGTCCTATTATCCCCTTTAACAAAGTCTTGTTGTCTTTGAAGTCTTTTGTGTTTGATTGTTCATAAAACACATTATTTTTCACATGTTTTACATTATTATAGCTCCACTCTCCCTATTCTGTTCCCGAAAGCGTTGTTTAGTTCCGGTTTCGATGAAGCCCCTACTTCCAAAATACGTAATGTGCTGTGATTGGTTAGCTGGCCCAGTGTGTGGTGATTGGCAGTGTGTGTTCATCCCGTCCCTTCATAACGACGAGTTCTTCTCTAGTGTAAATTTAAACGATGGCGGCAATTTTAAATCCGATTCAGACCCTGACAATGTTAACAAACAAGCACGGACTTTGCAAGCACGGATTTCACAGGACGCTTCAGAGTGTTAATCATGATATTTGTCGGAAAACGATGGTTATACAAACAGCAAATCGATCACAAAACCATGGTTAAAATTGAAAAAAATAAATAAAATAAATTTGACCCAGTCTAAGTTGGTCAGCCTAAGGAAGGTCAAACAAAAACAGCATCTCTTTGACATATCAGCAGCTCATCCACTTTTCTGTGTATTCCGTGGGCAGGGATTATATAAATGAGGAACATTATGACTTCATAACGCCTGGAAAATTCGTGTTGTAGTCCAAACGAGCTGCTTGTTGTAGTTTTGATTTTGAAGTGAAATAAAAGTTTTGATTCTGTTAAATAAAATTTCTCCATTTGGAGTGGACTTTTGTAACCTTGCAGATCGTTTTATGCTAAAACAGCAATATTACACACTAACTAAAGTTGAAGCATAATAGGACCCAGTTAATCAAATAATTAATGCAATCAAGTAATTCTCAGCTACAACGAAATGCAAGAAACATTTTAATTTTTTCATAATATTTAACAACATTGCTTTACTGCTTCTTCTAATAAATAATAATAAGAGATGCAAATCCCAAACTTATTTAAAAATGTCATATATTTAATAACTTTCATTTAAAGTGAATTTAAACTGATTCGTCATTATGAAATTAGAACTGTTGTACCACTTTCATTTTGTGCCTGCCCAAAAAAAGAGTAACATTAATTTTAATTTGAAAAAAAAAAAAAAATAAAAATAAAATAATCACAGAAGAGGTATATTAAAGCCACTGTTTGTATAAAAAAATATTTTTTTAATAAATTATAGTGTGCCATTGGCCCTACATAGTTATAAAGAGTAAGTCAACTTCCAAAATAAAACATTAAATCAGAAAATTGTATTACATTTTAAATAATAACTATTAATATATATATAATATATATATATACATGGCAGGCTTCTGCTGAAGGTCTAAGCACTATGCTAATGTGAGCGTTACTCACTGTTCTCCTGAACTCTGGCCACAAAGCCAGTGAGGGGAATCTGGGGCGTCAGCTGCACCATGGGAGGAGGCGGTGGAGCGACTGACACTGGAAACACACAGAGCGCAGATACACACACATCCATACACATCCAGCCAGACAGAAAGAGGATAACAGGCAAAAACAAGCCCAGAGAGTTACACACAGGCAGATAAACAGACAGAAGGTAAAAGCGGTTATTGTGACATAAAGAGATGAATAGCAGAAAAGCATTAGTTACTAGGTCTGCTAATAACCTCATTTATTAACAAAAAGTGTTTGGTGATGCTAGTGGTGAAGAAATGGTGTTCGTTTTCTAATGTAATAGTGGCTTACAGGCATTTTAAAGAGCCAAAACACTCCCTAGAGTAAAACTGAACTCACTTGTGGTCTGAGGGTACGTGGGACCCCCGTTCAGGTGGGGTTGAGGCACAGAGAACTGGGCGGAGCTAGCAGGGGCGCGCCGATATGTCCCGGTGGCTGATACCATAGAGGCGGAGGAAGAAGTGTTGGAGGAATTGTGTCTGGAGATCTGTCGGGAGATTGTTCCGAATTGAGACATCGGGATTGGGCCCAAACCTGGACCTTGAGGAACTACAGGGAAAAAAAGGACAGTCACAGAAGATGAATCCAATGCAAAATAGATGGGCGGAATGACCAAAAGAATAGGGCTGGGTATTGATTCAATTTTGATTAATCAGCTTGTGATTTGGTTCAATTCCACTCTCAATTTAATATGATTTGACACTGATTCATTTGTATATAACTCAGGTAGAGTACATCTCTCTCAACTAATACTGTAAACCATATAGTTAAAATTGACAATTCTTCTTTTTTTTTATGGAATACTGTAATTAAAATAACTTCCCCTCCTTACTGGCACGAGGGCGGGACAACCTGTCCCTCACATGACATCACAGCACTAGCAAACCTTAACCATCCAACCAATTCCCCATGGACAAAATCATGTCCCGCCCTACAATTTTTCTTATTTAACGAAGCAGTTTTACACAGATATAGGTCACAATAAGGAAATAATGTCTATTACAATTTCTGTTTCATGCTGACTTTAAAGGTTAACTAAACAAATATTTAAATTGCACATACGTCAGTTTTGATAACCTTTTAATTATATAATGTTTCTATTTTTTTTTTAATCAGCTCAAATGGATAGTTCACGCGAATCAGATGTTGAACACACGGAGGAGGTTTGAGATGATATTCACTAATGATCGCGCGCGTGAGATCGACAATCGACTACTGTGGGCTTCGACCGAAAACAGGAAGCAAATGGAGGTATGTGAACTGGCTGAATCAACATCATTTTTATTAATATCTTTCACATCTACTGCAGTCAGACTGACCGTGGTCACTCTTAATAACACCACTCACATGGCTGTGCCTTTAAGAGGCTAAAAGCAGGTTTAGAACATGCCCCATTGAAGTCCTACAGGGTGTGAATTTTAAAAAGACACCGATTTTTGTCGTTTTTGTCTGTACTGACAGCACTACAAATCTACAAAAAAATGAGCTCAATGTTAAAATTGACCGGAGATCTCCTTTAAAGAGTGCCAAAAATGTATTTATTGTTTGAACTTCGTAGAATTTTAAAGCTGAGACTTATTTAAAGCTGTTCATGCATCAACTGAAAACACCATAGACTAAAAGATTTAAGAACAGCTCGTCAAAATGAGAATTGAATAAAATCGAGAAATCAATATTTTCAACCCAGCCCTATAAAATAACATAATATGTGAAAAATGTGAACTGTCACCTGGTGCCATACTGGGAGGGGAGGGTGTTGGTACAGCCAGAGGGATTCCCATACTATTACTGCTGTTTTCCCGACCGCCGCTGCCCCCACTACTGCCACTGAGACACACACACACACACCATAGGGCTATTACAATGAGCTATTAAAGCAACAAGCATACATCGCCATAAATTCCCACAGTGGCATCCTTTATTGAGCCTATCAAACAAGTCATTTATGACACCAGCTTTTGTAAGTTGAATTTGGAGAATAAATGTGATATACCAAAGTTTACTGTTATTTCTAACCTTATTCACCTTCAGCTTTCATCAGTAACAAGCCCACTGGGAAAGCAATGACAGTGGAGAATCAAGTTTATGAGAAAGAGAAGAACATTTCCAGATTCTTTATACTTTTCAAACAGTTCCATAGAATAAACAAAAAGTCTAATAAATCTGTATAAATGAATGCCATACATTTTTTTTGCAAGAGGAAAAGGAAATAAATATAGACATATATAGACATACAGGGGTTGGACAATGAAACTGAAACACTGGCCAATGTTGGAGGTTTCACATCTATATGCCTGGCGGCCAATCTTCAGAGTGAAGCACGGGTGGATCAGTGATGGTTTGAGCTCCAATATCATGACAATCCTGATTGTATTTGATGGACACGACACTGCCGAGGACTACCAAACCCTTCTGGAGGATCATGAGCACCTGATGCTCAAACCGTGTATCAGCATGATCATGCACCAACACACACAGCAAGACTTGTGAGAGAAGGGTTTGATGAAGATGAAAGTGACGTTGAACATCTCCCATGGTCTGACAGTCACCAGATCTGAATATTATTGAGGTGTTTTGGAGGAGCGAGTCCACCAGCATCATATAGTGACCTGGACACTGTTCTGGAAGAGGAACGGCTCATAATCCCTCTGGTCACTGTGAAGGACTTCTATCTGTCAATTGGTGCTATATTTGGATGCAAAATGAGGCCCTCACCATTCTTGTGTAGTAAAACCAGGTGTTTCAGTTTTTTTGTCCAACCCCTGTACATATATTCATAATTGTGATTTTATATCTCACAATCTTTTATCTTACAACTTATATATATATATGACCATGAAACCCAGCATTCATTGTTCAGTTTGGGGTCAGTAAGATAAGACTGATTTTCTGGTCAAGAAACTTTTCTTATTATTATCAATGTTGAAAACAGTTGTGCTGCTTAATATTTTTGTGGACACCGTGATACTTTTTTCAGGACTCTTTGATGAATAGAAAGTTCAAAAGAACAGCATTTATTTGAAATAGAAATCTTTAGTAACATTATAAATGTCTTTATGACCAATTTAATGCATCCTTGCAGAATAAAAGTATTATGTCTTCCAGCACAGTGTCTCATACCATTAAGGCCGGGACACACCAAGACGAAGGTCGGCCCATTTTTGAGTGTCGGGCGGCTTTGTTTTTTCGGTGTGTTCCGCACCGTTAGCTCTAGTCGGATGGCATTTTTTTGCCGATTCAGCATGTTGAATCGGCGTTGGGCCTCAGAGAGAGAACTCTGATTGGCTGTTCAGTTTAGTGAACAAGAATAAAAGCAAAAGTGATGAAAGCGAGCGAAGAAGTCAAGACGGCACAGACCGAAGGCTATAATCTTATATCATCTTACGGGACGCATTCGAATGCAGGAGTATTTTCATAAGCATGACTGATGTTCAAAATGGTGATCAAACACTGCTTTGTTAATGGTTTGTATATCTGCAGTCCTAGATTCGGTTTCCCTTTTTGAATGATGGAAATAGACTATTGATACCTGCGGATATAGACAGATATTCACTTGCACCACAGTTCATCAGAGTCGGCTTTCACTGCCGCTAGTTCTTTGACGTTTGGCTTGGTGTGTCCTGGGCTTTAGAAGGCATGCATTGTCTTGTGTACCCATGTGTGAGCTGTACCTGTGCGTTCTGGGTCTCTGATTGAGTGAGGCTGTGCGTCCCGGGCTGTTCTGGCTTCCCAGGCGCGCTGGACTAGTCATGTAGTCATTAGGCACCACAGGAGGCTTGACTGGCTCAAGGGTCTTATACGGTGTGTTTCGTCTGAGAAACACAAACACATATTTGTTAATAAAGATGGAAAATACTACATGTGAAAAAAAGTATTGTTATTAGGTGCCAGACCCTTAACTGTGGCAATGATTAACTTTGATTATATTTTAAAACATAAGTGAAATATAGTGACTTACCCCAGCGTACCTCTACCTGCCATTGGGGGGCTCGGGGGCTTCTGTGTGGGAGGGTTGGTCCTGGATAACGTTCCTCCACCTGCCCTAGCTGGCGGGTTATTCCCTTGCTGAAAACATTTGACAGGAAAAACAACTTTCACAATCATGATCAAATCAGATTACTCAAAACGCTAATCAGTGTATCAAACATACAGCATGATGTAAACTACAATATGCATATTCTCATATCAGATTATGGAAATGAACTATAATGTGCATTACACACCATTATAGAACCAAGGCAAAGATGGTCGTGACATGGGACCCAGAAAGCATTGTGGGTTGTGTGCTTACCTTTGCTTTAAGCCACTAAGTGAAAGCATTGAGGAAGAGAGAAGATAATTAATGTTATTTAATTAGTTTAACCTAATGAAAAAGGGAGAAAGGAGAAGCGAAAACAAAAGATCTTTGGATAAAGAACAACAAAAAAATACTGATCTAATTTGACTGATAAGAATCTAGAGACAAAGCAGAAAAGTGAAAGCTGCTTACACAAAACAACTGAATGATAATCACATAAATGTCAGTCATAATTACCATCTAATCAGGCTAATAAGCAAAATTATGCATAATGTATTTTCTAGCGAAGTGACAATTTCAAGCATTTGGTCAGTAAATAGCTCACATGTGGATTTAATTTAATATGAATTATATTATGTATTATACATTTTAAGAGCTCATACCTATAATCATAGATGTACATCAACTATGTAAACCATATTTACTAAACTGCCTCAAATACTTGTTAGCTTGCAGTTTTTTGTATTTATGTAGCTCGGCTAATATGAATTAATATGTCATGGCATTAAATTAGCGCTGGGCGGTACACCGGTTCATACCGAAAACCGGTGTATATTTTTGTTATGATATCAATTTATAAAATACCGCCATCCCGATGTATTTAATTCGCTGCGTTGCGCGACACTGTTTTAGACGGACCCTTTACAATGTTGCACTTCTTAGCAGCGACTGCGAGGCAGTGCTCTGGTGTTACGCTACATGCTGCAGAACTATGGCGTTATTTTCCTGTCAAATGACGAGAGCGCACTATTGTAGTGCGAAAGCACATTCATATAATAAACATTAATATAATGGTTCATTTTTTGACTGTAACCAGTAACGTTATGCTTTTGCCTCTATTTGGATGCCTTGTTGTTTCTTGCGCTTCACCTGTATGTCTTGAATATAGCCTTCGAACGCATATTGCAGCCCCTACTTCTATTGGACACTTTTTTGCTGCTTTATAAAAGTTTGATAACATTTCAGCAGAAAGAGCTGTCACAGTATATGCCATGTTGATACCAAACCAGAGCCCAGATGAAGTTTGATGGATGTAGCAACAGTAACTAAGGGGGGCGGGGCTTAGCCAAAGGTGAATTCGACATCCACCAATTATGATAATCGCAACAATAAAGTTCTCCCGGATGGCTGAGGAGAGACGTATGTCCTCTGGGCATGTCAGTCAGGGGTGACTGACACACACAGAGCAACATTTGAGGAATTAAATGTCCTAATTACAGAGCCAGTATGAGGGCAGCCTGCGGGGCGTTTACTCAGCCGAGGGGGGAAAAGGCCAGCGCACATCAGCACCAAACTAATGAAGCATTTAAAACAGGTCTTGGGGTGAGCTACTGGCACATGGCTTCAAGATCTGGCTCAGTCATATATATCGGGAATGAAAAGGCTGAACAACTAGAAATGAATAATGTTGACATTATGTCATAGCAACACACCATCCAGACCAATCATGGCATCATCCCATAAAAGCCATTAAAAAACACATAAAGGTCAACGTAAAAATGTAAAGACATCTTTCATAATTACTTATCAGTTCCGATAGTGAGAATCTAATGTGATAACATCGCTACGAGGTATCAGAGAGCAAACTGATGTCATTATAACAGCTTAGAGCTGACACTGATGGATATGAATAATTTAATCACATGAATATAGTGAAGGAAACCAGAGAGGGTCTACAAACACATACATTTAACAGTACTTTAAATACTAATATCTAGAGCAGTCAGATGAGGTCTTTTCATGCATTTTCATCAAGGAAAAGTTATATAAATATTCCCATTCAATCCTTGTTGTCTAGACTATTTAAACTACACTAAATCTGAAATTAAACGGTAACATTATATTATTACATATTATCTTCTTTTATTGTTAACCACCCACTGTTTAATTCAAGCATTGAATTCTTAAGAGGACAGCTGACCTATTCTGTGTGCTTAAACGTTTTTTTTTTTTTTCAACTTGAGAAGCATTTGTATCATCAATCATGTCCTCTTTAGGTCTTTTTGTTTTCTTGGTTTATTAAAAAAAATCATATTTTGGGTCTCTAAATGAAAATACAGCTAGGCTAACACGTCAGTAATACTTCTGGATGTACATCTTGATTTTTAATTTATTCAGAAACTCTGAACCCAAGTATGAACAGTAGTAATAATGATGCTTGCAATAGCAAACATTAAAAAGACTTACTTTAACACCGTGACCCACATCATCCAGCAGGGTGTAATCTATGGGCTTCCTAATGTAGCGCACGGGTCGCTCCATGTTGCCCGGGGCGATGATCTTGTGGGTGCGAGATGTGTTTTTGTTAGTGGTGAGGATCCCAATCTCTCGTCTGGCAACTTTCTCTTTATGAATGTCCACAGTCTAAAAGAAAAAATAGAGGGATAAAAATGGGTAAAGTTTTAGAATTGATGTGAGCAATCATAGCCTTCATGTAGGCTAGCTAATATAGGCTATATTGTGGCAAATCAGGTGTCTAAATAATGATGAAACGTGACCTAATTAATATTCATAGCCATTTCTATACATAAATTGAGGCTAAATACTATTAAACATTTGTAATGAATCTGAATTTATTATGAATACAGTAGTATATATTAACCAAAATGTAGTACCTATTAATCAAAACAGAGGATTCACTAAAGTTGTCCATAAGTAAAATGATTTATATTTTAAACATGTCCAAATAATTATATTGTACATTTTAAATTGGTCTACTCAAATTTAAGTGTATGTTTATGTGTACATCTTTTAGAGAATACGACAGGTAATATCATTGATAAGAAAAGTTTCTTAAAGGGATAGTTCACTTTGAAATTAATTTTTGGTATGTTTTAGCTTACCTTACCTCAAGATGATATTTATTTATTTATTTATTTTAACATGAACATCAGTCAAAAATTAAGTATTAACAGTGACATTTTAGTTCTTTTTTTTACCCCTTAGTAGTTTCAATTTTTATATTTTTAGGTCAAACCATTCTGAACGGTTTGACCTAAAAATATATCAAAAATTGAAACTACTGCGGAAACAAAGACACCTACATATTGGATGCCCTTGAGGTAGGCTAAAACATATCAAAAATTAATTTCAAAGTGAACTGTCCCTTTTAGCACGTATTGGAATGATTTCTGAAGGATCATGTGACACTGAAGACTGGAGTAATGGTAAAAATTTTAATAACATTTTACAATAAGTCAGTCAAATCACCTGCACCAATGATGGGATCCAAGCAGAATTTGCCTGCTATTTCTGTCTGTCTTCTTAGAGAAAAGTGGTGGCAAACCAGTTTGCAGGAGCCTTTTAACTTCAGTAGAAGGCAAAACATTAGATCTAGTTTCCATTAAGGCTCTGAAAATCTACTCTAGCGCATGATGGGGGAATGGGATTTCTAATTACCCTCAATAAATACACTCTCCATCCCCCATGTAGGATGAAAAAAAAAAAACCACTGACATTGTGTTCAAATATCAAGTGTCTGAGATGCTCTTTACAAATCATGGCTTAAAACTAGGCTCGCATTGGATATGACTGAGCTCAGGCTCCAGTTATTATGGCACGTCAAGCATTATGATTATTTAATTTCTAACATATTCATTGTAGTTAATCACCATCTGCATAATCCACAGTCTAGTCCATCTAAATCTTATTATTAATGCATATTACATAAGTGATGGCACTCAGGAACAGCAGAGCATGTAGGGTCAGGTTGAGATTTAGAGCATTTTTGCATTTGGTGCTTCTCTCAAATTCAGTATGCAAATATGACTCCACGTGGGACACAATAGCAAGGGTCCGAGATTAACTTTTTCTGCATTCAACGGCAGATAAATTGAGAAATGTAGTGTCTAATTTGTATAGTGCTTTTCACAATACGCAGTTTTATATAGGGCGTATTGTAAAGTAAATCATTTTCATTTTATGCCAAATAAAATGACAACTAAGATATGAATAATTTTCTCAACTGAAAACTAGCTGGTTTGTAGTCTGATGTGAGTTTAACATTTTCCAAGAAGTTGTTAAAGCGATGAGAAATATGGGGGATGTAGTGTTCGGGTCCGAAAATGCTAGTTAACATTATCGCATTGGACTCAAATTTACTGACTTTGCTCACACAGGGTTTAACTACTTTCCTAAACATTTTTTCCTCCAATAATTTTTGCAATTTTCTCCCCACCTTGTTACAAAAATGATGGGCCTACAAATAATAGCTTACAAATATCATCAAATATTGGATTCACTCTTTTTCTCAACTTTTTTTCGTTTATAAAGCACAGGTTTGGTATTTCTAAACTGATTGATCGATTGATTATCTGAGCTTATGCACATCAATCTTCGATCACAAAAAGCATTTTTTGTGGGTAATTTTAACAATATTGAATAAAATGTAAAAAACACAAGTGTGCTTTAATGTTCAACCAGGAAGTTTGTAGCACAAAATATACAAAATAGCACAAATTCACACAAAAATGACCGGCCTACAAAAAAGAAATCACTTATAAATCTCTTGTTATGCAATTTTATCACCAAATATTGTATTCAATCTTTTTGTCAACCTTTTTCTTTCAATTCGGACAGGTTTTGTATTTCTTTTTGAAACCACATGTATCTGAGCTTATATTGATTAAAAAATGACCATCCATTAAAAATGAATTAAAAAGATGGAAAATAAGAAAAACATTGTGTTGTTCAGAAGCATGTTGTTCATCAAAGATTGTGATACTTGCTCACTCTCGCTACCACACACACATTCAAGTACTCAGACAAACTATTTGGAGTATCACAGGCTTTCTTTCTTTTTTACAGAGATTAAATTTATCCTCAGATCAATGAGGCCTATGATCAATCAGTTTCAAATATAAATACAAAACCTGTCCTAATTGAAAGAAAAAAAGTTGACAAGAACATTTGGATAAATGATTTACAAGCAAGTTTTAAAAGGCCGGTCATTTTTGACTGGAAACACAAAAGGTGTTACAGGGTTTTTAACACTGCATAAGGGTTCATTTTAATTACAGAATTACTATAATGTGCTGGCATTGCTTATTGTTATAGAAAATTACACAATTCAAGGAAAAGATTTGGGATGAAAATGACTAGTTTTGTAGAAAACTTGTTCACATGTCTAATAATGTAGCCAGGAAGCTGCTACAAGGCTAACACGTAATGATTTTTTTATATTTGCCAGTCATCATCAATATATATATATATATATATATATATATATATATTACCATTATTGTATTTTTTTCCACAAATGAAGGAATTAATGAAATGATTTAAATTTTAAATATTTGCACATTTGCAGTATAACAGTCTAAATTGTGCCACTTAGAGAATTCAAGTTCAATCCAGTATATCGGTTCAATCGGTTCAATTTAAGTTCAATCCAGTATAAGAACATTTACATGATTTTGTCACTGAATTTTCTGTCACTCTGTAGTTTAAGATTAAGATTTGGTTTAAGTTCTAGATTCACAACAATAAAAGACATCCAGACGCAATATTTTTCACTGTGTCAAAAGTAGCCTTTTGAGGGGTTGGCGACCCACCAGTTGAGAACCATTGAATCAAAGCATGCTGGGTAAGGAACACCTCTTTTGTTGGTGTTTTAGTGCCCATGTCTGACCTGAGAGATATGGTTGATGGAGGACTCCATCCTGCGCAGCTGTGAAGCCTGAATATCCAACAGCTGCAGCACATTGTTGGCTAAGGCATTGATCTGATAGGCCACGCTGGCCAGGGACTGGGTGGTGTAGGCTTTGGTCTCCTCCAGAGCTTTCCTCTTGTCTTGTGCCTAAACAAAGATTAAAAAAAGAGATACCACAAGTTTTAAAAGCATAGTTCACCCAAACATCACAATTATGTCATCATTTACTCACCCTAATGTTGGTCCAACCCTTATTGACTTTATTACAGTAGGTATTTTTCAGATATTTTGAAAAATGTTATTAGTAACCAAACCGTTTGTCATCATTGACTTCCATTGCATGGACCAACAACAAAAAAATATAAAAGGAGTGCACTGTGCAAGAAGGTGCTTGTGAAATATAGTTTCAAACACATCATACACATTAAATGATTTTCCAAAGCATCTCACACTACTAAAGCTGTTGTGAATGATGATGTAAAGCATCTTGGAATTGGTTATGGACTCTAGAGGAAATATCACATCGGATCAAATCACGTGGAAAAAGACATTTGCGGCCCACTGAAAGCTTGTGATTCACAGCGCGACAAAGAAATAAAAAATCAGTAACATACTGGATGTAGAAATCACTTCATCACTATTGTCTCTTTACATCCAGTAGCCCTAACACAATCCAAAACTCTCTGTTTCAACCTGTCAATGGACAGCCATGAGCTTCACCTTTGTTTTTGGTAAAATAAATTAATACTTTTATTCAGCAAGGAGACATTAAATCGTTTAGAAGAGGCAGTAAAGACATTTATAATGTTACAAAAGATTTCTAATTCAAATAACTGCTGTCCTTTAAACTTTCCATTCATGAAAAAATCTTGAAAAGAAGTAGTTTCCAGAAAAATATTAAGCAACACAACTGTTTTTGGCATTGGTAATAACAAAGAAATTGAGCAACAAATCATCATATTAGAAAGATTTCTGAAGGCTCATGTGACACTAAAGATTGAAATAATGTTACTTTTCAAAATTCCGCCTTCACTAAATGTAAAAAAAAAAAATTACTAAATTAATTTGACATTTTAAAAATATTTAAACAGAAAACATTTATATTACTATTATATTATTATTTCACAAAATTTAGGCTTTTACTGTATTTTTGTTCAAATAAATTAAGCCTTAGAACCAGCTGGTCTAAGCATAAATGATGATGTAAAGTCAGAAGTTAAAATCGATAAAACCCTGGTGTGAAGTGATAAAGACTTAAACAAATAAATGTCCAGGATATGTTGATTTGAGTTAATATTGTTTGTGAGAAGAAAGAAACTGCAGTGTGATACAAAAGATATGAGATCAGAGATATGAGGTGGTCAAATATATAATTTCGCAGTCATTATTATACAAAAATACTTGACCACAGAATGCTGAAAATGACTCTGAAATCCTTGGTCATGTACTGAACTAATCTGACAAATGATTAAACAAATCTGGTGAAATTAACCGGCAACAATTAACTTTGTTTAAACTGTATGCAGACAAGAGCCTGATCTCAGTGATGATGCATATTCTGAAATTCAAAACATTTCACAAATTAAACAATTTCCTGTTTCATCAATTAATATTAGATAGCTTAAGCATGACAAACATGAACAAACATTAACACTAAACACTTTTGGGCTTATAAAGCTATAAAACATATATAATATGTTTATATAAAAATAACATTTTGAGTAGTTTTTATGCACAAGTGGTTTCTGGATGTTGGTTGTTTCTTGGCTCAAAGAGCCCTGCATCTTCTAATCTCTAAGATAATAGTTCACTTAACTAATTGAATGTAATTAATTTAAGGGGTTTGTTTAAACCCCTAACCTCAAATATGACAAATAGCAAGCAGCACTTTGCTGCATAATTACCAAATCGTCTTGGTCTTCAATCTAGCAATAATGAATAGCAATGCACTCCTCGCACTCCATGAACTTAAACTAAAAATGTGAAGAAATTAGCTTTCAGGATACTAACAGTTTCCATGTCAGAATACTATTACATAATTGATTGGATGATTGTGATTTGTTATTGCTATGATGTAATGTGATTGACAGGTTGTCCCGCCCTCACTCCAGTAAACATGTCATCAGTGAAGAGATGTCACTGCAAGAGGAAGGGCACATGAATTAAAAAAAGGAGGAATAATTGATGACAGGTCCTTGAATTAATGGGTGTTTGCCTGGGGGGATGCTTACCCAAAGGTGGTAATGTGGCCGGGAGTCAATTATTCACCTCAAACATTGTTCAGAATGATGCATATTTCAAAACATTATTCAGGTTTTTGTCCTTAAAACACTTTTGTGTGTAGGAGTTCTTCTTTCGCATCTCATCCCAAGCCTCCGTTGCTAATTCCAAAACGCCATATAAGACCTTGTAATGGAGGCTTACTTTTTGTAACAAGAATTATAATGAGTAGGGCCTAATGAGAATTGTATTCTCGTATTTCATCAAAAACATCTTCATTTGTGTTCCGAAGATGAAAGAAGGTCTTACGGGTTTAGAAAGACATGAGGGTGAGTAATGACATTTTTGTGTGAACTAACCCTTTTATTTTGTGGAAAAAAAACATGGAAATAATTTGTCACTTTTATCCTTTTGTTTACTAAATTAAATGTATTTGCTTGGTCAGTGTGGTTGTGGGTTTTGGTTCTTTTGCTGTTGTAGCCTGTAAGGACCTTAATTTGGCGAAGTGATATTGAACTGTAATGCGGTAAAGAACTGGCTGGAACTACTTTAGCTGTGCGTTTCCCTGAAAATAAATGCACACCACCTAAGAATGTTCATCAACCAACCAGATTCAAGCATTCAACAGCCAGGTAATATAAATCATTTATAACAAATACTGAAATATTCCATTAAAATACAAGGTGTCCATTTGATTTCATAGTGACTTTAACAATTATACTGCGATGAGCATGCAGCACTGACCCCAGGTCTGCTTCAAACACCACCTGTTACAACATGTCAGTGCTTCTCAGCTGTTCTAAGACCATGTGTCTGTCGTCACGGGGGGATACAGATGAATGACCCATGAATGTCCTGCCTGTGGTTTTCCACTATGTCCTACTAGACTATTGGGCAACAGCTCTAAAACAATGAATGACTCGTGAGATCTTGATTTAGATGCAAGACATTAAAGCATAACGTTTTAATAATTAATAATATTTTCTTACAATTATCAGGAACTGTCTGGTTTTCACTTATTAGGGCCAAAACATCATATCAAGTCTAGACTGAGTCCTATGATTTCTAAATGAACATGAACATATAAAAGTTTGAGGTCGGTAAATCAGTTTTAATGTACAGTATTTAAATAAAGTTTCTTAAGCTCACCAAGGCTGCATTAATTTGATTACAAAGTAATTCAGTCTTCAGTGTCACATGATCCTTCAGAAATCTTTTTAATATGCAGATTTGCTGCTCAAGAATTTCTTTTAATCATTATTAATGTTGAAAATTATTTTTTCAGAATTCTTTGATGAATGGAAAGTTAAAAAACTGCATGTGTTCATTTAATAAAAGGATCATATTAATGTTTCCTTGATGAATAAAAGTATTAAACCCAAACTTTAGGATCGTAGTGTACTCATTCTTTGTCACACCTAAATTAACACATTACTAATCCATGATTCACTCATGAAGCATTCTGGATTTCTTTCACAAATGCTTTTGATACTGATTTAAAGTCATTATGAGACATGATTAACTTCTGTCTAGCGCCAAAGATCCCTGTTTTGGTCCTCCTCTTGAGTATGATTCACCCATTCCTGCTTTGGTCCTCGTTTTGAGGACGATTCACCCACTAAAACCGAAAGAGGAACATCTTTGAGTCATTTAGTCCTCTATGAATATCTGAGAATGTCTCATTGCTAAATGAACTCACATGAGGGTTCAAAGACATTGGCTTATATCAAACATATCATTATATTCCCAAGTCTTAATCTCATATGGTTTGTAGCTTTCTAAAAATATTTTTTACAAAGTCTTTATAGTCAGAATATACCAACATATAACCATACTGTGAAACCACTTTAACGATACATTGATTATATGGATTAATGGATAACCAATCAAAATAGCGAAATTCAAAATATATGAAGTAATCAGTTTTGTTGCATCATTTTTTTAAGTCAAGAAATTCAAAGTTTAAGTGAGCAGAACTGGCAGATTTTAATTTTCTCTTTAAGATGGGGTAAACGAAAGCAATATTTGAAAACCCAATGCTTTGATAGCATTAGCATTGCTGAATGAGTATGGCAATATAAAACAAAAAACATTTCTCAAACCATGCTACACCTGTCACCATGATGGTAACCCCCCAAAAAACCTACATAACAGAACCTCACAAAATTAGCATAGCAATACATTAAACACTTAACATTACACTTGCACAAAAAAACAAAGAAAAATGCATGTTAATAATATTTATTTTAACATGCATTTTTCTGCAGAAATCTAATTTTTGTCAATCTAAAAACTTGAGTACCTAATTTTGCATCTATTAAATGTCTTAATCGGGTCATATTAGCACATTTTAGAAGACTGAAATACTTTTTGACTGTTGTTATTGCATCTCATTGCACAATCCAATCAATAATGAGCTGTAATCAGATGATTGATGATCTTGATTTAGTTTTATTTCAGAACTAAAGTGTATATTTCATTGTGGATATCCCAATTGAGATACTGGATTTTCAATTTTCATAGTTCAATTAAAGTGTTCATGTTAGTCATATTTTCGATGTACAGTGTATTTGTGAGTTAGTACATTTTTTTAGCTGTTGATATCTCATTAGCAGGACCCTGAATCTAATCAAAATGCCTAAATGTATCAAGGCATGGTTTGAGGTATTGGCAAAAATGTATTGCTGGCTACAAGAATCAATGTCAGATTTATGTCTGAATACACACTTTTCATTAAATACATTTTATCATGTATAAGCTTCCTAATACATCCAAATATTAGACCAAACATTCCCAAAAACAATGTCACATTTATCATTTTGATACTTTTGACAAAAGTAGGTACCTCATAAAAGACATAACCTCTTCCTCATCAAGATATAGTAATCTTTCTTTAAAAGAAACATATTTATACTGTTTTTCCAAAGTTCAATATATATTTTAATCTATACAAAGTTTTGAGTTCTGATGAGAACAGGTCATGAGAGAAATCAAATCAAATGGTACATCTGCATCAAGAACATCCCACCGATCATCAGATAAAATTCAAAGAGAAAACGTTTAATGAGAGATAATGTTGTGTCTCAGAACTTGTTTTGTATGAATAGCCTTTACAAAATCACAGCATATTATTAACTGCAGGGATGATATTACACATGAAGGTGAAACAAATAAATACTAAATAGGCTAAATGTTGGTTTCATTTCTCACTGAACACTGATCATCATCGTCCTAAATGTCCCTTTGTTGAATAAAACAGACCTGTGAATGTGATTAAATTGCAAGCAAATTATTCTTTCCTTCTTATCCCACTCATTATTATAGCAGAATGTCCATACAGTACAGTATCCCCATATTTTACTAAATATCTCCATCAAAATAAGTTACTTATCTATATCATTAAAGCCTATGCTACAACATTTGGACATTTCCAACAGTCTCTGTGCTTTATTGTAGGTGTGTGTGAAAAGGTTTCAGCGAGCGCCACATTAACACAGGTGTGTCAGCAATAACTTATTCACACCATCATCGACATTTCGCGTCTAGGCAGGCGTCTCGCCATTCGACTTCAGCCAATACACATTTTCAACACACACACATATATTAAAAGATATCACCGCATGTATTTAACAAACCCATGGTGGTTTCGCGTCCCACTGACATAGCGTTGCCAAAACGTGGATGAAGTTCAATAGCGTTTATGAAAATCGAACATCTGGGCATTCATCACATTCACACCCATCAGGACCTCGAAACAAACCGAACAGCAGAATTGAATTCAGCAAATAAAACATCAGAACGTTCAGAGCATGACGTATTAGTTCGGAAAATGACGTCTTGGCTTCAAACACATTTGCAGTCGATACAATGACGCCGCCTGCCCTGCAATAAGCTATTAGATAACATACAACTAGATTGGTTTCTAACAATCTGTTTAGCGACATTTTGACCATTAACCTATTATATCTTTTTTTAAAAGCTAATCTGTCTCCATCCATCGTAGTGAAAGCAGCACGTCTCTGACACACCCTCCGAAAGTGAATTCGTGCATTGTGTCTATCAGGGTCAAACAACGCAAATATCATCCAAACATATGAAACGCATAGTATCCTGATCAAATGAACTGATCGCGTGTATTATGCCTCAATGCGCCTTTATAGCCGTTTGATGAGGATCCTCTGTAATGCTACAAATGCAGTGCTCGCATTTCAATCACATCCCCACTGATTCAGACAATACATGAAAGGCAAAGGTAATTTCTCCAATTCATACCTGCACATAATTGTTCTCGCAATATTCCGCAACCCTTGAAAGGTTTTGGTAGCTCTCCACAAGGGCTCTTTTTCCTGCCGGGATTTCCTCCTCTAACAACATTTGTAGCTCTGCCATCTTACATCCCTCTGCATTACTCTTCTCCCCCTCTTTCATTGAAACCAGCGGAGCTTCACTCTCCGACAGGAGGTCCCTCGCCTGGCATTGTGGGATTCCCGTTGGCTCCGCTGTTTCAGAAGTGTGACAATTCTCAACGCAGTGCTTTACGCACTGTTCTGTGATTGGTTGTCTGGTTCTGATAAGCGGTTCTGGACCAATGGGAGACGAGTACGTTTTCCTCAGCGATGCGAAATAGAACACCGTTCAACTTCTGACCAGTGTGTGATGTTGAAGAGAAGCAGATTTACAATTAAGACTAAACAAATGCTTTTTGTCCACTGTCGTGGGCATTCTTTTTAGTTAACATTTAAGCACATAATACATTGTGTATTGGTGTTTTAAGCTTTAAGGTATGTTAATGAGATTATCGTTAGTTTTTCAGTGAACCGCATGGCATGTCTAACGTAACGGGGATATTCGGATAATTATATAAAATAATGCAATACTGCTATACCGTGGTGATAGCGATTTAAAAGTGACGATCTTATAAAATATAGTAATAATGCGATTTAAAATGTGAGCAATGCTTCTTAAGTAAACTAAACTAATCTCAAACCAATTCCTCTAAAATAAACAAAAGACAACTTTAGGATGTTGTTTTATACTAGAGACGCTTCTGTATACTACTATATATTCTGAATAGTCAGAAATTATATTAAATCCATCTATCGGAGGCAGCTCATATCTTAGCACGAGTAAAAGACGTTTAAATAGCCTTTCGCTAGGCATTGTGGATCCTGTAGGCTAAAGCGCTCTGCGTTCTATTAATTACTATGGAGGTCAGCTTTATTGGAAACTACATCACCCAAACTGCACCTGTTTCAGTTAATACTTAGGACACCTTAGCAGCATTTTCAGATGGACGAAACACAGGAGGTGAGTTATATTCAGTTATTCAGAGTTATTTTTTGTTATTCAGTGGCATTTTTCCTACTCTTGAAGGCCATTTTCATAGTTTAGACGGTGATTTCTTAATATGGCGAAAGGTTAATGAAATTGCTGATTAAGTTAATTAACCAAGTTGTTCAATATCAAGTATTTAACATATCAAATAAGAAATAAGTCTACATTTAAATTATTACCTTATTAGTGTGATTTGCTTTTCATCCACGTCTGTTTGCTAAATGTTTATCTAATTTGCTGGCATCTATCAACCATGATGTAAAGACCTTTCCATGAGACGAAGTACAATGGAGGAAGATCCCAAATCTATTCAGAGGAGGTTTGAAGCAGCTGTCAAAGTCATCAGAAATTTACCTGAGGATGGTAATACCTAAATATGAATGTCAAGTATTGAACTTCATGGTTTCATATAAATTACAACAACATTAAAAAATGTGTTTTTAATAATTCTTCATTTCACACAGGCTCTTATGATCTGTCCGATGATATGCTGGTTATGTTATACAGTTACTACAAACAAGCTACAGCAGGACCTTGTAACACCCTAAAACCAAACTCTTGGGATCCTATTGGCAAGGCTAAATGGTAATTCTTATCCACTGAAATAATGATTTTTCATATTATATATTTATAACTACATGTTTTTAATGAATTTAGTGTTATGTTAACAGAAATGTTGATGTTTTTATATCTCAAGAATGCTTTAAAGAATAATTTGAGCAATAAGCCAGATATGCATATTAAACCCAGACACGTGTTGTTTGCAGGGAGGCATGGAAAGCCTTGGGAAACATATCAAAGGACCAAGCCATGATGGAATATGTTCAGGAAATACAATTGGTAGGTTGTATAGATGAAGCTCTCTCATATAGTCATATTGAGGTAACACCAAAAATAGTTTAAATCACAAACAATCAAATGTTTTATCATAGATTATAGAAACCCTTCCAGTCACAGACAGGATGGCAGAATTAATGGACGCTCTTGATCCATTTTATGAAATGGTGGAGGATGATGATGATGATCCGACCAGTAAAGCATCACTATTATCCACAGGTACTTTTCCAAAAATGATTCAAATGCCTTAACCATAAGATCTGACCTTATTTGAACTCCTTTAATTAACATTTTAATGAATGTAAAAACAGGAAGCACTAAAGATGGAAAAGTTGTTGATGATGAGAAAGTTGAAGAGGGGGAAAATGAAAGTAATAGGAAATATAGATGATGACATGGAGATGGATGAGAAGAAGAGGGGTACAAGCAACAACTTTGTGCCTTTATATAATGAATGAATTGTCCAGACAGAGACCTGTAAAATGTGTTTGAATCTCCTGACATGATTCATACGATTTTTTATTCTGCAGTCTCGAGCACCCATGCAGCAGAGAGAGGAAGTTTACCAGTGTTTAATGAAAGTGAGGAGAACAGTGTGTCCTCCTCAACCAATGACACTCATAGTTCTCTCAACACTGAGGAGGAAGATGAGGAACTGGCGTATGGTATGTTTTGGTTCCCATCAGTTTGCATTTTTGTGTCCGGGCCCAAGTTATACTGTATGGCCCATCTTAAGTTGTGTTGGAGGATACAAAACTCTTGAGGGACAAATTTAGTTTTTAGCATTCTGATTAGAAAAGATTCATTTAATGAAACTACATTGGCAGATAATGTAAACAAAGTGTCTATTATAAACTGTGTGTTTAAAAAATATTATTTGATGACATTCTTCTTACCAAATATCCCACAGATGAATCAGATGGTGAGATATACAGCGGCTCAATGGAAAAACCAGCAACACCAGAGAAGGTACAGTCTTTATACTGATGTTTTCAATTCTTTCACAGGCTCAAAAACATATTGCATCTCAAAACTCATCTCTTATTGCATAATAAAAAAAACATATTTTATTAGTAAGGTTAGTAAAATTCTCTAAACTTTTGCATTTATTTGATCAAAAATACAGTAAAAGCTGTAATATTGTGAAATATTATTACAATTTAAAATAACATTTTCCTATTTGAATATGTTTTAAAATGTAATTTATTCCTGTGATCAAAGCTGAATTTACAGCATCATTACTCAGTGTCATGTGATCCTTCAGAAATGTTCTTATATGCTGAATTGCTGCTCAAGAAGTTATTCTTAATATTATCAACAGTTGTGGAAACAATACTCATTTTTTTTCAGTATTCTTTGATAAATGGAAAGTTCATAAGAACAGCATTTATTCGAAATATAATTTTTGTAAATACTGATCAAATGACTTTTGATCGATTTAATGCATAATTGGAGAAAAAAAGTATTTATTTCTTTACTGATACCAAACTTTTCAACAGTAGTGTATGAATACTGGAAAGAACAAAAATAACTCGAGAGTAATGCAATCACAATGGTGAATAAATAAAGATCAACAAAGATCTTTTAATTTTGGCGTGCAGATTCACTCTTAAAAAGCTCATTAACTTATTGAATACTTTAGTTTTGAGAGTTATCAAATTCATAAAAAAAACCTTGAAACAACAATCATTAAGAGATCTATAACTAGGTTGAATCCATAAGGTCACTCTGATGCATCATAGATCAGCAGAGACTTGAAAGTGTTATGTGATTCCTGGCATAAAAACAAAGTATGACTTGAAATCCTTGGCAAAACATGGATTAAGTGACCTCAACTGAACTCCACCATGATAGTTAGCCCAAGAATAGGCTTGTGACATTTCTTTGTGAGAGAGAGATAGAGAGAGAGAGAACCAAAGGAAGAAATGCATTTGTTTGTCATGACATGTCATGTCAGAGCTAAATAAATGGTATATGCAATGCTCTCCCTAGGGTTCAGGAGTTCCCAGGGTCCATTTGGCAGAAGTGAACGTGGTTGGTGCCAACATGCAACAAGGGGGAAACAGAGAGCCTCAGTGTGAGAGTCAGGATGGGAAACCACAGGGAATTATACCCCCCGTCCCCCACCCGCCGACACTTGGAACCGTCCAAACTGACAGAATCTCTCCAGGCAGAGGAAGAGGAAGAGGTTGGGCTCGAGTCAGTGTTTGAATAAGTCTTGAGCACCATGACGTCAACAAGCAATAATGTGATCAACAAGCCAATTTTCCACCAGCATTTGTATAAACTTACAATGGGGGTGAATAGTATTATACTTCTCCTAGGAAATAATTTCCCAATAAGGCAAGACTCTTATGTTGCATAGTGGCATTCATTATAGTTTATATTGATATTTATTTCCTTTCATCACCATGGGCTTGTATTTGTATTATAAAAAGAAAGAAAATACACACTTGCAGAAAATTATAACCCTATAAATGATATGTAAATGATAAATGATATGATAGTAAAAAAAAAAAAATATATATATATATATATTAAAAAGTTTATTTAAAAGAGTTTATTGAATATATATATAGACAAAATCTGAAAAAAAAAATATTTTGCATATGTGTTTTTTTTTGTCGAGTATAATATTTGATACATCAAGCTTTTATTGCTCATATAGTATGATACAGGAGAATATGGAGCTCAAATTCAAGGAGGAAAAAACACCTGAATTTATTCAGAGGCCAAAATTGAGCAAAAATATTCAATTTGGTGTAGTTGCTGATATTTATATGGCCAAAAGATAATATGAAATTCTGATAGCATGTGATATAAATCGATACGATCTTTATAACGATATAGACGACTTGCATAAAATACATATGTATCTGTTGTTCTATATCTCTCAATATAATGTCTGTGTAAGATGATATTTAAATGCTTAGTCATTACAATTTAGGTATATGCTGTTTAATTATGTAACAGTATCTATGTTTGATATGTGTCAGGGAATTAGTGGAAGCATAAATGGATGTTTTTTTTTATATATATACTCTCAGGGCTTCAGTTAATGGGAACTAGCCTACCTGACAAACACGAGTGCGGTTTCCAAGGAAATGGTCAGCGCTGGGAGACGTTTAATACAGAGATTGCTGTGATACTGTCACAGTTACAGGACAACATGCAAGATGTGCTGGGCAGACTGACCACACTGGAACATCTTACGGCATCACAAGTAAGACCAGCATCAAAATATCTGGCTCAATGTAACCACAAGTCTAGAATGTAGATCCCAAAGACTGGATCTGTTTAATCCACCTTGTGTTTTTCTGTGCAGTAAATGTTAAAACAAGTTGTGTTACAATACAAACCAGCATGTTTATAATGAAGACATTGCATTAAAATAATATGGTAAGAAATACCAGTTTGCAAAATCTTGCAGCAAAACAAGCTAGAAAAAATAGCTGGAAGCGGATGAGACATGTCATTTACAGTAAAAATAAATAAATATTTTCTATTATAATATATGTTCAAATTTGTTTGTTCCCCCTGTGATGACAAAGCTATATTTTCAGCATCTTAATATAACATTTTATGGGAAATAAATACCATTAAACAACAATCACCTTCGATAATTCTATTAAAACCTTGAGGACAGTTAAAGTTGCTATTAATTTAAATATTTATTTGCTTATGTTTGGTTTTAGGCTGAAATTACTTCTCTCAAAACTTTGAACTGTAAGGCATCAAAAAAGGTATGTTTATTTGACGTCAAATACATTGAATGCAATAGTTTGAAATTCCGCTTTATGTTAACAGAAATGTTTAATTGTATCTGTGTTTCAGAGATGGTCCTGGTGGACTTTAAACTCGCCCCACTTCGCTGCGGTACTGACCGTTATCTGGCCGTTTGCTGTGCACTGGCTGGTGCAGTTTTACTTACTGAAGAGAAGGAGGTAAGCTGTGCTGTTAACTAGGCTATATGTAAACTTTTTTTTTTTCAATAGAAAAAATGTTGAGTAAAACATGCCTGCATTGCATCTTTGTTGTGGTTTTAGATGGTTAAGAGTGAAGTGAAGAATCAGATACCAACTGTATACCATCATGAGGACTTTCAGACGGTCTGGATATATCTGGATATATCATAAAAGTGAAAGCTATGATGTCACCCTAACCTCAGAAATTAGTAGTATTCAGCAAGGACAGTGACAGTAAAGTGATGATGTGTAATATGATATTTCCATCTGAATAAATGCTGTTCATTTCAACATTTTATTCACCAAAGAATTCTGGAAAATTTATAACTGTTTCTACAAAAATGTTGAGCTGCACACTGATAATAATAGTGATTTATTTATTTATTTTATTTATTTATTTATTTATTTTTACTTTTTTTTTAGCAGAAAATCGTCATATTGGATAGATTTCTGAAGGATCATGTGACTGACTTGAGTAATGATGCTGAAAATTCAGCTTTACGTCACTGGAATAAACTACATATATATATTCAAATAGTTAAATTGTAAAAACATTTTACTGTATTTTGGATAGGCGTCTGAACAGTCATGTATATAATAATCATACCTTTTCTATTGTGTATTGTGTGTTTTATTTGTATGACTTTCAATGCAGTTAGTTTACAGTCATTTTAATCCATCTTTAAAAGATTTACTCATTTTTCATTTGCTTCGAGAGATTACATTTCAAAGAGGAGAAATACTGGAAAAATAAAGTATTTTGACATGGATAGCATGTACTTTGTATATTATACTTTGTAATATATTATACCGCTATACTTTGTATATTATGTGGAGTGTGGACAAAAATTTAAGTAGTTTAATTTTTATACTACAGAGGCATAGAGTACTTATAAGTACTATACAATTAACTACAATGATTTTTTTTTCTACAGAGGCATAGAGTACTTATACGTCTGTTGGTGTTATTGTAGGATACTTGTATGTTTGACTGCTTGAGACAGATAGATAGATAAATAGATCGAGAGAGACTGAAACACGTCTGTAGATGACTAAATATTAAAGATTCCTCCTCAAATCAAAGTCACTTAATGTGGGCCCATTGAGAGACTCAAGTGTTTCTACACGGACGCAATTAAAGACAGGACAATAACAATAGATTGCGTTCAAAAGCCTGTTGCTAACTTATCAGGCTGTACACGGGGAAGCAGAGAGATTTAGAAGGTGGTCTGAAAGCAGAGGTCCATGAAAAAAAAATATTAAGTCTTTGATTAACGAGATAGCTGTCTTCTTTTTCGGACATAAACACTATTTAGAACGGATAGTCTACTGCTAAACGCCAGTCAGCTAGCGAATGGACGCCTCTGTTATTGCCTCATGAATATTAACTTCCTCACGTGATTGGACGCTCCAGTAAAGTTACAAAGCAACGGACGTACTTATTATTCATAAGACATGCCATCGCTGTTAGTCGTACTTTACGAGTGAATATGATTGTAAGTGCACGTGGTAAATCTGAAAACACGTTTTGTTACATGCATTGACATTTGCGGTTTATGGAAAAATGCAAGAGGAGGGTTTGATTGTCGAAGCAAGTCGAGCAGGTCCTCCGAACTGGATCCAGCAGCACGCCGTCGTAAGAGCGAGTCACATTCCGGTTATGATAAACTGATGCACGGCATGTTTAGACAAGTGACATTTAATTTGTTCTCCTCTTTAGTACCAAGACCTGATGCATTTAGATGTCGGTGACAGTGCTCAAGTATACGCTGCTTTCCTGGTGTACATGGAACTGACGGAGGGTGAGAAAAAAATCAAAGTAGTAACGTTAGTTAGTTATGGAATATAAAGAAAAGGCCAATAAATAAATAACTTTTTTGTCTTTCCCTTTGAAGTGCGTAAATGGAAGGAGGTGGTTGGAGTTTCCTGCCCAGACTTACAGGCGGTTCTGCTGGAGGGTCGAGAGAAGGAAGGAGAAGCAGTTCAGATGATCTACCCTCTGCCTTCACACAGATCCATCAAACACAAAGAGTAGGAGACACAGTCAGCATTTACTGTAATACTGCCATTACTAAGCAGCTCTTTGGCTGCGAAGTATCAAAGCTGCTGTAAATCGCTTTCAAAACACCTCTTGTTTCAAATCAGTGGTTCTGAGCCTCCCAGCTAACAATTGCCACTCCATTCATTTGCATTAAGCTTTCCATTGTTAGAAACCCAGTTATACGATTGAATGGTCGTGCAACACTCTCTCATTTTCCCCTGAGACGAGAGAAATCTGCTATTTATCTTTTACACTTCCTCCTACAATGATGCAAAAATCATCATTTTACGTCTTTGTTGGAGGATGTGTAAGAGAGGGGGATTTCTGTAAAGACTTCAAGGCAAGCACTAGATCTCACCTATACTAGGGGTTGGGCCTAATGCGCTAACGGACCAATCACAGATCAGTGCCAGTGCGTCTGATTTCACCGGCAGACACGTTTAGAAAATATGGACGAAGGTACTGAATACGCAGACGGATGCATTATGGAGGATTGGGATTACACATAGTGTCAGCCATCTTTTCCGGAAGCTAAGCTAGCAGTCTCTTGTTCTGTGGCGAAAGCTGAGTAATAACTATTATAATAGTCAAGACTAGTAAGATAGTTTCAGGTAAAGACCAGAAACTTCAGGAATACACACGACCGCTTTATAAAGTTTCACTTAATCAGATTATTATGCTATAAATGTGACCATTTAATCTTTTTAGGTTGCGGACTATACTGGACAGAGGTGTCCCGATGCTCTTGTGTGCAGTGGCTTCTGACTCCAGTCTGGTGTACCAGAGGCTGTGTGATGGCCTTCTGACCCCTGACCCTCCAGTGGACATCCAGGACCAAGGCCGCCGACAGCATCGCAAACGTAGGTTACAGACGTGAGATGAGCACCCAGGCAGATTATGATCTGATACGTGGATTGGGTAGTATTGTGACTGATGGAGGCTGGTTTAAATGCGTTCATGAACTTGTATCGTCCTTGAAGAGAGACTGAATTGATAAGATAATCTCAGGAACGGACCATATTTGTGTTTTATAAGACAACTTATTGCAGTATTACATTTAGACAACACCAATGAGCTGCTTTTTTTTTCCTCAAAAACTTGAAATGACAGATTTGTAAAGTTAAACATTTCATAATTCCCCAAAAAATAGCAACAGAGAAAGCTGCAAAATAAATTGTTTTTATTGTTGAAACCATCTTCATTTACTCACCCTGTCATTCCAAATCCAGAAGACTTGTTCATCTTCGAAACATTGAAAGCCCATTCCACCAAAACTTTGATGCTCAAAATAGTTCAGATTTTTTTGTGAATCAAGGGGTGTAATCCAAATCTTCTGAAGAGACATGATCATTTTTAAATGCAGTATTTCATTCATATATAAACATTGATCAACACATGCATAGAGCTCATCAAAAATGGTAAACAGAAGCTCAATCGCACTTGCTTAAAGGGATAGTTCACCCAAAAATTTTAATTCTGTTATAATTTACTCAGCCTCAAGTTGTTCCAACCCAGTGTAAGTTTATTTCTTCTGCTGAACACAAAAGGAGATATTTTGAATAATATGGGTAACCACACAGGCCTAAGGCCACATTGACTTCCATATTATGGGGGAAAAAATGTATGAAATACAAGAAAATAACTCATACAGGTTTGGAACAACATGAGGGTAAATGATGACTGAATTTCCCTTTCACATACAAGAGCCACTGAGGTTTGTTCTAGCACGTCAAGCAAGGTTGGTTCAGCTTCTGTTTTACCATATTTGATTTGCTCCATCATTGTGAATAAATGACAATTTTCATTTTTGGGTCAATAGACACTTTAACATAAACAATACAGAGCTGGAATATAGATCAATAAACCAGTTGCCATTGCTTGTCCTTGGTTAGTTGGTCAATGTGTATTTATTTTTTTCACTCTGCATCACATTTACTGCATTTTTGGCATTCATGTTTGGCCCAACTGTAGTAGGTACATAGAGAACCTAAGCATACATATGGGGTATTATTCACTTTAGTGTGAAAATACAGAAATGAATGGCTTACTGTTTTTTTCTCATATCAGAAAACAAAACACTGTGTGCTTAAGGCTATGGCAAGTTACTGTCATACTGTAAAAGGAAGAAACACTTCCTGATAATAAAACTTATCTGTGTAAAACTTTCTGAAGGCTGGTTTTGAAACTTGTACTGGTTTACAACTAAAGAAAACTGAATATAAATGTCAAGAGAACGCATGACATCCTCCTGTTATATAGCAAAAATGAGTATCTGCAAACTACTTGAACTTAAGATACTGTAACTGGCGTCTCTAAACATGGCTAGATGCTGTGATCTATCTCGACTGTCCAACATGTCCTCAAGACCGGCCCTGAAGGAAATGCACTGCTCTCATCCAACAACAAATCTAGTGATGATACATACAGCACTGCTGTCCTGAGCGTTGTAACAACTCAAAGAAAAAGGTAAAAATACATGTACATAAAACACTGTGGGTGAAAAATTCTTGCTCACATAATAATAATAATAATTAAAAAAAACTGGAATGCTAGAAATGGCCTTTCTGTCCATATTCTTTCACTTCCTGTGTCTCAACAGCATGGACAGAATCACGCAAGTCTCTCTAAGTCCTCATTAGGAGATATCATCTCCACCGCTGGTCCACCATGTGTAGTGTCCTTGTCAAAGGGAGCATGGAATCCAGGATTCTCGGCATGGCTCTCTCCACTGAATGTAGTCTATGAGTAGGAGAAGGCTTGTGGGTAGTGTAAGGCAAGGGATTGAGGAACAGTCTGAAAATGGCTTTCCCATTCAAAACTTGGGCCAAATCCCAAGTCTCCTTAACCATGGCCTTTCTGTGCCCCCCTACCGTTTAAATACTAGTCCTCAAGAGTCTCAAATACTGACCTGTAAGACATTTGGGAGAGTGTGGACTGTAAACGGAGTGTATAACAGGGCTGAAAGTCACTTAACCCCACGCTCTTGAAGATTAGTACCCGTTGGGTAAGGAGGCATGAAAAGGAGTCGTAAGGAACTTTGGGACAGGATTGACTTAATGTTGGCCCGAATCAAACATCTCGGCATGCTATGTCATATCCTCATCCTCCGAGCAGTAGTCCCGTCCCTGTGAAAGTAAAAGTACCGCTGAATAAATGGCAAATAAAGGCTAGATTTTGACTGGATTTAATAGGGGAAACTGCGAAAATGCGACTAAAACGAACAATTTTATCAATTTAAACTTAATGTTGGACTCTCCATCCCTTAGATCTGGATCCAACTCCGCCCCCTGATCCCTAATCCTACCCATGTCCACCCCTTAGATCTGGATCCAACTCTGCCCCCTGATCCCTAACCCCACCCCTAATCATACCCATCTCCACCCCTTAGATCTGGATCCAACTCCGCCCCCTGATCCCTAACCCCACCCCTAATCATACCATCTCCACCCCTTAGATCTGGATCCAACTCCGCCCCCTGATCCCTAACCCCACCCCTAATCATACCCATCTCCACCCCTTAGATCTGGATCCAACGCCGCCCCCTGATCCATAACCTCACCCCTAATCCTACCCATCTCCACCCCTTAGATCTGGATCCAACTCCGCCCCCTGATCCCTAATCCTACCCATGTCCACCCCTTAGATCTGGATCCAACTCCGCCCCCGATCCCTAACCCCATCCCTAATCATACCCATCTCCACCCCTTAGATCTGGATCCAACTCCGCCCCCTGATCCCTAACCCCACCCCTAATCATAGCCATCTCCACCCCTTAGATCTGGATCCAACTCCGCCCCCTGATCCCTAACCCCACCCCTAATCATAGCCATCTCCACCCCTTAGATCTGGATCCAACTCCGCCCCCTGATCCTAACCCCACCACTAATCCTACCCATCTCCACCTCTTAGATCTGGATCCAACTCCGCCCCCTGATCCCTAACCCCACCCCTAATCCTACCCATGTCCACCCCTTAGATCTGGATCCAACTCCGCCCCCTGATCCCTAACCCCACCCCTAATCCTACCCATGTCCACCCCTTAGATCTGGAGCCAACTCTGCCCCCTGATCCCTAACCCCACCCCTAATCCTACCCATGTCCACCCCTTAGAGCTGGATCCAACTCCGCCCCCTGATCCATAACCCCACCCCTAATCCTACCCATCTCCACCCCTTAGATCTGGATCCAACTCCGCCCCCTGATCCCTAACTCCACCCCTAATCATAGCCATCTCCACCCCTTAGAACTGGATCCAACTCCGCCCCCTGATCCCTAACCCCACCCATCTCCAGTCCACCCCTTAGATCTGGATCCAACTCCGCCCCCTGATCCCTAATCCTACCCATGTCCACCCCTTAGATCTTAATCCAACTCCGCCCCCTGGATCTCATGTACTGCAATGAGGTGCTACTGCTAAAAAGACCCTCACTCTAAGTATGGGTGATGCTATGTCACATACCTTTTCAATCTTCTCATCCAGCATCTTGAAGAACTCCTGCTGGCTCTCTGAAGAGTGGATACTGAGGAACAGTCAAGGCTTGGTGAACATCTCATTGGTCGTCTTCTCTCGATTACTGAATTCTTAATACTCAAGAGCTGAAACCAAACACAAACTCACCTTATCTTATTACCATTTCCGGTGGCATCTTTATGCCTGCCCTTGTGCAAAAGTGTGCTCTTTTCCTGAAACGCATACAAGAGGAAAAAAAAATGTTATCCAGGAAGATAAAATAATTATGAGGAGAAACGTAATGTATCATATATAGGATGTATCCATCTTTACCAAGTTTTCTTGGTTTCGTGAGTTCGCCCTCTCCTCTTCTCCATGCATGTACTTCACCTTCTCAACTCCTTTCAGTTTATACTCATCTACAATACAAAAAGAGTCAACTGTAAACAGGATTCTAAATCCATTTTACTTTAGTCATTAAATGACTTTTCTGATTCAAACCGGATAACCAAGATTCTGATTCACCAAGAGCTTCAAACACATACACATTTGGTTCATTTAGACCCACATCTGGGTTTTTTCCGACGAGTTTTTGCTCATCAATGTACTGCAGCCGTAGAAATGTTGTCAACATTTAGTTGCAATTACAATAATTATATTTTAGTTTTAGATAAAGAACAATATGTACATGTATAAACAACATAAAACATCTTTTCATGTTTTTGAAAGCTGTCTTTTAAGTTCCCCAATGGTGCATTTGCTTATTTTATATAGAAAAAATACAGTAAAAAATTGTGAAATATTATCACAATTAAATTCATGTCATTTACTCGCGTAATAGTGAAGCTGCTTACCTCAGTCTTCAGCGTCACTACGGTTTGGTTTGCTACCTCAATTAATATACAGTTCATTCAGAGTCAGGGATTTTAAATTAAATTCAACTCTGCCTCTGGTTCCATAATTATTGTATAGATTATTATAACATGAAGATGGGACACTGACCGGAGAAGGCATCTCCGTTGCTGTAGGCCTTACCCCGGCCCTCTTCATCACTGGGTACAGATGACAACTGCTTGGCTGAGGTGCAGCCCATCGCCTCACTTCCTCTCCTCTCCTTCCTGCATGGCACTCTCTACTGCACCTGACACAGCAAATACAGGTATGAGTTCGCGTAGAACTGCAGCAAATAAGGCAATCTACATAAACCAAAACAGAATGCAGTGACACGTAGTCTAACATGGAGTTTAGTCTATCTGTACTGATATACACTGAACTTAACCTTCATATCTGGGTGTGTCACATTCATGTTTCCGCCATGCTGAGCAGCTGATATGAATTTGGGTCAATAGGATACTGGCCTCAGAAGAGTGGACGTTGGTGTGTTTGGACATCAGTGAGTAACGTATGTGTGGTTTATGTGCAAAGAGCGAGGCCTGATCTCAGGTCAGATTGCATGTCATCAGAAATTAAGAGAGTAGAAATGGTGGGATGAACTGATAAGAAAAAAAAGGTTTGTGAAGATTAAGCACACAGAGCATAAACAAGTATGAGGTTTCATGTGCTCAAGGCCAATTTTTCTGCAAATTCTGTTGAATTCTTTTTCTATTTCCATTTTTTTTTTCAGTTGTAATTTTTTCTGGATGCGGTTTTAATGGTTATATTAAATTTGATAAGCAATAAAAAAAAGTCTAATCAAAATAAAAAAAACAATAAAAAGCCCTTTTTTTCAATTTTAATGGTTTAACTAAGTCTTAATAATCAAGAAGCATCTATAATCTTCATGGAGTAAATTCATGAAACGTAAACAACTTTATTAAATAAATTGGTGTTAAATATTAAGCATGATTTTAAAGCTCTGAAAAACAGGCGCACACATGAAGCCGCTGCTCATAAACCGTGTGAGACCTGAACCGAGTGATTTTTGTTGCCTTATTGGGCTTGAACGGTTAAATACACAAAGTGACTATGTATTTGCAAGTAAACAGAGTAATTTATGTCTTAAGTGAACGTTAACTTAACAGTTGAGAAAGTAATCGCACAAGTATAATGGATCCGTACAGTCGGCCTTAAAGTGACAGCATCCAAAAATAATGCATCTGCTGTTGTTATTAATGTTAATCAAACAACAAAAATGAGAGCATTTCTCACTGCGGAATTACTTCTGACATTTTAATAAGAATAAATGTTTATTTAGCCTTATTTACACAGTAAAGACTATACAGTGTTTTATACATATGATGATTATACAGTTTATGTAGTATTTCTAATTGTATGCGTCTTTGTTTTATTGTGGTTTGTTTTCCTATATGCCTGTAATTAGTTTCTTTGTTTTTCTTTATCACTGTTTACTTGTCTTTAGTAAGCTTGGAGTTTGTTTGTTTTAATACAGCTAGGATTAGTTATTTTGAGATATTGGAAATGTTAACAAGAATTATAAAATTACAAAAGCAAATATAACCACATCATAATATATATTCATATTGTGAAAGAATATTTTGTTCATATCGCACACCCCTAAATGCATTGCATGAATATCTTTAAAGGGGTCATCGTGTGTATATATGTGGGGTCATATATATATATATATATATATTAATGTGATTTGAAAAAAATGGTCTTGTAAAGAGCAGACTTTTATATTTCGAAGACGTCATTTCTTGTGCATTATCCAATCAGAGCACGCATGCAGTAGGTCCAGCTGGAGCCTCTCTCGCGCATAAAGGGTCCTTGTGTGGCATCAAAAGAGCTGCAAGCAGTAGCAGCCAATCCAATGAGGCAGAACTAATCGCTCTCCGAGGTGAGAGCAGCAGAACCGTTAACTCACACCACGTACAAACCATGCAGCTCAAGAACAAGTGATAACTGTTCCCCTGCGCAGATCCTTAATCCTTAACAGCGCGACACGTTTGTGCACGAAACATCAACTATCAGCAGCATTATTAATAATATTGATCATACAGCTGAGCGCACCCGTGACGGTTTTTTCCCTTTCAAAACTAACATTGCATTTTGTAGCAAACGAGCAATGTGGCCTAGTAGCGAATGTGCATAATAATAAACACTCCATAACGAAACCATAAACAAAAAGCACTTAATCTAGTGACGCTTCCACTGGAGATCGTCACAATCGCTCACAGCTACAAACTGTTATTGACGCACATTAATTCAAATCGGATGCGATTTGTTTTGTTGGTAACGTTAATGTTCATTAGAACAGGACAACAACAATGGTCGCGACGCAAAGGCACATTTGACTCGAATTGTGTAGATTATGAACACAGAATGGGGTAAGGGCATAGTTAAACACTTTAAGCAGCTAATCTTACCTTCAGTGCAGATGCAGAGTTTAATAGCTCTATTCGTGATCAGGAAAAAAGCGCCGCTCAACCGGGATCAGCTCAATTCAGATCAGCCCACAGCCGTGAATAATCGATACAGAAACTGAATCGTCGTGCGACACGATCAGTGTGTACACTACAGACAGAAGCAGTCGAGCGCGATTACTTTAACAGATGACTTGATATATAGAATACAAAAACATTTAAAAACGAGTTTGAAAGACATAAAAATATATATGTGTGATATATATTGTAGGATTGTTCAATTATAAAATAGTTTTCAAAGACTTTTGTACATTTGTACTTTTGTACATATATTAAATAATTGGATTTTATTTCCATCATTTTTGGTCAAGATCGTATTGAAAATGCAAGAGTCCAGCACTCTGTAAAGTCTTCCTACGTGGTTGTTTACGAAATTATAAGCTACACACTCCATCAGTTAGGGCTAGATAAACGGTTGCCAAACATATAAAATGCTAGAAATATCATAATCACTGCAATAATGATCCAATCAGACTTTTAAGCATCTGACTATTTAAATCCAAACAGGAATTTCTTCCCCATTAGATTTCTCCACATATTATGGTTACATCTCTGTTGGTCACAAAAATCATATCAATTTAAACATATTATCAAACTATCTCCTTTTATTATTGTGTTTCTTTAGTACTTTAGTAGTTTCTTTAGTCTAAATATTTTTTATAGGATCCAATTTTCTTTCTGGCATTAGTAGCGGAACTTTTGTAATGCGAAATCCGGAAAGAATTTGAGGTAACACACCCTCTTCCGGCCAACTCATCTGAACTCTGCTGTTAGTTCAAATGTGTCACTTTTTGCCAACCAGTCAAGTAAATTGCTTCACTTTAAAATAGACTTTAGTTCAAGCGTGAAGACAACAGCAAACATGGTGTTGCAGACGATGATTGTTCGTGTCGCCGACAGTCTGCCACTTGCTGCATCTATGCAAGAAGACGAACAGGTATGAATGAACCCATGTCAGAACAACAAACGTCACATTCCGTGCGAAGTTAAAATACAAAACGTTTTTGTATGATGTAAATGAGGGGATACATTCAGAAGTTTGTTACTTATCGAGTCTTTGTTATTGTTGTTTTTTGCCGACTACGTTTACATAAGGCATTAAAGTTAACTTACTAACGTAATGTTCTCTACAGTCTGGCCGAGACTTACAGAAGTATCAGAGTCAAGCCAAGCAGCTTTGCCGAAAACTCAACGAACAGAGTCCTACACGCTGCACTTTAGAGGCCGGTGCCATGAGCTTCCAGTAAGTGCCAACACACACACACCAGATGTGCCTGCTGAATTAACACTTGAACTGAGCTAATAAACATGATGCAGAATTGTAGATCTAATATTTCAGTAAGAATTGAATAATATAAATACTGTATGCTGTTTTACACTGGCTATTTCCAGAAATCATATTTAATAAATAAGAAATATACAGTATACTTTATTTAATAAATTAATATTTTATCAATATAGTGGAACATCTAATTTGTTATGTACTCTAAAGTATTTATTTGTCCAAACATCATTTTATAACTAAGAAATATATACAGATTTTATTGTCAATTTTAACTTTTTTAAAGTTATCTGGAAAGAATGCTGCGTAAATGGACAGAAATCATTAGTCAGTTTTGAGATGCGTCACCATAAATATGCAGATATGGTAGACATTTGAAGTATTTATTTTTTGGGGTAACACTAACAGAACAATTAGGTCTCATTAGTTAACATTAATGGTTTAACTAACAATTGAGTAAATGTATTTCTACAGCATTTATTTACCTTTGAAAATGTTACTGGATAAAAATGTTCATATTCATGTTAGGTCACAGTTCATTAAAGGGTTAGTTCACCCAAAAAATCTGTCCGTAATTACTCACCCTCATGTTGTTCCAACCCTATAACACTTTCGTTCATCTTCAAAACACAAATTAAGATTTTTTGAGCTTTCTGTCCCTCCATTGACATACGCAACTGACAAATCAACGCATCAGAAAGTTCATAAAGATATCGTAAAACTAATCCATATGAATTATAGTCCATTTTTTTTAAGAGACACGATCACTTTAAATGATGAACAGATTTAATTTAGGCCTGTATTCACATATAAACATTAATCAACTCGCATATCAGTTGTGGCAAACGGAAGCTCAAGCATGTTTGCTTGACGTGAGAACCAATGAGGTTCATTTTCGTGTTCTGCAAGAACCAATGAGGTTCATTGTTGAAGATGAACAAAATGATGAGTGAAAGTCTTTGGGTTTGGGACGATGTGGGTACTGTACTGAAATTACAGTTCCTGTCAGTACAATTAAATTTTAAATCCAACATCCCGTGGGGCCAATTTAATTCAGATTGACTTTATTCTATAATTATGCCTAAGTCTGAGTTGGTTGTTGATTTTGGATGATGTCACACTTCTTAAACCCATCTTGTTTTCCAGCTATGTCATTGAGAAAGGAGTATGTTACTTGGCTTTATGTGAAGCAGCTTTCCCCAAGAAACTAGTGTTTGGCTATCTGGAGGAGCTGGAGAGAGAATTCAGTGAGCAATATGGGGCAAAGGTCCTGTCAGTGTCACGGCCGTACTTTTTTATCGAATTCGGTGAGAAACATCTCATTTATTTCAGTGCTATTAGACTGTACAATTTAACTCGCTCAAGGTTTACATACACTACTGTTCCAACAGTTAAAGTCCTGTGGTGAAAATCAAGTTTTAATGTTGTTTATATGTCTATGTGGTGCTTTTAATGTGCTTTAAGACAAACAATCAGAGGCGGACCGAGTACATTATGGAGCGAATTATGTGCCAAAATTAAACAAACAAACTCGATCTGCTTTGTAAAGGAAAACTCGCCTTGCAAACAAACAGAAAGCAATTTGCAAAAACAAAGGTGAATTTGAGTGAAAATTCAGTGGAGTAACCAATATTGTGTTTTACAAATATAAATAAATGATCCATAATATTTCACAATTAAATACAAACCATCCTACAAATCGCATGTAACCTTTGAACAAATACCAAATCTAATGCATACAAATGCATTTCTGTCTGTTATGATTGTGAGATCTCTCGGCTCGATTTTCTCACAAATTCAGTTGGGTAACTTCTTCTAAAACAGTAGATGGAGCTAAAATAGGGGATTAATTTAGCGCTAGTATCCCGGGAGAAGCACTGATTTAAAACGTGCTTGCCTTTGCCTACAGCTGAGAAATCTATAATAAATATCTTGACGTTTTCCTTTGATAAATATTTTCTCCTTAAAACTGCCGTGAACCAAAGACAGTCTCAAAAACACTGTTTGACATCACAAACCACCTTGTAACCAATCACGTCAATGTTTGATTCTCTCAGCTAGTGTGTGTGTGTGAGTGGAGGCGGGTCTAATTTGGATATTCATAGAACCTGAAATTTCAGCTTTACCATCACAGGTTTAAATTACATTTTAAAATAGAAAACACAATAATAGCTCACAATATTAATAATAATAGCCCACAATATTTATTTCACTGTGTTTTTGATCACATAAATGCAGCCTTGGAGAGCATAAGAGACTTCTTTCATTTAAAAATTGTGCTGACTCCAAATTTTTGAACAGTAGCGTATAAACTATTGCCATGGTGTTCTTGAGTAAGACCATTAAGCGCTGGTTGCATGCCGTCTTTGTAGTATGCATGTTTTACTGAATAAATGTCCCCTACATGGCAAATTAGTTGGTCGACATTGTGGACCAAATGATTCCCATTTATCTCCAGACACATACATTCAGAAAACCAAGAAGTTATACGTCGACGGCAGAGCACGAAGAAATCTGGGCAGCGTCAATTCAGAGTTACACGATGTCCAGAGGATCATGGTCGCTAATATAGAGGAAGTGCTTCAGCGTGGAGAAGCCTTATCTGGTGAGTGAACACTTTGTGCATTGCCTCTTCAAGCTCTAAATAATATTTGTATTTGTAAAACCATTGAATAGGCTTTGTTTGTTTAAATGCAATTGAAGTGAGTTTTCTGCCATATCTTTCTGTAGCCTTGGATTCCAAAGCTAGTAACCTGTCCAGCCTGTCTAAGAAGTACCGCAGTGATGCCAAATATCTCAACACACGCTCCACCTATGCTAAAGTGGCCGCCGGCGCTGTCATTTTCATCACACTCATCGTGTATGTGCGCTTCTGGTGGCTGTGAGCATGCATGACAAATTCACGCAGAGATTCTCAGGGCCTCACTCATAAAAATGTTTTGGACACCAAAGAGTCTGTTCCGGCCTTAAAGTTGTTTCTGTTTGAGACACTGAATGTAGCTTTTGTCAAGGTACAGTTGTACCTTGCTTTATTTATAATCAGTGGAAGGTGTTAAAGATGTACTTGTTGCCTTGTATGTCTTCAGTATGTTCATAACAGAGCTATGCAAAGTATATGTGGTGTTCATAGGCGTTTATCTGAGCCTGGTGGTGAAACAATTCAGCATTTTGTTGGGAACATATTTTAAGTGCCCACTGTGTCAAATATTTTTAATAAGTGATTCATTTGTAAAATGTGAAGGTGGTTTCCTAAGAACACCAGAGTAAATGTAGACAAAAGAATGGTAATGGTTTATTGTTTACAAATAATTCGAGCAAAATAGTCACACTTAAATGCATTCGTTCACGTTTCAAAGATGATAAATGGAGACTGATGTCTGACAGGGTATTAATATATACATTTGTTTTAAAGAATCACAAAATAGCATCTGCTCCAAGGCAAGCATTACCCAGCAGTTCTGTTTGAAATCCAGATTTATAGTTGGAGATTTAGACAACAAGGTCAAAGTCATCCCGCTGAAAGAACAAACACAAAATTGTGATGTTAAATTAGCAATCAGTTTAAAAACTATTTTTTAGATTAACCATTTCTTCGCAGAAATGATGCACTATATTTAAACAATAACATTTTCGAGAGCATATCTCTAGTGTCAAACCTTCAGTCTATACAGGGAGGTGTTTATCAATTAAATATGAAAATAATTTTCCTAAATTCATTTGATTAAAGAGAAGCTCTGTGCACCGTACTATTCAAAAGTTTAGCGTTAGTAGGATTTAAAAAAAGGAAATGAATGCTAATGTTTAACGTGGACACATTAAATTGATCAAATGTACATTTGCAATGTAAAAAAAGACTTCTACTTCAAACAAATGCTGTTCTTTTAAACTTTCTATTCATTAAAGAACCCTAAAGAAAAGTATCAAATGTAAATTACATTTTAAACCTATTTTACAGAATAAAAGTTATTTTAAATTGTAACAGTATTTCAGAATATTGCTTTTTACTGTGTTTTTAGGCAAATAAAATGTTGGCTTGGTGAGAAACTTCAAAAACATTAAATAAATAATAAGATCGAGCCCAAACTTTTGTACAGTAATGTATAAACTACAAGATGAGGCTCCTAATATTCTTCCGCATACCTCCTCATTGTAGTTCATGACATGCTGTTTGATCTTGGATGAGTCCACCCATGTGATGAAGTCTTCCATACTCCTGTAACAATATTGCACAATGAAGTTGTAAATAAATAGATAATAAAATTTATTTCAGTTGGTGCAGACTCATAAATGTCAATGTGTTAAAATTAAACGTGTGATTTGCATTTCTTCAATGGGCATCAGAAAAAAAAATTATATTGAAGGTTTTCATTACTAACCTTGTTACAAGAAACGCAGGATCAGTGATAATCTCAGGCCCAACACGAATATCTGTTGCTCAGTCAAGAAGAATTTTACAGTGAAAATTAAGCAAATTCATTTTCTTCAAGATATTACAGCCTAAAATTAGATGAACATCCAGTACATTCAGGGATCAAGCAAAAAGTGAAAGAAATGAAAGTGAACATCATTTGTATGGAAGCTTGATTCTGCACAGTGTACAATATGTACTGACATTTACGAGTCATTATATCCTGTTTAATTTGGTCTTCTCTGTGCATGCTCTTTGAGGTGGTGACCATAGACCTGCATTATATGACTGACAGACAAGAACGGTTTGACCTAAAAATATCAAAATTGAAACTACTGCGGAACCAAGACACCTACACCTTGGATGCCCTTGAGGTAAGCTAAAACATACCAACATTTTTTTCAAAGTGAACTATCCCTTTAAGGCATAAGGAAAGTTTTTTATATCACAGGAAAAAAAACCATAAATGTGTCATTTTGATGAACAAAGATGAATTTTATGGGATAAAATGATTTACTACAAGTGGACTTTAAGAATATCAAGTACACATAATTTCGAACTAAAGGATACGGCCCTGCTCAATGAAGGTTGTCGCCATCCTTAAGCTTGGAGCCATACGCAGTTTCAGCATGACTGTGGGAAGCCGTCTCCTAAAGAAACAAACAGCAAACAGGGAAAAATAACTAATTGGAACTGGCAGAAGGAACAAAACTATAAAACTATTTTATAAACTCAAATTTGACCAGTTTACATTTGTGTTATTGTTTCCCCCCCCTCATTGGTTCAGATATGTTGTACACACTGTTGCACTTGTTCTATATACACTGCTGTAATTTCTATGATCAAATGTTGCAGTGCATCTTACCTGCAGAATGCAGATGCAGACACTTCGTTTGCAAGGGAGAGATTCTGTTTGGTGGGAATCAAACCGACACTGTAACTGCAAAAGAGAAACACACACACAAACACACACACACGATCTTCAGATATGATGTGACTTCAACTCAATTACAATGAAGCACCCACTAAACATCCAGAAGTTCCCAAACTTACAGTTTTTCCAAGAAAGTGCTTGTACTTTGAGCTCTGAAGCCATCTTTTTCGTCCAAGTCCCGTATTTTCTGTGCCAGTTCTCTGATATTTCGACTAAGTTTGTTGTATCTACAGAGAAATAATAACCGTATTAGATTCATAAGTCATGTTTGGACTGAAGACAGACACATCATCTGTCTCATCTAAAACACGACTGAACATGTGCTTTAAATACATATTTACTAAATGTACTGTTACTCACTTGGTGTAATCTTCCCTCTTCTCAATACGATATTTCCTTAATATTTTAACCTCGTGTAAATTGTTGTCAACCTCCCAGTTAATAAAATCAACTTTCTTCAAGAGTTTCTGCTCGTGAAATTTCAATTTACGAACCATTTTGCGAATAAAACCGACCTATATTGGTTTTCATCAGGTTTTCATTCACACGCGTGCTTTTCAATCGCGGTTGTTTTCTGTAAAGAATGTACGGTGGTTGTGCTCCACACTGGCACCCAGTGGTCAGGAGGAGAAAGACAACAACATTTTATACATTTTTCACAATAAAATTAAAGTGTATGAATAATAATATGCATAATATAAAGAATTTTTTTTCACTTTATATCGTAGGTTGTTTCTATATTTATCTGTTCTCATTCATATTTTTAATCTTACTTATTGTTCAACATCAAATCACGAGTTTTTTTTTCCAAACTCGACAGATAGGCCTGTCTTTTTGGAATGACCGAGCTATTTTGTTTAAACGAATTAGTGACGATTACAGAAACTCAAAAATATCTTTATTTCAGATATTAATTCAAATTATGATAATTTTTATCATTGTTATGTCTTCTGGTTCTGGGTAAAATTCATCTTCACAAAGCCACATTTTTTTGTGCCAGAAAAAAAGGTTTCATACAAGGGAGCACAGCACACCCATCGTTAGATGTCACTGTAAGCAAATCCAGCTTCATTTGAAAAGTTGAAGGGAAACTTAAATGTGTGACGACTCGAGTCACGACAGGAACGTTGGCTGAAAGAGTAGTTGAGGAAGTAATGCTTTTAATTTCAAATGAATGAGATTCATGGCTTCACCGCACACATGTGCCTCTCGGACTCCGCGTTCGGTCACTCAGAGTCTCTGACTCAGCACAACACATCTAAGCTGCACCTGTGTGAGACCAGGTAAACTAAACACATCTTTACACCTTTATACGTATCTAATTGTAGCCTAATATAAATGCAACCACGGGAGGAGTGGAAACACATGCCTTGGACAGTATTCGGGCGTCATGACGTCAAAAAGTGTAGTTTTGGTTTGCATATTTCGGGGTTGAGGTGTCCCTGCTGCTTTCAACCGTGTTTGCGGGGTCCCACGCCATGAAGCGTTCGACGGGCAGACCAAAGAAGTCGTATGCAGCATCGTAAACAGGCTGGGCGCCGCACACTTGAAGATTTTAAGTCAAATTTGCAACCGTGTAACCGACTTTTTGTCCCAAAAATCCTCAATTAGGTGGTGTCATTAAGATTATCTGACTGCGCGACCCCAAATCGTATTAAAACATGCTGTTACTCAATGTTATTCAACATCAATGTTACTCTTGATCGCCGCATAGCCAATGAGAGAGCGAGTAAGCTTCACAAACCGGATGTTGTGTGCTTCTATATGAAACTTGGGACCCACAAACATGACATAAAAAGTGGACTATTGAGAAAGAAGCAGCAGTTTACATTCCCCATTTTAAATATATTAAGTTATTGAAAAGAGAATTACAGATCACGTTTCGGTGTATACTGGACTGCAGAAATGATTGGGATTGTAATTGTCACTTTAATGGGTAGAAGACGTTCATCCAATGAATGGTGATTTGTTCAGAGTCCTGTTCAGCTTTAATTAGTGTAAAGAGTGGAAAGTCACAGTCTAGGCAGGCAGGATATGTATGAAGTGCTACAAAATCTGTACAGAATATACAGTAGCAAGCATTTCATTTTTATGGCTGGCACATGTAATGAGGAGGTGGATCAGGTGGCAAAGAGATCTTTAAAATGCAATGTATCACTAAGTAAAACTGAAGTTAAAGATGGACAACGCACATTCACTCTCTTCCATTGTAGTAAGTGAAGCCGCCAGTGTCCCAATATGGAGCTGACATCTTGAGTGCCCCGTACGTACAGTTTATGTAGGTGTTAAAAAAACAGTTATGGAAATGCAGAAATTAAATTTTTATGTTCCAATCTCCTACCGAAGATCCCGAAAAAGTCTCAGTGACTATTTCAATCAGAGAAGCTGTCAATCATGTTGTCACATACCTATTTTTATAGCATCAAATAACTAACTAAAACAAAAAATTATTAAAAGATTGAACACTTGAACTAACATCAGCCTGATTAAAAAAACTACCTAAAACGACAGAAACCATCTTTGGAAATGATTTGAAGTGTAATTTGATTGTTGTCGGAAACTGTTGTTGGACCGATTGGGCAGGCCCAGTCCAATCAGTATAATTGTAACATGCAGGGGCACCAAAAGCCAAGTACTACTTGTTTAACTACCAATACAGAGATCTGGAGCTTGCAGAAACCTCCCAGAACATTCGCTGAACATAATCATTCACCTGATGTTATCATCTTTACCTTAAATGGCTAATACACATGTATATCCCTTTAGTTGTCATGTGATGTTATGTCAGGACGTTGCATCAGCAGATCTTAAACAGATTATTAAAACATTACTGGTGCGCTTCTTGACATGCCCAAGCAAGTTGCATTCAGTTAAAACAGATCCCAAACTTTTGAATGGCAGTGTATGTCTTTCACCAGAAAATAAATGATCAAAATGTATATTTTTGGTTGAGTTACAGTAATAATAATAATACATTTTATTTATATTGCGCTTTTCTTGTACCCAAAGCGCTAGACACAGAGTTGTTGACATAGAATAACCCAGTAGGGTCATTTCTGAAAAATTGTTTAATATAAAGTCCTGCCTATAGAAAAAGCTATTGGAGATTTTCAGTCATTATTGAAAACAAATAAATCAGAATAACCCACATTTAATTACCCACATTAATAACCCACATTAAGTCGCATTCAACATATGATCTTTGGAATCTGATTTTGGATAATATCCAAACAAACAAAAAAAAGTCCTTTTGACAAATTATCCGGACATGTTTATGACAATCATAACATAAGAATGTTGTTTTAAAACAGGTAAATCAGGTAAAATGCTGATTTACAGTTAACACACCCGCCATTGTTTTTCAGAACAAAATGCAAAACTCACATTTTGTACATTCAATCAACTTGTGGTTAAACACAAAGGAGGTTGTTATGTGAACTTTCAGACTGAGGTAAAACCTCCCACTATTAAAAAAGCAGGTCCTCCGACTGCACTTTTTTAGGTTGCTTGCAATGGTGCCGTTGCTGGAGCAGTGTCGTCCTGCACACAGAGCCGAATTGTGTGTTTGACCCCCTCTCTGCGCAGCCTCATCTCTGAATAAGGCAGCCTGTGTGCTCTGCTCTGTGTGTGTGTGTGCTCTGGCCAGCCTAACTCACCTCAGCTTTCTCAATCACACCCAAACCTTCTGTTTGCCAAGTCTTATTTGCACTAATCATTATGTGAAGCGATCGATTTAAAACTTTCACCTTAAAACTTTAAAACTTTTTTTCCCAATGACCTTGAGACTCCATTTGTCACAGTGATAATGCATTCAAAAGCTGGACTTTTGTAAGTAGTCATTTCTTTTGTGGAAATGTAGGATTGCAACACCATATGACATCCTCCTTCCATCCGGCTGTGTGTCAGTGGGAGTGGCTCATGTTGGCTTCTTTGCTGTCTGCAAAAAGGATGGCTCTTCTGAAATATACTGTAGCTGCTTAAAATGACAGGGCAATTCTCACTGTCTCAGCAATTACACCACTACGATGATTTTTACTGGGGTGAGTGTGAGGATTATTGATCTGTGATCGGTGTGTTTTCTTTTAGTAATGTCTAATGATTTAATGGCATAGAAACTTGCAGAAATGCATTAGTCATGCGTTATGGGTTTATACCGAGTTGTGATGTCAGTTTTTTACTCTCTATTAATGCATTTGTCTGAAATGTGCTTTATATATTTTTATGCATCATGTGTTTTTTTTAAATAGTATTTTTTTTTATATATAACCAAACATATATGAAAAAAACAAATAAAAAAAACACAGTCAACACTGTAAAAAAAATTATTTAGTCAAATCAACTTAAATAGTTTATTTAGTTCAGATAACATATAATTTTGAGTTTCTGCATTGTAAAAAAATATTTTCAAGATTTGTTATCACAACATTTTTTTTTATTTTGTCAAATCAACTTAAATAATTTATTTAGTTGAGATAACTTATTATTTTCGAGTTTTTGGATTATTAAATCAATCCCCTTCATTGTATTAACTCACTTTTTCTAGTTCAATCAACTTAAAATTTTAAAGCAACCAGGTTACTTACTTTTTTAACTTAAACCAACAATAGTTTTTTACATGTGGTGATTAAATTATTCTCCTTCATTGTATTAACTAACTTTTTCCATTTCAATGAACTTAAAATTTTAAGGCAACCAGGTTACTTACTTTTTTAAGTTAAACCAACAATATTTTTTTTACAGTGATTGTCATTGTTGTTTGGCAGCTACCTAATTGCCTCTATATTTTGATAAAGATTTATATTTGTCATATATTCTGTACACTACTGTTCAAATTTTAGGGTGAGAAAGATTTAATTTGTAAGAAATTTATACTTTTATTCAGCAAGGATGCATTAAATTAATTTTTTTTGAACTTTCTATTTATCAGAGCATCCTAAAAAAAATGTGCATCACATAAATATTAAGCTGTTTTCAACATGAATAATAAACAAATGTTTCTTGACGAGCAAATCAGCATATTAGAATGATTTGTGAAGGATCATGTGACTAATAATGATGCTGGAAACAGATTTGCATGACATGAACAGTTATTTTAAATAATATTTATATTTAACGTTATAATACTTCACAATTTTACTGGTTTTGAAACTTTTGAATGTGTGTGTGTGTGTGAGAGAGATTAATATTGTGAAATATCTTGAAATATAATGAATGTATTTTAAAATATAATTAATTCCTGTGATGCAAAGCTGAATTTCCAGCATATTACTCCAGTCTTCAGTGTCACATGAGCCCTTACAAAAAGCCCTTAATGAATAGAAACTTCAAAAGAACAGCATTTATCTGAAATAGAAAGCTTTTGTAACATTATACACTGTACCGTTCAAAAGTTTGGGGTCAGTAAGAATTTTTAGTTTTTTGAAAGAAATTAATTCAGCAATAATGCATTAAATTGATCAAAAGTGACAGTAAAAGGCATTTATTAAAAGACATTAGACATTTATTACAAAAGCTTTGATGTCTTTCTCTCTGTCTCTCTCTGTTTAGGCTAAACACGGACACTCATCCGTGTCCCCCGTCTCTGTATCAACGGATGTTTCCAGTATGTCCATGGCGCCCACCTCATCACGGCTAAAGTATGTATCTCTGGGGGTGCTGGTACTGCAGACCACCTCCTTGGTGCTGACAATGCGTTATTCCCGAATGCTGCAATCTGAGGGTCCGCGCTACCTGGCGTCGTCTGCCGTAGTGTGTGCTGAAGTTCTTAAGATTGTTGCATGCTTGCTGCTCGTCTTCAGAGATCAAAGTGAGTCCTCTGATCAGTCTAGGGTGATATTTCATTTCAGTAAGCTCAAAACCTGAATTTTTTATGAGCGAAAACCAATGTAATCATTTACTTAATCATGGAGTCTGTCTGTACATACAGTAGATCTCTAGATAGCAGAAATTGATTCAAACAGAAGCTCAGAGCAGTGGAGGAGAGTTTTACCTCACCATCTAATGTGCAGTGCTGTGTGTGACTCTTAGGTTTCAGTGTTCGTGCTCTGAATCAGGCGTTGAAGGAGGAAATAATCAACAAGCCTGTGCTGACGCTGAAGTTGGCCATTCCCTCGGGCATCTACACCCTGCAGAACAACTTGCTCTATGTGGCGCTGTCTAATCTAGATGCGGCGACCTACCAGGTGAGAAAACATCTGTCCAGAAGAAATTTCAGTAAGCTCAAAACCCGAATGAGCGAAAACCTATGTTTACGAGACATGAACAGGCGAGTGACAAATATACACAATTTCCCAAGAAAATATAAAATTTATCCCAACAGCGCTAATATATAAACGCATAACAGGCTTACCATAGTGAACCAGGGTAAAACAAAAACATGTTTTGACTCATCATTTAAATTTTTGTTAATTTGTGGCGAAAAAGTTTCATTGTGTACATTTAATATATTTAATTGCCTTTTATTTTTTATGTTTTTATTTTTCATGTTAGTTTTTGGTTATTCATTTCATTATGTGCTTTATTTCATTTTATTTTTATTTAAAATATTGGTATTTAGGTTTAATTAATTTAATGAATTTTAGGTTTTTTTATAGCTAATAATTTTAGTCCTTTAACTTCAACTTAGTTTAGTTTATTGCCAAGGCAACATTTCTCGTTTTCGTTTAATTTTTCAGCTATATATATATTTTTTTTTTAGGTTTATTTCAATTAACAGATTTAAAAATAAAAATAGTTTTAGTTCTAGATTGTTTGTTCTATATGGGACTTTTAAAAAAAATATGTGTGTGTTAGAATTGAACTGAGTAGAAAAAAATTACTCATAAACATGTTGTCATACAAAATACATGTTATTTCCAGTAAATGTATGTGATATTACTAATTAACATTTGAAATGTCAGATAAATTGCATTGTATTTTCTAGAATTCTCTAATTTACAGTCGGAAACATCAATATATAATCAATAATCGAATACAATAGCTGCTGATGTTTCCGTGGAGGAGATTTTAGTGTATGTATACTTGATGTTCAAAGTTCTTGAATGTTTTTGAAAGAAGTCTAGCCCATTAACACAAATTCATGAAAAACAGTAATATTTCTGTTCACTTTGATCAAATGCAATGCATTATTGCTGCATAAAAGTATTAGACTTTTGATGCCAAATTTTTGTGAAATGTCTTGTCTTTATATCTCATTTACATTCCTTTTGGTTTTCCAGGTTACATATCAGCTGAAGATTCTCACTACAGCGCTGTTCTCCGTGTCCATGCTGGGCAAAAGACTCGGCATTTACCAGTGGATCTCACTGCTCATTCTGATGGCTGGCATTGCACTTGTCCAGGTAAGGGAATAGGCTAACAGTTTAGTTTAGGGTCCAATTCTCATTATTAGCATGCATATTGCTAGGATATTGACTGTTTATTAATTCTTAAAAGCAGTTATTAATTCTGCATGACCTTATTCTACGTTCCAATACCTAACTATTAGTAAACAGTAATTAGCAGTTTATTGAGGCAAAAGTCGTTGTTAAAGGGGTGGTTCAGGATTTTGGACATCAGGCCTCATTTCCAAGTTATCCTTAGTGTTATAGACCCCTTTTCAGTTGGTAAACACGGTGACGTTTTTATCTGGGCGAGCTGACGAGACTGCGTTGGTTGGCCCTAGGGATGCACCGATATGAACATTTTGGCCGATACCGATAACCGATAATTCTTTGTATTTGAAAGCCGATAACCGATATATCAGCCGATAAATCTAATTTTCCAATTTTTATATAATTTTTGAAAGCCTGATTGCAAAAACAAAAGTCTCACAATTAAAATCCGTTCCCTAACAATTCATTTCATGTAGCCGATATGACAGCACATTTTGCACTTAACTATACTTTCCTTTTTGATTCCAATCATATTTCAAGCAATTAAGATCAATCATGTTGAACAGTCCGCACCTTAAGTGTCTCAGGTGTCAAGTGTTGAAGGAAATAATTCATTATTTATCAGCTTTAATATACCAGCCAAATTTGATTATCGGGCCGATAACGATAACATAAAAATGAGCAAATATCGGCCGATACAACATATACAATTGCACTGGTCTGCTGGACTTGGTTGAACAAAAATAAACAATATTTTGTTGCTTAAGCTTATGCATTCAGTCATTATTCAATGGTATTCTAAAATCATTTTTTCTCACTGTTCTCGGTTAAAATATTTATGCAATTAAAATGCAATAAATTTCAATTAATTAATTACAAAGCCTCTAATTAATTAGATAAAACATTTTAATCGAGTCCCGAATTATAATTTTATTTTGTATTTGTATTTACTTTTATTTATTGTATTTTTATTGTATTTATTATGTATTTTGAATTCAATTGTATTTTAATTAAGTAATTAATTTGATCATTTAATTTTATACTGTTTTTCTCTGAACTGGGACCCCCTTTTACCTGACGTTCGCCCTATTTACAGTATATAAACGACTCTTTCTTTGTTTGTGTTTGACCTGTGCCACCAGTGGCCGACTGAAATCACGTCAATCGCCCAGCAGAAGGATCTGACGGCCAGCTCTCAGCTGATGGGACTGCTGGCGGTGCTTGTGGCCTGCTTCTCCAGTGGATTTGCTGGCGTGTATTTTGAAAAGATCCTCAAAGAGACCAAGCAGAGTGTCTGGGTCCGTAATATTCAGCTAGGTCAGCGGAATATATGTACATAGAAACCACCCAACAATCCATCGAATTCCTGAAGCAAATTTTTGGTAGACATTGTTTTACGAGTTTCTGCTTCAGGTTTCAGGGAGTGTGTGCGTGTTTGTGAGCCACCATTCATATTTAAATCATTACACTTGTTCCCTCCCATATATCAGGTTTATTCGGACTGATTTTTGGACTTGTGGGGGTGTTTGTGTACGATGGAGAAAGAGTGCGTGAGAATGGACTCTTTCAAGGGTACAATAATGTGACGTGGACTGTGGTGGCTCTTCAGGTACATCTTCACTTCCTCTTCTCAATACAAACAAAAACATCCTTACATGCAGACCTATATGTCACATTGTAATTTGTGTTTTGTGTTTGCTCCACATGCTTCTGTAGGCTTTGGGTGGTTTGGTCATTGCAGCTGTGATTAAGTTTGCTGATAACATCCTGAAGGGCTTTGCCACATCCATCTCAATCATTCTGTCCACCCTCATCTCTTATTTCTTATTGGAGGATTTTGACCCTACTAGGTAATACAGTAGTTTTTTCAAAACTCATTGATTTTATTTGGGTCTTTCTCAGGAAAGTGCCATGTCACAAGCTATTGAATATTCCTGTGAATAACCAAACGGTGTGTTTAAAGACTATATTTAACTTAAGTGTGAACGTGTTTAAAGATCCTCTTTCCCACCCTAAACTCACACCAGTGGGTGTGTCAGTGTTGTTGTGTTGAACTGGTTGGGCAATTTTTTTGATGGTTAGCCTAAATTCACATTTATTTATTTAGCTGATGCTTTTATCTAAGGGGACGTACAAATCAGAAGTACAGTATGTTATGTAGATTTTTTTAGTGTTTATTTTGTACTGTTTTACTTCAGATTTGTTTGTTAAATGCATGTCCTGACCAGAGTGACATTTTTGTCAATTTACATTGTGCTGTTTTACATGTTCAAATTATGCCGGAAGACATTAACATTTTCTTTGAACAAACCATCAAACAGTCCCTTTATACCAGGGGTGTCAAAGACACATGAAACCGCAGGAAAACAAATCAAACAATTGTGCGCATTCATTATATTGGTAATGTCCTGCAACAGAGCAGATAAACTCCACTTTCCAGAAAACTGTGTTGCCTGTTGTAGCTTGCAGAAATAGAATCCTTCTTTTAATTACACACACAATATTTGCTGTTCTCGCCTGAAACAGGATCTGTGGGTGATACAGAGAAACACCACACCACAGTTTCCCACACTGAATGTAAGACGCAGTAATACTGACAAGATGGAGAAATTCAAGGGAGAAGTATTAGAAAAGAAGTACATTTCACAGTTTACACAGTTAAAGGGGTGATGAACTGAGAAATCAAATTTTCCTTGAGCTTTTGACATCTTAGAGGTCATCATATTATAAGAATATCCAGTTTCAGAACTGAAAACGTCCTTGTTAGTCCAATAAAAGCTTTTATTGACACAAGGCTCAACAAACGACTCGTTTTTCAAAGTGGGGAACTATGAGTCAAAGAGGATAAAACGCCACCCCCACAGAAGAAGATCAACGCCTACTTCAACACGGCCGGTTTAGCCCCGCCCACCGATTCGCGCATTACACGCATAGCTAAATAACATAGATGCCTACCTCGTGATGACAAACTGGATCGAGCTACCGTGCAATACGAAATATTGTGCAGCGCCTGGTTGTGGAAGAAGACAGTCGCTGCATAAGCTTCCTCTTGATTCCAATAGGACTGCATGGATAAACTTTATTTTTAATGACGAGGTAAAACATTGTCCGTCTGTTCGCGTCATTTCACTGACGATTGTTTTGTAAACAAGACTGGATTTGTAGACCGAGAACAGTGCTGTGCCGTCTATATTGGATCCGACAGGAACGGTGCAACACACGGAATCTGGGTCGAACATTTATGGGCGAATCATTCCGGTCGCCATTTTACAACATTGGATGTTTTCAAAACAATTTCCCCCAGGTGCATCGACGAGTGAGTTGAAACTCATTATAATATGCAAAACTGTTATCCACTCACAGCAGTGGGCGTTTACTTCCAAGCCTTCAGTGCGAGACACCCATAAAAACCAAGCGTTTTTCAGCGAGGCTCAAAACTAGGGTACAAAATAGCGTATTACTTATTCATTTTGATGTTTTTGAATGCAAAAACCAATCGAATGTCATAAGTTGACCTCAGACAACAATATAATAAAATTTAAAAAGCCAGTTCATGACCCCTTTAAATTTGCACAGCAGTTTCTACACTTTTGATTTGTTGTGTTGTGATACTGCAGATGTGTTTTTTAAAAGTTGAGCTTGATTTTAATTTGAGGGCCACATTTTTAGAGCGCAGTGTCATGTGCGAGACACTGCAAAAGAGCTGCGAGCGCTACCGTCAAACACGTCCGTCTAGGGTGACCACCCGTCCCGCTTTGCGTTGTACCGCACAGCATTTTCACCCCATGTCCCGCTTGTCACATACTGAGGAAATGTCCCGTATTTTCATCAGTCTATTGGTTTTTAATGATCATATTAATAAATGTGCATGCGTTCTTTTGCTTTTTAAGAATTATTTTTACTTAATCTTTTTGCGCCGTAGTTTATATACTTTATACTTTGTCATGAGTGCAAATACAACAGCCGGTTTTTCCTGAAAAGAAAGGAGTAAACACAGTCACTAGCGACGGCTGTCAATCAAAATGTGGAGCGGTGACTTGTTCCATGTGTTCCCTGTCAGAAAACAAATGCATAATTCTGTAAATTAAAATTTGAATTTAACAGTTGTTGTTTAACCTGTTGCCTGCTGTGGTTGTTTTAATTCATATCCTTTCTAAAAATATGAAAGTTTTTGGTTTTTAATATATTCTTAATATATTAGAAAGACCATCTATCTAATTTCATGTTGTTTGGTATTTATTTGTTCATTGTTTACAGCTAAAAGGCAGAATACAAATGTTTTTATTAAGTTAGATAGACAATACATAACAGTTTCAGGGTAGGTTTTAGTGTTGGTAACATGTCCCACATTGTCCCACACAAACTTATAATCGTCCCACATTTGGTTTGTTTGATGGTGATCACCCTACGTCCGTCTAGTAGTCTAGTGGCGAAAACGTGTTCGAACGGCACGACATTCTAAAAAGTCAGAGATGTATAGTAACGAAATAGAACTACTTAAGTACTGTACTTAAGTACTAAAATGCTGTATCTGTACTCTACTAGAGTATTGTTTTTTTCTACTTTTACTTCAGTAGGTATTTTCGATAAATTTAATACTTTTACTTCGATATTTTTTTTAATGTTCTGCTAGTTACTCGTTACAATTATAAAAATTTTATGAATGATTTGTTGCAAGGTAGCTTTCATACTGCCTAAATCGCATGCCAGTTTTATAGGGTAATAGTATTGATTGACACAAACATTGACAACTAATGACATGCAATGACATTTTTTGGGCGGCCGCCAAAGCAAATTTTTATCCCGCCAAAGCACCTTATTTGATTGCTAGTTCAAACTTTTGACTGCTTTCTTTAATAATTACATGACACAATACTTGTACTTTTACTTTTAGTACTTAAGTAGTGAATTTTAAAATAAACTACTTGCAATACTTGAGTACAAAAAATGTTGAATACTTTAGTACTTCTACTTAAGTGTGGTGCTTAAAGAGCACTTCAACTTCTACTCAAGTCACTTTTTTGATAGAGCACTTGTACTTATACTCAAGTCTGGGTTTACTTTATACATCTCTGTAAAAAGTTCAACTTTTAAAAAGCGCGTAGCCGAGCCTTGCGTTTTTTTCATTCCACCACTTTGCATCTTGAGTTTTTACCACCTTATGTAGCCGTTCACATGAAACGCATTTTTGCATTTCCAATGCTTTTATGCAGATATGCACTAGAATGATGTGTTTGACCATTGCATTCACTTCTGTCGTGTCGTGCATAACATGATATTCTAAAAATGTGCTGTTCAAGTTAAAAGCAGTTCAATTGTTAGGGGCATTTAAAAATGAGATGCGTGACAGTGAAAAAAGTTTTTTCAAAGATGAACTTTTAACTTGAGCACTGTATTTTTTTTAATGCAGTATCGTATTTTTGAGCGTAATGGTCAAACAAATCTGTTCCCGTGTAGTTTGCAAACACCATTTATTGATTTAAGCAGAAACAAGGATCTCATTAAAGCAGTTATTACAAGCTGTGATTGCAATATATAGAAAATTTGGCGGTGGTGCATGTTTATTCAGAGTTGGCGCCATCTGAAGTCCTGGCAAGGGTTGGCGCTCTTTCTTCACAGGTGTTGGGCCATCTAAATCTTCGTAAGAGGCTGGATCCAAGCCGGAGCTGGGCTAATACTCTAGTTACCTCAGAATGGGCATCCCGAGGTAGAAAAGAGAAAAGCAAATGGAAAATAATTAGCGTATATGCTTTTCACAACATTCAAGCAAAAGAGAATTTAAAAAGGGAGAGTGAGTCTGAGCCTCAAACATTATTAGGAAGGCTGTTCCAGAGTTTAAAAGCCAAATGTGAAAACGCTCTCCTTGGATATTCTAGGTACTACCCAAAGTCCAGAGTGTGATGGATAGTGGTGGTGATGGTGCAGTGGATAAGACACATGCCTTTGGTGTGAGAAACCCGGGTTCGAATCCACTGTGAGACACCTGGGCAAGACACTTAACCCTTAGTTGCTCCAAAGGCATGCAACCTCTGACATATATAGCAATCGTAAGTCGCTTTGGATAAAAGCGTCAGCTAAATGAATTAATGGATAGTAGGGCAAAGCTGAACCCTTTAGGGCCTCAGAGGTCAGTAGTAGTACTTTGTAATCGATAAGGAACTTAATAGGTTACCAGTGTAGAGATGATAAAATTGATATTATATGATCATATTTTCTTGACCTTGTAAGAACTCTAGCAGCTCCGTTTTGGAATAACTGTAGCTTGTTTATTGAGGATGCAGGACAACCACCTAGTAATGCATTACAATAATCCAGTCTAGAGGACATGAATGCATGAACTAGCTTTTCAGAAACGGATAACATGTTCTGTAGCTTAGCGATGCTTCTGAGGTGAATGAAGGCTGTGTTTGTAACACATGAAGTGTATTAACTTGAGCGCATCTGCCTAGTGCAGGTTTATAAAAACAATGGAAAAGCAACAAAAAAATGCATCTTCCATTTGTTTGCTGAGCCTTCATCAGTATTTCTAGCTATTTACATTCATATTTCTCCAGTTCTAATATGCGATTTGCTAGGCAATTTATTCAGTTTTAGGTTATGAATTCCAAACGTACTGTGACAGGGTTGAAAAAATCTGAATATTGTGGTGATAACCTATTTTTTTGAATATTCTTTGAATTTTCTGGCATAACTGGCACTGTTTCTTGGGAATGACCCACTGTGTAGGACGTCAGGAAAAATAAAGCTTCTTTCTTTTGTAGTGTGTTCTTCCTGGGCGCGATGCTGGTTATCACTGCTACGTTTCTCTACGGGTATGAGAGAACCCCAGACCGGGGCAACACCAATAAAGTATAGAAGACTGGACAGGAAGTGATAAATGACATCGGAGTGTGTGCTAAGATGCTCTGCTTCAGGACAAGAGAACCAGTGATACTCTATTACAGTGATGCTATTACAAGGTAGCACAAAAAAAGATTACAACCATCCAGAACTTGAATTGTTCTCTATGCCCCATGTCATGTCATCATAACAACACACAGAACCAAAAATGGAGAGCTATGGTGAGACATTGTTACACTCAGCTGAGGATGTTTAAAGGAGTAGCTCACTTTAAAAAAAACTTTTGCTGATAATTTACTCACCCCCATGTCATCCAAGATGTCCATGTCTTTCTTTCTTCAGTCGAAAAGAAATGAAGGTTTTTGATGAAAATATTCCAGGATTTTTTTCCATATAATGCACTTCAGTGGGAACCAAACGGTTCAAGGTCCAAAAGACACTTTCAGTACAAACTGCAAACTGTTCAAAGGGCTTTAAACGATTCCAGACGATGAATAAGGGTCTTATCAAGCAAAACGATCACTCATTTAATAAATAAATAACAAAGTTTAAGTTTTATAAGCTCAAATGGTCGCCTTGCTCTGGTCAAGTTTGTGACTCTTCTATTGGAACTCGTTCATCAAAATTAACAAATCTTTTTCCGAGTCATTTGGTTAATTCCATGAATGAAACGAACGAATTGACTCGGAAAAAGATTCGTTCATTTTGATGAACAGGAGAGTCACGAACATGCATCGCAGAACAGAGCAAGGCGACCATTTGTGCTTATAAAACTTGTTATTTATTTATAAAATGAGCGATCGATTCGCTTGATAAGTCATCGTCTGGAATCGTTTAAAGCCTTTTGAACAGTTTGCACTGAAACTGTCTTTTGGACATTGAACCGTTTGGTTCCCACTGAAGTGCATTATATATGGAGAAAAATGCTGGAATGTTTTCATCAAAAACCTTAATTTCTTTTCCACTGAAGAAAGAAAGACATGGACATCTTGGATGACATGGGGGTGAGTAAATTATCAGCAAAAGTTTTTTTTAAAGTGAACTACTCCTTTAAGGACCTCATTTAAAATGTGTTTACATATAATGAGAGATCTCTGTGACAGAGCTTCACAAATTCCACATGTTTGCATATTTATTTTCTGTGCCATACACTAGTATATCGGAAACGCGATTGTTTTACTTGAATGTATCTGTTGAGAAATATCATTTTCTCAAAGCCAATAAAAAGTTGTTTCTTAAAATGTCTTCCTGCCATCTTCGGGTAATAAAACATGTTCAGGCTCAAAAGGTAGCACTGACCACGTTTTGATTGGTGGAATAATCTGTGCATTGTGGGAAATGCTGAGCTGGTGCTTAAGAGATCAGACTCTTGTGAGATGCTCAGTGCACTTTTATTAGTCCTTGAATGAACAATGTGAACGGTCAGACCTTGTTGCTCTTTGCTGGGGGTTTCAATGGAAATATATATGTTGCATCAGTTTGTTTTATGCAAAAACGACTTGCATGCAAGAAGAGAGGTGAAGAATCACTCCCCCCAACCCCCTCAAGTGGGTCTTTCTTGCCCATAATGCAATGTTATGAAACGTTTCCACAGTAAACTTAGTCTCGTCCATTGCATAGACTCGTTTTGCAGTGGGAAAGCATGTGGAGATCAAGGGGTTTTTGTTCTTCCTCATCCTGTTTGAAACGCTGAAATCTTGAAGTAAAAACCACTTATTTGCTGCTGGTGTTCATGCATTTTCACATACTAGGTTCATACGCTTTAATGTCTCTTTATTTAGATGATCATCTTGAGGAGGAATATGGCTTTGACAGAGATACAGAAGATGTAACTGAGAAATGATAGAGGGAGATGAGGTGAGGTATTTATCATATTACAGAGAATGATCTGTTCGACCTTCATCTAGATCAGTGCTCCAAGCTTTAGACGTACTGCATGCATCTCCACTTCCAACGAAAGGCTATCGTTTCCCTTGAAAGTGATTTAGGCGAAGAATAAATGCTCAAGAGTCATTATTTTCTGTTATATGTCCAGACTGGATATCACCTCTTCATATCAAATTCAGTGCATAATAAAACAATGCCATTCATTATTAAATTAAAAGCATGCAAATAATGAATAAATCTATTGAGTAATTTATATGTAGTAAATTTAGTAAACAGTCTCTCATGAAAGCAACAGCCACACACTTGGTTGGTCCCTCAAGGGAAAGATAATTAATAAAAATGATTTTCATATTTCCTCACTCTGTAAACATCCGACTAAATAAACTGCTAGCTTTATATAAATCTTCACTTAAATATTAATTTGCATTTTGCGTGCCAAGACCGCAATGTATTGTATCTTTACTGGTATTTAAACAGCCCTGTGTATAATTTTTGTGACTCATGCTACTTTATTAGCAAAAGCATGATTTGGGAAATCTAAAAACTATAGCAAGGAGGGGTTTATTGTTCATAAAAATGAAGTGATTGTGCCATCCTTATCAAAAGCAACCTATTTCACTCTTTTGTTTGTTATATTGGCTATACGCCGCATTTAAAGGGATAGTTCACCCAAAGATGAAAATTCTGTCAGTAATTACTCACCCTCACGTTGTTCCAACCCCATCTTCGGAGCACAAATTAAGATATTTTTGATGAAATCTGAGAGCTGGATCACTCCTCCATACTAGTCCATAGGCTTCTTGAGGAATTGAAACTTGCCGGCCTCGAAAAGTTATTAAAGACATTGTTAAAAAGTGACTTCAGTGCGCAAAAACAAATAAAAATAACGACTTTATTTCAACTATTCATTTCCTTCTCTTTGAGCCTTTAGTCAGTTACCGTAGTGTGATAGCGTAGAGCTACGTCACACGTAGGCTCACTATTGGCCGACGCTGGTCATGTGTGTGATGCGTGTGACGTACAACAACAGATCATACGCTGTTAAACTAGTAACCTGACTCGAGACAGAGAGAGAAGTAAATGAATAGTTAAAATAAAGTCATTATTTTTGTTCTCACAAAAATTTTTCTTGTCGTTTGATAAAGTTAAGATTGAGCCACTGTAGTCACTCTGACTATTTTAACGATGTCTTTAATAACTTTTCGAGGCCGGCAAGTTTCAATCCCTCAAGAAGCCTATGGACTAGTATGGAGGAGGGATCCAGCTCTCAGATTTCATCAAAAATATCTTAATTTGTGTTCCGAAGATGAACGAAGGTCTTACGGGGTTGGAACAACATGAGGGTGAGTCAATACTGACAGAATTTTTTTTATTGTTGGGTGAACTATCCCTTTAAAAGGAATAGTTCAGTTCAGCCAAAAATGAAAATTGTTATTATTCACTCAACCTCATGTTGTAACAAACTTCTATAACTTTAGATTTTTTCTTTCTATCTGTAGGACACAAAAGAAAATATTTCGAAGAATGTACGTGGTTTCTTTTTGTACATAAAATGAAAGCCAAGGGGGTTCTCCAGTGTTGTTTTGAACCCTGTTGACTTTCATTGTACGGATAAAAACAGTTTTAGAAATAATATCTTTATTTTGTGCTCTACAGAAGGATGAAAGTCGTACAGGATTGGAATGACATAAGGGTCAGTAAATAACAAACATTTGACATTTGTAATGGAAACTCCATTTCATCTGTGTCATTTTACCCAAGGAGTGTCAGTGGGAGAGGACGGAGTGAGACAGCTTGAGAATAGAGAGAGGGAGACAGGGGACGTGGAATGGCACAGATGGAGTGTGTATGACATGTGACTAATCTGGTGAATGCCTATGGTGCAGCACCCACTGAGTAAACTCAAACGGACTCATAAACAAACACCTATCGATGTGTCCGAGTGTATCCTTGACATTACTAGATACACTCCACCTCAACTGGTGGATGTCTTCATGCATTCTGCGGCCTATTTTGTCTTACAGCATGTAAAAGATGATTTGAAGTCACAAGTCTCAATCAACTGATAGAAGTTTCAAAGAGTTTTGCTGGTTGTCCTACAAAGAAAAAGTGTTTCCTGCAATGACCTCCCTTGGTTCTTGTGATGCCACTTTGTGTGGCATGGGACCAAACATTCAATCACTTTCATGCATTATATTCCATCCGTCCTGAATGTTTAGGGCCCTGTTGCAAAACCCCCTTAACTTAAGACGCTTAGGATTGTAAAAATATTGTAACTAAGGGTTTTCCTAAAGGGATAGTTCACTGAAAATGAAAATTCTGTCATCATTTTCTCACCATCATGTCGTTACAAACCTGTTTGACTTTCCTCTGTGGAACAAAAAAGATATTTTCAAGAATGTGTTCTGCTGTTTTGCCCAAATTTCGATTTCAAGGGTCACATGACGTGCAAGAACCAATGAGGTTTGACGTTTGAGGTTTGTCTCGCGGGATTCGAACTGCCATTTCCGGCATGAGAGGCCATGCTAACAAGGATGCTAAAGCCGCTAGTGCACCTCTTGAGATTAGGGGAATAATCTGTGCATTGTGGGAAATGCTGAGCTGGTGCTTAAGAGATCAGACTCTTGTGAGATGCTCAGTGCACTTTTATTAGTCCTTGAATGAACAATGTGAACGGTCAGACCTTGTTGCTCTTTGCTGGGGGTTTCAATGGAAATATATATGTTGCATCAGTTTGTTTTATGCAAAAACGACTTGCATGCAAGAAGAGAGGTGAAGAATCACTCCCCCCAACCCCCTCAAGTGGGTCTTTCTTGCCCATAATGCAATGTTATGAAACGTTTCCACAGTAAACTTAGTCTCGTCCATTGCATAGACTCGTTTTGCAGTGGGAAAGCATGTGGAGATCAAGGGGTTTTTGTTCTTCCTCATCCTGTTTGAAACGCTGAAATCTTGAAGTAAAAACCACTTATTTGCTGCTGGTGTTCATGCATTTTCACATACTAGGTTCATACGCTTTAATGTCTCTTTATTTAGATGATCATCTTGAGGAGGAATATGGCTTTGACAGAGATACAGAAGATGTAACTGAGAAATGATAGAGGGAGATGAGGTGAGGTATTTATCATATTACAGAGAATCTAAAAACTATAGCAAGGAGGGGTTTATTGTTCATAAAAATGAAGTGATTGTGCCATCCTTATCAAAAGCAACCTATTTCACTCTTTTGTTTGTTATATTGGCTATACGCCGCATTTAAAGGGATAGTTCACCCAAAGATGAAAATTCTGTCAGTAATTACTCACCCTCACGTTGTTCCAACCCCATCTTCGGAGCACAAATTAAGATATTTTTGATGAAATCTGAGAGCTGGATC